CCGCTCTTATTGCGAGAACAGCTCGTTGGAGAACGAAACCCTTATCGCGCGAAACGGTACGCTATCCCGTTTTCTGCTTCCTCCGGTCTCACGCGACGAATCGCGGGCACCCATGTGTGTATGTGTGTGTGTGTCTATATGTAGACGAGCGCGCGCGCGCGCGCGTGTGTGTGTGTGTGTGTATGTACGTGGGATTAGAAGGTTTCGGCCGAGAGACGTGTCCCTATCCTTTTTTAATTCTCTTCTCTTTCGACTTCCCTCTCGTTTCTCCCTCTCTCTCTCTCTCTCTCTCTCTCTCTCGCTCTCGTCCGTCCATCATCCCCTTCCTCCGCGCGTCTTTCCCTCCTACGGCCGCTTGACACATTCGCGCGGAAAAAATGCAGCGGGGCTCTCCCGAGGCCTCTGCCGCCGTATATATAGGAAGGGAGCGGATGTCTGGTGTGTAAGGAACCGCTAAAATGGTGTTCGTTCTTATCCGAAGATCTAGAGCGGCGATGCGAAGAGAGGCACGCGGAGGGCTATACGTAAGGTAAAAGGGGGCTCATGACTGGTTGGTCGGTCGGTTGGTTGGTTGCTTGGTTGGTTGGTTGGTTGGTTGGTTGGTTGGTTACTTGCTTGGTTGTTGGTCGTCTGGTTGGGCTGGTTAGTGCCGTTACCAGAAAGAGGCCACCTAGGTTCGCAACGAGTGCTGAGTTATGCCTCGAACTTTCTTTATAATGAGACACCGGCTATGAAATGACAAACGTAATTAAAGCGAGCAGCCAGCCACCGGAGGTCAGGGATCCTCGAGGATTTTCACAATGGGAAATGTGCGTACCCGCTATCTATCTCCCTCCCTCCAATTCTCCTCTCCCGCTCTCTCTCTCTCTCTTTCTCCCTTTCCTCCTCTCGTCGTCGACGTCGTGATCTGTCTGTCTTCTACCGCGATGTCTTCATTTACACCGGAGAAACGTTACTTCGTATTTATCCTTCGTCGAGCTTATGCCGCGTGCGGATACTTTCATTCACAGGATAAAAGGCTACTTCTTCATTCGCCTTCGGATCATTGTAAAGTTCGCGCGGTTGCGCACGTTGATCGAGTGATCGACACCGCGGCATACAATGACGGTGAGAGAAAGAGAAAGAGAGAGAGAGAGAGAGAGAGAGAGAGAGAGGGACAGAGCGAGAGAAAGAGACGGAAACGATAGAGCGTAAATACGAGGGATTCGGTGTAGCGAGACTTGAACTTATGTGGGACTTTTTCGAACAATCACGAATTCAACCTTGCCCCGTTTTACGCCTCCCCGTGACACAACAATGGCAACGCAATGCTACAACACATTTCACTTTTTCGCAACGCGCGTATACCGGGGAGGGGGGGGGGCCTAAAAGTATTGCGCGATTTCCTCGGCCGCGAGAGAATTCACCTCGTACACACAATGTAGATTGGAATTGGCCATGTACCGTAAAAGACTAATTATCATCTTTCGAAACCCCGGCGCTCGTCTCGCGCCGCGAATCGACTTCTATTCATAGCCGCGAAGGGCGACTTGGCGAGCGCCGTAAACACCGAGACTACGAGCCTCTGCCTCAACAGAGAGAATTGCCTCTCTCTTTCTTTTTTTTTTCCTCCCACCTCCTCCGACAATCCTCCGGAAAAATTGATCGACGAACTCAACGGTCGGTTCGCGCGTGAACAAAAGCGGAGCTTCGAGTGATCCTCCGATCACTCGAGAGACTGATGCTAAACGATCGCCGACGATGAAATACGCTCGAGGCTGTCGGGGATCGATCAATCAATCAGAAACTCGGCAGCGCAAGTTCGTTCAGCGTACCTCGGGTGATCCGCGCGGCACGAGCGCGGCGGAACGCAAGCTCCGTCCGCTTTTTATTATATATCCGCATCCGGCGCGGCGCGGCACGCCGCGATGCATCGGCCTGACAGCCGGCCGGCAGATAAGATAGCCGGGGTATCGGAAGTCGTGTCGCGGTATCGCGCGCGCGGCCGAGCGAAATGCCGAAGCTTATTTATCGATACCCGCGTCTCCTGCGCGCGGAACGTCGCGATGGCGCGGACGGCGAATACTTTTCTGTGATTCCGCCGCGACCCTGCCTACGAGCGAGGGAGGGAGAGAGAGAGAGAGAGAGAGAGAGAGAGAGAGAGAGAGAGAGAGAGAGAGAGAGAGAGAGAGAGAGAGTGAGAGAGAGAGGGAAGGGAAGGGAGAAAAGAAAGGAGAGAGAGAGAGAGAGAGAGAGAGACCGCGTTACATTCCTACCGCGATCCTGCAGTCGGGATCCCCGGGACGACGCTTCTCTCTCGCAGCAGCAACGGCAGCAGCTTGCACCCATCGCGGCTTATTCACGCGCGCCGCGGGGGCTCGCATAAAACTGCTGCCGAGTTCGGTGGGGTCACGGGGATCACGTTAGCCGCGTGCGCGCCCGCGCGATAAAGATCTCGCGTGAATGATTGCCGATGATATTTCACTTAGGGATCGTCAAAGCCTACACGAGCAGCGGCCGAGAGCGGTCCCGATAGCGCGCTATCGGGAATTCCGTCCGGGAACCCTCGGCGAAATGTCGCGCGAGCGCGCGATTTCTCCTCTGCTCCTGCGAGCCAAGCTATCGACAGGTCGCTTTACCTTTCACGATGACCATCATACGACTGCATCTGGCAGATAGCGTCGGTTACGTTTTTCGGCGCAGGAAGTTTCTCAAAGCTCCCTCTCTCTCTCTTCCACTCTCTTCGCGACGGTGTCGAGGCGTCTGAAAAAAGATCGGGAAGATCGAGTAGGTTGCGTCGACGTCGGCCGCCATTAGTGCGACATCGGTGTCGACCAATACCAAAATGAAATACGATTTTGTGACTTCGGTGTCAACAAGTAGTGGTGACATCGAGGTTTGGACTTCTACTCCGAACGCATTACAAACGTCAAGTATACTCTGCGAATGTCGAGTTCGATCTTTCTTGCGCGAGCGTCACGTGCCACGTTTTTCTGCTCAACTTGGGATATTTGCGGGATCGATACGCGTCCGAGATCACGTCCATTTCGTAATCTTTAACGTCGTCGTTACATTGTCGTTGCGCAGGTATAACGCACGATAGAAAAGACGCGCAACGACAAGGTCGCCAAAAGTTATAGAACAGCCATGGGTCCCAGCCAATCGTCGCATCGCTTCTCCTTTCGTTACGAGAGTCGATTCGACGATACATTTAACGTCCATTGGCGGACACGGATACAAACCATACGAATACGAACCATACGAGGACAAGGAGTCTCGGAGGAACCGTTCGTCGGAGCCGCCGTTACCGCCGCGTGCATATTCCGCGTCGCCATTACGAGTGCGATTTCTCAAAGCAAGCGACCGTTGCGAGAACTCGTGCGCGCGCGACTCCGGTGGCGCCACCTCTAGCGAATTACCCGCAGATGCATGAGCGTATTACGCGCCATTACAAAAACCGCCGTCGCATACGCGAAGCGACGAGCTGATATTTATGATTGCCGCTGATGCGCGATCTCGCCGATCAGCGATCAGCATGATCAACGAGGCGACTTTGCAAGGCGGACGCGAAATCAGCTGCCGTCTCCCGATCGCCGTTCGAGTTAACTAAATGCAGCGCAGGCCGATTACTGACACGTGCTGACTATAAACTCACCGTGCTCGTCCGCGACTTCGCTGTCGACGATCGATCTCGCCACTCGCACTTCTCGCCTTCGTTGCCGTCGTCGGAACCGTCGTTCCTTTGTACTCGTTACGAAAATGGACGGTATTAACAATCCGCGATGTTACAGCAGTACGATACCTGAGCGCGGACATGTCGCAATTTCATCCTGGTCGACTGCGAACTATGCGCGTCCGTTAATGACTGACGGAAGCCTGCGTGTGCATGCGTCTGAACGGCCGGTACTTGGGGTAGTATTCACAGTCCGATCTTGCACTTAACGACGTCTTAAGCTTATCTTCAGATTCTCCGGAGCCAATTACAAATAATCCGTACAGTGGCTGGAAAAGAACTTGAAAGATCTAATTGTGCGTTACGAGTTGAGTATCACCAGCTTTTGATTGGCCACTTTTATCGATATCGTATTTATTATTTTGCATGGATCGTTACATTGATCAAAGAGCATCGAGGATAAACCAAAAATTTAAAAATAAGATCAAACTATGAACGCCAGTCGGAGATCTTTTAGCCATTCCGTCTCCTATATGTTATTTATATTTCAAGAACTGAAGTGTACTGTGAAACAATAGCCGCGTTCAGTAGAACAAAGTGATCAGAGAGCGCTTAGTGATTATTGTCTGTGATTGGAGCATTCTTTTAGATTCTTCATAGACCCAGAAATATTTACCAATCAGGAGCGAGATTCAGTGGAAAATCTAGTAATGTTGTCCAACTGTTGAGTCTGCTGAATGCAGCCCATGTATGTATGCATGATAGCTTACCAATCACGCTTGTTTATCAAGATAAACTCCTACCAATAGTGACTCTATTCCTACATTAGTAGAAAACATGGCGAATTGAGAAGAATAAGGGCCAGAGCACAGACTTCTGCATAACGCATAATACACAACGCATAAGAGAATCAACCAATCAGAGTTCTTCATTTCTGTCCTGAGGAGGGAAATGAAGAAAACTAATTGGTTTATTCTCTTATGTGTTATGTATTATGTGTTATGCAAAAGCCTGTGCTCTTGACCTTAGGGCCAGAATACAGACTTCGGGCCAAAGCACAGACTTCTGCATAACGCATAATACATAACGCATAAGAGAATAATAAAACCAATTAGTTTTCTTCATTTCCCTTCCTCCTCAGGACAAAAATGAAGAACTCTGATTGGTTGATTCTCTTATGCGTTGTGTATTATGCGTTATGAAGTCTGTGCTCTGGCCCTTCTGCATAACGCATAATCCACAACGCATAAGAGAATCAACCGATCAGAGTTCTTCATTTTTGTCCTGAGAAGGAAAATGAAGAAAACTAATTGGTTTATTCTCTTATGCGTTATGTATTATGCGTTATGCAAAAGCCTGTGCTTTGGTCCTTTGTGTAACAAAAAGCGTAATATTCTCTTCGTTACTTTCAATGCCACTTTCCTCCAGATAGCGGTTGACACGAAGCTGAACGTCCAATAGGAGGGCTCGTTTTCAAACAATAGTTGGGTTATCTCATTGGACCGGAAGTTTCATCAGCGAGCGAACTTAAAAATCCCCCACATGTTAGCCATCTTTAGCCCGGGGGTGGAGGGGATCGACGACAAGAACGACTGAGCGAGTACCGCGTCTAAGTGTACACTACCGCGATCTAATTAATGACATAATTAACCGCGAAGCGCGATTCCTCGTCACTCGGTTTTTCCCGCGTCGTTTTTCTTGCTGCTCAGCTTTATTCTCGAAGACGAGTCCCGCAACTTTGAGCAAGAAGACCAGAAAGCATACATCCTCCTAATAATTCCTACCTGCACGGCGCTCTTAGCACGTCGCGGGATATTCTCTCCCCTCGGCGCGCCGGTCGTTTCTACAGGTACGTTAAAATCGCGGCTTCTGTGTGCGTAATGCGGTGGACGCGCCTCTCGGTCGGTCGTTGGTTGTCCGACCGACTCTTGACTCGATTTCGCGACCGCAAACTCGGGAAGATATATCTCTCCCCGTGCGAGCGCCTCTCTTCTCTCGCTCCGTCCCGACGAAAGGACCTTCTCCTTCTCGCTCTCCTTTACCGCGAGGCGCTGCCTCGGATTCTCCCTTTCTCTCTCTCTCCCTCTCTCTCTCCCTCTCTCCCTCTCTCTCTCTCTCTCTCTCTGTCTCTCTCTCTCTCTCTCTCTCTCTCGCTCGTTCTCTCTCTCTCTCTCTCTCTCTCTCTCTCTCTCTCCCTTTCTCTCCCTCTTTATCCATGGGGGCCACGAGGCCCCGCCAATGGGACAGGGGGATAGCAGACCCCGTCGCGGAGACAACATAAAGATTTAAGACTGAGAGATGCGCCAATAAACATGCTGCGCCCCGGCTGCAGTCAGCTCGCGCTCTTCTCCGCGCTGCGTTCACCGCTGCTGTTCCGTTTCATTCGGTTTCCGCTCCGTTCTGTTCTGCTCGATTCTGTTCTGTTCTGTTCTGTTCTGTTCCGTTCTGTTCTGTTCTGTTCGCAGCCACCGCATATGCGCGTCGCCTGCGCGCCCGTGAGCGCTTACGCATACAGGGTGTCTCATCTTTAGCGATATTCCGCTGCTCCTCTAATTTTAAAACGACTCGTTTTTTTTTCCAGGACAGGCTGACACCCCGTTTTGATTTCTACCTATCTATCTACCTATCTATCTACTTCTGTCTTGTCTATTTATCATGACACTCTGGTGATTAACTCGAGAGAAAGATAGTCGATCGAGAAACGCGGAAAGCTCGTCACATCCCTCTGGATAGGCTCCTTAAGCGCAATTCGTAAGAATGCTTTCTCAATGTAAAGATTGATTTATTTTAGATCACTCGATCGTTATCATAAATTATTAATGGACGATCCGTCTGTCGTTTTCCAGCACGAGCTGTAATCCGAGAGAGGTGGCCTCTCCGGATAACGAGAAACGCCGGTACACCTGCCAGAGCCTGTTCCTCGACGTTCCCAGCGAACGCGCTTTCGCGCACACCGCGGAAATAAAAGCTTTCAATGCGAAAGGACGGTCGTATACCGCGAAAGTAGTAGATCGGGACGTTGGTCGAGCAAAGCGACAAGGGACTTGAGCTGGACCCACTGTCGGTGCTGCCGACTCCTCTCTCTCTCTCTCTCTCTCTCTCTCTCTCGCTCTCGCTCTCGCTCGCTCGCTCGCTCTCCCTCTGCCTCTTTCTCTGTCTTCCTCCCTCTCTTTCCGTCTTGCTCTTTCTTTCTCCCCGCGCTCCCCGACTTATTTATTCCTTTCTCCGTCGCTGGCTCCCTTTCTTCCTCGACTTCTTCTTCTTCTTCTTCATTTCTGTCCTTTTGCCCGTTTTCTGCTTCCGCAAACGACAGTCGCTTATTTATACCCCGTCTTTGCATCGCGCGCGGGACCGAGCGAGGGTGCTTTTGCGTTTGCCCGCTACTGCCGCGCGCACTAGTGTCGTTACTGTTTACTTCTCGCTTATATTAACTTGATTTTCGTATCTCTAATGTCATGTTTGTAATCCTTACCGTAAAATACGTTTCAGAAGAAAAGGGGAAACAGAAGGCGCAGCGTTTGTCGAAACTTTGGAACGCGAGGTCTCTCAGCGGCACCCTGACCCGTCCTTCTCACTCAAGACAGGTTCCTCGATCAACACGACGAATGAAGGATGCACCACGACTTCCGGATAAATCTCGACGTTTTATTTGTGCGCACAAACACACACAAGCGATCTTCCTCACGAATTATTAGATTATTGAGATCGCGAGACACGGTGCCACACAGAGGTTTACCACACGCACGCACGATATACGTGGCGCGAATACATCGCAGTGCGTGCGCTCGCGACAAAAGCGAGGAGGGTGGAGAGCCGAACAAATAAATGCTGAAAAGAGGAACAAAACCGACATTATGTGGCATTAACATACAAAGTATGTCAGACCCGCGATCCGCAGGCATAACATAGTATCGCGCGGCATACGCTCGCATACCCCGCCTGCTTTTCGCTCTTCGTCGTCGTTGTCGTCGGCGGCGGCGGCGGCGGCGGCAGCGGCGGCGGCGACAGCAGCGGCGGCGGCGACGGCCGTGAGAGCGAAAGAGGAAGGTAGAGCGAATACATACGCTGCTCTCTCACATGTGCATGCGTGCGTACCCGAAAATAAGAATAAAGGAGAAAGACGAAAGGGCGGAAGGAAGCAAAGAAGGAAGGAAGGAAAGAAGGAAGGAATAAGTCGTACCGAGATGCGAGACAGAGAAAGGTATATGAAAGAGGGTGGATATGTCGGCGATAGGCTCGTGCGACAATGAGGAAGAGGTAGTTAGGGAAAAGGGAACGTGGGGGAAGGCGAGCAGTGACGGATTTCTAAATAGTAGGCGCGCTTTTTTTTAAAGGGCACATTCAAGCTGTCGCGTCCGTGTATCGCCGATTATACCCAAATGACATAAGATGTTATAAAATCATTCAGAATGTGTTCAGGACATGCCTTGAGGGGTGTCGTAAGATGTCTTTAAGTATCCAGGATAATCTCAGGATATTTTGTGTCATCTGGATAAGCATACATCTTATATACGCACATTCGCGAAATTTGCATCGGGTTCTTTGTTGTAACAATTTTAATTTGTCATTTTAAACATTCACCAAGTCCTTGCCATTGGTGGGAAGGGGAGAAAAGGAGAGCAAGAGGCGACGTTTACGCGATTCTCCAGTCGTCTGAAGGTCCCCCATCTCCTACCGCTTCGTTGTCTCCCCCGATGTACACGTGTGTCTCTATATGTGTATGTGTGTGCGCGCCACGCGGTGCGGCTCAACGCAAAAGGGCTGCCTGGAGCGGGAGGAGAGGACGCTGGAGAGTAGTAGAACGCGCAGGAAAGGGAAAAGATCCGAGGAGGCAGCAGCAGCAGCAGTAAGCGAAGGCAAAGGGAAAAAACGAAGCGCATATATCGGGGCCGGCCTACGACGCCGACGACGACGACGACGACGACGGCGACGCCGAGGACACACACACGTGCACGCAAAACGAAGGATTCTCCTACTATGTCACCGCCGCCCTACAGGGCTCCTGATCGGCTACCGCTAGCAAGGGCCGCGAACCGCTTGAGGACCAAGCAGGACTGACCCTTTCACCCGCACTATGCTACATTATCTATTTTTATAGAATGAAACAAGTATATATTAAGGGTACCAGAATATGTAATTTCGTATTAGAAAAAAAAATGAAACACACTTAAAAGTAGAAAAAATAAGTGGGGACAAATGAAAGCTGATTACGATGCATAAAATTAGTATACCGGTTCTCATTTATTCTCATTTATTTTTTCTGCTTGTCGCAGATTCAATATTTCGAAAGCTTTCTTTCTAATTCTAATAATGTATATGTAATAAATCGAATATATTTTACCCAAAGTAACGCTAAAAGCGAAAAAATATTGTTTATATACTACTGCTCTCAAATAAATGACTACAAAATACGACAATAATATGACACAATTTGGAACAAAATGGTTTTATTTTCGTAATTTTGAATGTTTTCAAGATCACGCAAAAACATCGACTACATGAGTTATCTTGAAAACGTTCCGGTTGTAACGATCGCTCGTACCCAACGCTACCCGATCCCTTTTCGCTTTTGCGGCTTCACGTTTACCTCTATGCGTTACTACCTACTAGCGAAAATTTACACACGCATCTCAAATTGTATTTCACAATACGTTTAGAAAATGTAGCGCTTCGTGAAATTCAACTTGATTGTCTGTTTATCATAAAAAATTGGACCGAATAACTGTGCAAGCCTGTTACAAACTACTCTGTATTTGTAATTGAGAGTATACGATTTATTCCCTAAATAGGTTATAGACATGAATCTAAAAATGCTACTTGCGATCTTGCTACAAAAAGTTTATACAGGCCTTACAAAATCTCATAATCCCGTAGAAATATGTACGTTAAAATATATTAAAAATGCTAAGAATAATAAATTATAATATTATGTTTATTTCTTTACGAATCTTCCTTGCATAATCTTCAGCAAGTCATACAGAATAATTAATGCAAAATAATCACGGAAGGGTGCCCTATATATATATATATATATATATTTACTATAATATATATATATATTTACTATATAAATATATATATATATTTATATATATATATATATATATTTATTTATTATTATTATTATTTATTATTATTATTAATATATATATATATTACATATATATATTAAATTCCTCACCAATAAACAGAAATAATCTTTAGTGCTATTACTGGCGTTAAGGTTCGGCATTTAACTTATTAACACACACAAAGTACCCTTTTGATGATAAGATACCACGGCATTTGAGATGAACCTGATATCTAGTTAGCCATTGTAAACGAGCGGTATCACCAAAAATCTCTTCCAACACTTCTTGAGGAAGGATTTCTGTAAAGAAAAAGTAGCAAGGTAACAGATAAATGTTATATTTTACAAATGACTGTTTTTCAACTGGAAAACACAATTGGTAAACACTTACGACACGGGTCACTGTGTGTTAATAATTGAATGTCATTTTCCTTGGTGAATGTCTGCAAAGCTGGTGGAACAACACAACACGTGGCTAAGTTAATTTGGACAATATTTGGCTTTATCTAAAAACAACAGATAAAAATAATAGATATGGTAAATTCAATAGTAAATATATTTGAGAATGAGTTATAATGACCATGTTATACAAATAATACATTCTTACATTGGCCCATTGGAACAATTCAATGAATATGTTTGTATTAATATCACTCAAACCAACACTGGCCAGTTTGTTACTTTTCACATATTCTTCTACTACAGACCATATGCGTTTCAACGATGATAATGTATCTTCTGATTCTTCGGTACTTTTGTAAGCTATCACTAAAGATTCTATAATATCCGTATTGAGTGCCTTAAATGCTGTAACAGAATATAATGTTAGAAACACATACAGATACATTATTGCAATAATTAACACACCTTGATCCAATGCTTGTTTTAGTGAATCTTCATCAGGTGAGGGGATAAATACTTTTATAGTAATTTTCAATTCTTTTCTGTCAACGTTTTGTAGACTTATGTCCTCCTTACCATTAATCTAAAATTACAATTAATAAAAATTTCTCAAATACAAAAATATTCTTGATTACATCAAATCATTAGACTATATACATACAATTGTTGCATTATCCCCTTTGCCTTGCTTGTCATTTAGGATAATTTTCAACGCTTCGATTAACTGAAATAAATCAACGAAAAGTATATTAATGTCGCCAGATAGATTCGAAAAAATACGTCATGTACAAAACGACATAACCTTGATGATGATAAATCGATAATTTGTGCTATCGCAATGACTGTTACGTTATTAATTGTTTCGTGCCGGTAGAGAAATGTTATGCAATATTGACTAACCTCATCTGTGGAATTTTGGCTCGCCTTCTTTTTCGCCTCGCTAAGACAGAGTATATTCCCGGTGTTGATCAGCAAATCGTGGGGTACCATATTTGAAGAGTAATAATGATCTCCTCACGGCAAGATATCTTTTGACGTCTCGTTCTGACAGTCAGGGTACTTATACGCTCGTGGCAAAAAGCGACGTAAACGAACGTGACTCTCCTATTTAACCGCAAGAAAGGGACTGAAACTGCTGTACGAAGAGAAAATTCCCGAACAATTTATCAAGTCTAATCGTTGACGCGCGCGATATGTGATTACACTTCGCATTCAAGTATCCTTTATACCGATTACATCAACTTATATCATACTAGAGATTTTAGATAAATCACACGAGTGATTGTTTCCGTCATTAACGAACGCGAAAAATGCGAATTCGGCATGAGTTTCCGTAAACTTTAACGTAATGAATTTTCATAATAATGATTGACAATATTTATCGCCGTGACAGAGAGAATTTCGTGTTAAATTTCATGTGCGGTCAAAAGTCGTTAACAATATTAAAATTGATATTGCAAATATCTTATACTGGTTATAAGTGATATCAGAGTGTTAACGATCATTTTTCCAACTTGATTTTTATTTACAGCATCAAGACAAAAGCAAACGTAGAAAAATATTTTTCACACAATTTTGTTATGATAATGATGATCATCTGATGATAATGAGTATCTTATCTGATATATCCGCATAGAATGTTTCTTATAGAATTGCAATAAACATATTCTCGATCCTGCGAGAACTGTACAATTATATAATTGTAGAATTTGAAGAAATGTCACAATCATAATCATTCGAAGAAATCGATTTTAATGCCAGTATGTGATTGGTCAACAAGCGACGGATGGCATTACCAATGTCATTTTGAACAATCTTGTGTTATCGCATGTTGCTCTTTATTATTAGAAATTACACCGATTTTCGTACAGTGTATAAGAAATATATGGTATTTAATTATCATGTAGCTTCGCGTCGCATCGACAATACGTCGGTAAAAGTGCAACACGGAAAATAGGGAAAAGCTTCTTCTGTGAGTTTGCCATATCGACGTGTTTATATAATTCGTAACGCTTGTGCAAAAGGATACTCCATATCTTGCTTATCATTCCGTGCTCGTTATCGGAAAGTAGATCAATCAATAGATTCTATGCGGCACGTCGATTGTTCTGTGCTGAATCAGTGCTAAATTGGATTTTATCAAAATGACTATCGATATTCCTGCCTTTGCCTACGCCGCTGCGGTTGCTGGCGGTGGAATATTAGGTTACGTGAAATCCAGTGAGTTTATATTATTATGATGACTTTTCATTTTTTATATGTATACGTAATGTCAGCTTCCAAAGTAAAAGCTTGCGACAATTCACAGTTGAGAGTGCATCATTAGCTAAGCACAAGTGTATTGATCATATTTGTAGTGTTTTGATGTACTCACACAGAGTGTTTAAATAATGCCTGACGTTTTCCAGATTCTATTCCTTCCTTGGGAGCTGGTTTACTTTTCGGATCTGTGTTAGGATACGGAGCTTATCAAACTTCACAAGATCCTACTAATGTTGCAATTTTCTTAGGAACCAGTACAGTTCTGGGAAGTTTGATGGGATATCGATATTATAACACTGGCAAAATAATGCCAGCTGGAATGATTGCTACATTAAGGTATTTATTGTTGCTGATGTTATATGTTCTATGTCTTTACAAATTCATACTTATGTATATTAATGTTGAAATTATTTTCAGTGCTATTATGATTATAAGAACAGTTACACGGTACTTCTCACCACCATTGAAAACAGAGTAACATGTATATTCTTTAGTGTTAGAAATATTGCATTTATCAATATTAATGTTTTTAATTCTAAGAACCACAAAATAATAAATCATGAGATCATGAGAATTAATGATATATTTGAGGAAATATTATGTCAAATATACCAAAATATTATGTAAATTGTAAGTTTCTATTAAAATAAAATCCAAAAGATCCATAAAAGTTAACGGTATTGTTAAAATTGATCATCAATGTATTTGACTGGCTGTCATACAAATAACTGGACAGCTAATGACATGGTGACACTGCCGTCTTCATAGAAATAATAGAAACTGGATGCTCATTCTTTGCCTTCTTGTTTATTTTTTTCTATTGCAATATGTTACACTTTTATAAATTGTGAAGAAAGGCAAACAGCATACGGTATATGTTTTTGTGTTTGATCCGTAAGAGCTGATAAATTATTAAAAATACACTACAAGAAAGCAGTATTTCCAATATGTTACTAGATTTCATGAAATCCAATGCCAGAGAGGAACCTGAAAGCGGCCAACACGGTGTTTTCGGCGACACCGACTTTCCGCACTGGGAAAGGGCGCCATCTGCATCCATTTTGATAAGGGAACTGCGATACTACATCCACTTTCAGGACTCGGCGGTAAAATCTGCATGTGGTGGCAGTCCGTGCTACATCCACTTTCAGGCGGTTTATGTCCGTGCTACAACCACAATAGTGTACTTGACAAGCACGGTCTCGCACATTGTTACGCGTTTATAACATGAATTAACATGTTAACATGTGCAAAAAAAAAAAGAATTGACATTGTGTATGATTAATATCATGAAGATCATACGAAGTGTCCGGTAATTAGCTGCCAACTCGAAGTGTGAGGGTAGATTGGGTTGAGACAAACATAAAAGTCCCATAACGTTTTGCGAGATTCGCAATAATTATCGAGTTATTAATGACAGAAATCTGAGGAGTAGAAGCGCGCCGACATAGATGATCGGAGAAGCATTGCAGCTGCTCAGGGCAGCGATCATGAATCTTTTCCCTAGCGTGAACTAATGAAAAGTGAAAAACTTCTGTGAATTAGTGCAAAATGAAAAATTTTATACGAATTTGTGAAAAACGAAACATTTCACACGACAATTGAGTCATTCAACATGGTAGTTGCGTTCTGGATAATTCTTAGAGAATAACAAAGAAATCAAAATGATCAAAATAATAATGTCCGTGTAGTCCGAAGGATATTACATGACACGCAAAATCAATTTGATATTCAGGGTCATCGAAAAGTATCGGACCCCTCTAATATCTTCAGTTAGAATACATTTTGGAGAAAATGTCCAATAGCAAAGTTATATGGTTTCAAGCGGGGAGTGAGACGATGACCTTGACTTTGACCTTGACCATGTCCTTCAAGGTCATTTCAAGGTCAACCTTATTTTTTTAAATGGAACCCCCAACATTTTATTACATATTCTTATAGCTTATCTCGAGAGTTTTCCAAAATATTATAATAAAACATTTTTTCATTAAGTACTTTTTGAGTTATAAAGGTTTGAAGTTAACAATTTGTTAAGTGGTATGTGATTCCGGTCAGTTAAGGCAAGAGTGGTGTGTGATTCCGGCCAGTTAAGGCAAGAGTGGTGTGTGATTCCGACCAGTTAAGGCGAATTTCATTCCAATTGATCAGCTTGGGCAAAACATTCAATTGTACCAAACAATTCACAACAAATGTTCAAATTGTTGCCCTTCAACAGCCTGGCAACATGCCCATCTGTTATAAACAGCTGAAACCGCATTCCGGAACGGCGGTATTAGTTCTATCTCTCGAGTTATTCTCCCTCTTAAATCATCTAAATCTTGCTTGGTGGCATAAACTTTACTTTTCAAGTAACCCCATAAAAAGAAGTCAAGTGGGATCAAGTCCGGAGACCGAGGTGGCCACTCAATATGACCCCTTCGCCCTATTCACCTATCCTGAAAGACCTCATTCAAATATTGACGGACAATGACATTATAATGAGGTGGAGCTCCATCCTGTTGGAAATAAATTTCATCCATATTTCCACCAGCTATGTCTCGAATAGCTGGAACAATTTGTTCACGAAGCATGACTGTGTATACTTGTGCTGTCAAATTGCCTTCAATGAAGAAAGGGCTAACTGGTCTATCATTAAGAATACCAGCCCATACGTTAACTTTTTGTGGATATTGGGTATGATTGTCTCTTTTCCAGTGAGGATTAACGTCATTCCAGTATCTACAATTGTGCCTATTTACATTTCCAGTCAGTTCAAATGTTACCTTATCAGAGAAAACAATATTATTAAGTAATAGAGGATCGTCGACAATCATCTCCATCATAAGATCACAAAATTCGATACGTCTATCAAAATCGTCTTCGGACAACTCTTGGACCAAATGGAGTTTGTATGGATGCCATTTATTCAATTTCAGAATTTTACTGACAGATGCATGACCGATTTCGTGTTCTTGTGCAACGCGATTGATGGAAATGTGGGGACTTTCAACGAAAGACTGTAAAAAATCTAATGCCTTATCATTATTTGTTGCTGTTTTACGTCTACCAATCTTGGGCGGCTTTTAACGTTACCAATGTGCTCGAAACGTTGAATAGTACGGATTACAGTACTTTTGGAGATCCTATTATTTTCATTCCAAAAATTTTCATTAAATAATCGCGTTACTGTTTTATCCCTCTTTGTTGATCTCCCCATCCTCACATCATTAACAATGTTATTCGATCTCTTTCAGAAAGCTCCGCCATTCTTAATTAGAGCAAAGAAGAATTAATCAGGTAAGTGATAGGAAATTGATCTAAATAATTAAGTAGAGAAAAATACTAATTATTAAGTGTTGGTTCAACTATCGATTTGTTTATTTCAACCAGCACTAGCAAAAAGCTCGTTGAGCAACTGAAAATCTAATAGATCAATTAATAATATTTACGAAAAAATTCTGGGCTATTGGAAACAAAATGAAGATGTTTGGGACAATCAATTAAAGTGCAATGGCTTCTTTTGTTACAGAAACAATTTTTGGGGCTGTTCGTTTTCGTCCACGAGGTGACTGCTGCTCGCTAAGAAGAAAACAGCACTGTATCAAAGATTCAAATTAGTGATCCGCATTGTTTGCTCAAGAGCTTGTATTACTATTGGTGCCTGCGAGAGTGAGACAATAAAGATCGGCCCCGCCAACGCTTTCGGGCAGATTCCCGCTAACGCCTTTGGACATCACGCATTCGAGCAGCTTCTCGCGAAGGTTTCACCTTCGGGCAGTTTTCCGGCATAGCCTACTAGCATAACCGCTTGAAGCCGTACAACTTTGCTATTGGACATTTTTCCAAAATGCATTCTTACTGAAAATATTAGGGGGAGCCGACACTTTTCGATTAATGTATTTTCTTTAAACCAATTAATTGGTCTCATTATTTCGCGCACAAAAGTATTAAGGTTATGATTACTGAAAACTAAATAATATTTTACAAGATATTTTACATTTTGTGTCAAAAAATTGTTAACTTCAAACGTTTATAACTCAAAAAGTACTTAATGAAAAAATGTTTCATTATAATATTTTGGAAAGCTCTCGAGATAAGCTATAAGAATATGTAATAAAATGTTGGGAATTCCATTTAAAAAAATAAGGTTGACCTTGAAATGATCTTGAAGGACATGGTCAAGGTTAAAGTTCAGGTCATCATCTTACTCCCCGCTTGAAACCATATAACTTTGCTATTGGACATTTTCTCCAAAATGCATTCTAACTGAAGATATTAGGGGCGTCCGATACTTTTCGATAACCCTGTATATCACCGACGAAAGAAGCGCCCCCATCATAAAATGTGTGACTACTTTGTCACGCTTATATCATCAACTCCCGCATCAATCTCCCACCCTCGATAGAGTCAACGTATGATCATGCGCGAGTTAAGGCTTGTCATGCCCCGAGTGAGCCTGACGATCCCATAATTAATATACATTAATTATATGGCGAAAGTGCCACGCGAAGCACTTCCGCCTGCACCGCACGTGTTACAAGTTAAGCATCACGTCACCCAGCGGAAGTCCAAAAAAGGCAATAGGCAAAGAATGTACGGTCTGCATGGATGAAGGTCGCAAGTGGCGTGATGTTTCCGCAAAATTTGCAAGATTCCCTCGGCGACGAGTCTATAAATCGGCTGCCGTCACCGAAGGAAGAGAGGGCCAGTCCACCGGTCGACCGAACCGGACGTATCTATCTCTAAGACTACAGTTGTAGCGCGCTAGCTAGAGGGCCAAGTCAATAAGACTCCTTTTCTCAAAATAAAACTATGGTTTTATTACAAAAACCTCCTCCGCAACCACTGCCTCGTTAATTGATTCCGCAACAGGCTCTTGCAGACCAACGCGATGTCCAATGAGCGTACAGCTTTTCCGAACGTCACATCCGTCGCACGATAGATCACGTCGTCGCAAAAAAGTTGACTAGGCTGATATTACATTTGTCGTACGACAATCTTTTCGAATACGTTGATTGGTTAACAAACAGAATATTTCTAGGATTGCTTCGCGTACGTCAATCAATGTATCCGAAAAGCTTGTCGTACGACACATGTAATATTAGCCGAAAGGTCATTCTACAATACGTGTCGTAAGTTGTAAGCCGTAAGAACTGACCAATTATAACCGATTATTTTTGTAATAATCGACTATGATTCGCCAATTCTTACGACTTATAACTTACGACACGTATTGTAGAATGACTTTAAGTTTGAAGATTTGTCGCGCGCGATGAGCGATGCCGACCGAGGAGCGAGGTTGCCATTGGCGGAAACAGCATCTCGTCCCGTGCGAACCAATTAGTCTAGTTTTTCTCGTTCTGCCAAGCTTCCACAATATGTGCTCAGGACCAGACGGTTAAATTTATTATGGCAGATTATGAAGATTATGAATACCTCGACGAAAATATAGAAGCAGATATAGAAAATATAGATGTAAGTATAAATAATTATTAATTAGTTTTAGTTATGTTAGGTTAGTCACTGAATGACATCATTTGTTAAACAATAGTCATTTTAAATAAATTCTATTTATATATTAAATTTTCAGCCCAATAAATCTTTAAACTTACAAGCATTTGAAGTATTTGAAGAAATTTTAATATCAGAAGTACAAGAAAGGTCATGTTTATGGGATCACAGATTGGATATAAAAATGAGAGGAATGAACATAATACAAAAAGCTTGGGAAGAAGTGGGTCGATTTATAGTATACCTTTAGTATGTACTTAAAAAAGATTCATATTATATTTTATTCACTATTTAAATTTCTACTTTGTTGCACTTTTATTATTTTACATATAATTATCATTTTTACTTAAAAAGATACAGACCCTAATATTTGTAAAAAAAGTGGAAAAATTTACGAGATACATTTCTAAGGAAATACAAAGAAAATGATAGTTATATTGCAAGTGGTGCAGCTTTGGGGAGGGAATGCGGGAGCAGTTCCCCTAATTCCGCTCACAACAGTCCGAATGGTAGACATCCCGCACGGGTTTTTGTCGGTAAGAGTCCGACATAATCCCCGGCCCCCCAAGGGTCGGGGGTATCCACGAAGGATTTCCCCTGCGTTACCAAAAATAAAAAAGTACAGCTACAAACAAGATAAACATTTTATATTTGTATCAATTTCTCTATTATTTATTTGCGAAAGATATAATAAAAGTAAAAACTGTTTCCTTTCTCTCATTAATAATTCCATTGAAAAAATGCTGTCAATATTTTGCGTCCTATAAGCTTAGCATACATTAAGTTGTTCTGTTCTTTTTAGCTGCACTGATGCAATAAGTTAAAGCGAGAAAAATATATTTGTCTCACTCTAACTTATTGCATCAGTTCAGTAGTGCTATTAAAAAGAACAGACCAATTGAAAAGATCATCGCGTCTATGTGAAGACATGAAAAGATCTAATTTTGCGATCGTGTGTCGCGTATCGCGTGTCGCGTCGCGCATCGCGCTGGTCTGCAAGAGCCTTTATGAAGATTCAGTTTCCGCGAAAAAACTAATCGGGGGACGTTCGCAGCCGCGGTGGAATTTAACGCTCGCGTTCGCAAGGGCCTAACATTCTACTCGCGAAGGGACGCCATCGCTCCTCTTTTCACAACGGTGCGGATGTTTAACTCCTTTCTTCCTTATTTTCCGCGACAACGATACCGCGACGAGGCCCTAACGAGGCAAGTTCGTTTCCCACATAGCACGTAATATTACATAATACTACGTGCTATATGGGTTATAAACCAGCGTTTATGTCAAGAGCGCTTCTCGGGAATATTCCACTCGAGGGGTTAGTTAGCGATCGAAAATTTCCTGCGACTGGAGGCCGCTGTGATTTAAAGTTAAATTGCAGCAAGAGCATTGTTATCGGGCAGCCCTGAGATGAGCTGCTGTCATCCGTCCGTGACATCTGCCGCGTGCCTTTGCAATTATCGGCAAATTCAGTTTTCTCGCGCGATTCCAAGTGGCCATAATATATGGCTATGGCGATAATACATGGCAATATATGGCAATAATATATGGCAACAATATACGGCAACAATATATGGCAACAATATATGGAATATATTTTTCGTTACAAAAGTCAATGCAAATTTACGGCATGCACAATGTAATAATAAAAGAGCTCTCTGCGAGCATTGAGTCAAACGCTCACCGATGATGATATTGATAATGTCTCGTTGCATCCAACCAGATCCGCCAATATCCGTCCATGTCCGCTGCCGCTCTCCATGTCACGCAGCATCCATCTTGCAGCGCGTCCCACGTTGATTGCTACACTTTCACCACACTTCCGCGACACGGTCGATACGCGGTATTAAAGCGGCGATATTTGCGTCAATTAACAACGAGCGTTTTACGACATTGGTGAAAACTTTTTACGCGCTGCAAAATGGACTCTATAAACTCGATCGGCGAGGAGCAAGAACCGTGTGAAAATTTATCGATCCGACCAACGGATTTTTACAGCACTTTTCGCGATCGCGTCTGAAAAGTCGCGAAAATGCGGGAGTATCGATATCTACGAGAATATTCGCGAATACATGCGAGGAAAGATTAGACAATCAGAAACCGGTCACTCCGAAGGAGCGCAAAGAGAGAGAGAGAGAGAGAGAGAGAGAGAGAGGGAGGGAGGGAGGGAGAGAGAGAGAGAGAGAGAGAGAGAGAGAGAGAGAGAGAGAGAAAGAGAGAGAGAGCGGGGCAAAGTTTTCACGCATGATAGTTCCGTCACGACGAAGCTTACGTTCGCGATACTTTGGCGAAATGAGAATTTAAGCCTTCTTTCTAAGCGTTAGCAGCGCGGATAAAAACGCGTATTTTGATAACCGCGGTCGCGATATTCAAAGACACGCGAGCGAGGATACCTCAAGCTCGGCGTGCGCTGGCGCAATTTCTGCGCGCATTATACGCTATTCGAGACAATAGGAATCGTGATATATGGACAATATTGCCAAATAATTCTACAGCCTGTTTTGCAAATGAAAAAAAAGTAGCCAACGGTATCGGCATTTATGCATATGAATATATTTTACACGGACAATTGAATATTGTCGAATAATTGTCGTTAAATAATTCTGCGGCCCGCTTGAAAAATAAAAATAAAGCAGCTGATGACCGTATCGCGTTTGTAGATATGAATGTCTCTTATTCAGATGACTGAACATCAAAAGAGAATCATTCGGTATTTTAAATCTCGTATGTAATGCAGGATATCGATCAAGTAATCCCCTGATTGCTTCGAGCAATGTATTTTATTCAATGTCACAAACACACACATGCAAAATCCCAACATGCAAGAATCTATTTGCAATTTGCATTGACTCGAACGATATTTTATCTAGTCCCACATCGGTCATGCGGAATTTTGTTTCTCTTTTCATTTTATATTTACTCATCGAAACGACTTGCAGTCAGAGCCGGCCACGTTCCGCTTCAACTCTGTAACAAAAAATTCACATACGCTCATCAGATCAGACCAACGAGTGCGGGCGAGTAAAAGAGTAGTTTACCCTCTGCGATCGTAATTCAAATCGAGCCGGAAATTATATCCCAGCTCTAGATCGCCAAGGGTCGAGCAGAGGACTATAGTAAACTTGTAAACTTACCTTCAAGCCGACTTTGCTTGGCCCAAATCGAATCTTCCGATGCGGCATCCGCGTCCGCCGGATTGCTGTTGCTTTCCGCAACAACTGAAACTGAAAATTAATTTTCCCGGTTGATAACCTGCGGTAGAGAAAGAATATCTTTGATCGGGACGAATCGAAAATACGGAAATATCTTGGTACGGAAGTTTTATCTTTATATTTTTGTTTCAACATTGAAAATTTGAATGAGACTTGAAGCTTTCAAAAGAGCCGTTGAGGAACAAGTTGCAAAGGCAAAGACCGTAAAAGGTTGAACACAGATGTGTAGGAAACTTGTAAACTTTACTACCTTCCGATCGACTCTGCTTGGCCCGAACCGGATCCTCCGGTACGGCATCCGCATCTGCCGGATTGTTGTTGCTTTCCGCAACAACTGAAACAGAAAAATAGTTTTCCCAGTTGATAATCTGCGGTAGAGAGAGAATGTCTTTAATCGAGACAAATCGAAAATACGGAAATATTTTGATATGGGATTTTTATCTTTATATTTTTGTTCCAATATTGAAATTTTAAATGAGACATGAAGCTTTCAAGAGAGCTGATGAGGAACAAGTTGCAAAGGCAAAGATTGTAAAGAGTTGAACACAGATGTGTAGGAAACTTGTAAACTTTGCCTGTTCTGCCCGAATCGGATCCTCCGATGCGGCATCCGCGTCCGCCGGACTTGCTTCCCGCAACGTCTGGAACAAAAATTTAGCGTTCTTGGTTGGTAAGCTGCGGTAGAGAAAGAATGTTTGGTCGGGATGAGTGGAGAATATTCGCTACGATTTTTTTTCTTCATTGACATTGAAAGTCTAAATAGGACTTGGAGCTCTTGAAAGAGCTGACGAAAAAAATGACAACAAGAAACGGAGACAACAGTTGTGTGTTCTCGAAAATACTCTTTTACGAATGGACATTTAAATTTAGATGCCATAACGAAAGTAAACAGATTTGAAAGAAGCGCTGACCGAAAACAAAAAAAGTCGCAGTCTAAGAAGCGGTGATGACGCTGAATATTGTACACAAGACCGGTATATTCACACAGTTGAGAATTATTCAGAATGTTTGATTGAGAACATGATGAATTAGAAATCCGCGTTCATGGACCGTTATCCGTCCCTGTCTGGATCAATATTTCTTGTATACAATAACGCAATAAATAGATAGACAGACAGAGATTGACGAAAGTAATTGCAGATTCATAAAGTCATGATTACTAGTCGGATGATGACGGATCGTGAATGCCGAGCGCGAAATTCCGACTTCTTATTCCCGGAAAATTTGTCAAACGTCCGTTCTCGTTATCGAAGACCTCCCGCATAATAAATGATTCCACACACCTGGAAACGTGACGTATCACTGCCGGCGTCTTGCTTCCCGGCTGCTGGAGTCCTTCGGATTTCACTCGCTCACGCTTCTAATGCCGATACTCGCGATTCGACCGTGCGGTTAATCAACGCGATGCCGATTGAGTATCTCGAGGACCGACGAGATATATTTCTTTCAATTATAGACAGAAGTGACGAGCGCGTTGCGCACGGCTGCTGCTGATGGAATGAGATCGAGTACGCGAGGTGCGCGATTATTAATACAAAGGGCAAAAAGTGTCGTCGCTCGTGAGCTGATCACACAATCGGCGCGATGTAAACATTGCGGGCCTCGGCGGCGGTTGAAGCAAGAGAGACTTGCCCTTGGGCGTCTCTTCTTTTCTCGAAAGTTCCGTAACGACGAGGGGAACTTTTCGGCGAGGAGGCCTTTCAACTGTACGCGACATTGATTTACTATTTATTGATTACTGAAAATAAAGAAAATTATTCTATCGAAGCATCGGATATTTGTTAGCTTTATGTTAATTAAAGAGGAATGTGTACGATTAGAAAATGTGTTAGCAACTAATTGTACAGAGTGTCAAAGTTGTTATGACGCCGTTTTTGGAGAATAATTAAAGGTCATGGTAGTGTTAAAGAGTAGAATTTCATCCCATGCGAATTTTGTCTCGTTTTTATTAAATGTTAGATTATCCGCTGCGGACAATAACTCTTCTACTTTTCGTCTAATATAATATAATAATGATGATAAATAACATTTAATTGCATTTGTTTGGCTCTTTTTATTTCGAAAATAAAAAAGTATATTCCAGGGTGAGATTTCACCCATGACAACATCAACGTGATTTTCTTTGATGCTTTTTTTAAAAGTTCAGATATTTCGTCGACTCGCAGATCTTATAATCGAAGTTTCGTCGCATTAATTAACACGTGCTCCTCCAAGCGGATCGAATGCTCACCGACGGCCACTGTCAGTGCCACGAGCGAATGTCCGGAGCGGACGGAATGCTGAATTGAGAACCCTGTATAAAATGTCATATTTAAAAGTATTATTCGCATTCACGAGATTTCGTCGTGAATTCTGCTTTGTGGAAATCTCGGATTGGATCGCGGGCCAATACTTTTCAATGCTACGGGGAATAAAACGTGAAAATCTTGTATGCCTCTGAATCTGAAAACAATTAAGAAAAGAAATGAATACTTTTCAATGCGAAAGTTCGCATTTGAAAATTATCGATTGCGATTGAATACAAGGCATATTTGAAATGAATTGAATCCTTTTTAATGCGAAGCATTCACCACTCCCGTCTCGCATTTAGCGCAGTAAAATTTAATGGGAACTAATATTTTTCAATCCTTTTCTTCGGATCAGAAAGCAGAATTCAGACATATTCAAAATGTCAATATTTTTTAATATGTTTCAATTCGACATTTTATACAGGGAAACAGGACGAAGAGAACGGGATGCAGGCAACGATACATCATGCGTCTCCAGACGTGTCAAATCGTTTAATACACATGTGTTTATTATATATGTGTATAGAGGAGACTTTAATACAGCAACATGTATTCGAAGATTTAATATTTAATACATATTTTTATTTTTCCTGCTCCTCCCCTCTCTCTAACCCTCGCTCTTAGACCTCCGGGCATGGTCTGGCATAGAGATGGCAACTATGGTTGCAGCACGGACATAAACCGCTTGAAAGTAGATGTAGCATCGTAGTTCCCCTCTCAAAATGGATGCAGATGGCGTCCTTTCCCAGTGCAGAAAGTTAAGCCAGCGGCACACGATGCTTGTTTTCGTGCTGGATTGCTTGCTGGATGAAAATATTGCGTTCTGATTGGTGCATTTCCATCCATCTTCGGAAATGTACCAATCAGAACGCAGTATTTTTATCCAGCAAGCAATCCAGCACGAAAACAAGCACCGTGTGCCGCTGGCTTTAGTGTCGCAGAAAATGCCGTATTGGTATTGGCCGCTTTCAGGTTTCTCTCTGGTATGTAATGAGCGTTTTCCAACTAAGAAACACTTACTACGTTTATACGGCAAGGTTAATTCGGATTAGTAACAACCGTAGTTAATGAATTCTTTGATATTCGATTGGTATATTCTTTTAGATCTAAAAATATACTCTAATCGGATTCGAGATTGCACTAACTACGGTAGTTACTAAGTTGAAGTTAGAAGACGTGTAAACATAGTCATAGTGTTACACACTAGTGTTTTACTGGCTATATATTATCTACAACATCTTTTTAGATAATGCATAGCCAATAAAATATTTTTTTGTAACAGCGTTTCTTGCTGGAAAATGGCCACTGTTGATTATAGAGAGAAAATACTAAAGCCTAGAGAAAGTGCCTGTAAAAAAGTGCAAGTGAAAAGCACTGGTGTAAGTTTCGATTTCAACAGTTTTCGGCCTGTTTATTTTTGGCGGCACTATATCTGTGTGTTCATCGATTTAATTCTTGGAGAGCGTCAAGTAACGAAGTATGTACGAGTGAGCATATAAAAAAGCTCTGAACAAAAGCGAATAAAGCACGTGATATTTCGTCCAGCTGTTTCAGAGCTGTGCTCATAATAATCAAAATGGAAGATAACGGTCATACCAATTCTAATCCAAATAACACAGATTTATCAAAATTAACGTGTACTGGTTCTGGACCTGAAGATGGGTCCTCGCCGATCGCGGGTAAGTCGATATTACATATTAATACCAAAGAAGAAGGTTATTCCTGAGACATTAAAGGCATTACAAATAACAAAAAGTTAGCTTTTGTTTCCTTTTATTGTCGCATTTAGCTGGTTCTCGCCGTATAACTGGACTTGACAATGATACCGGATTTGATAATTAACTATTTTTCTTGCACGTGGAGAATATTTTGAGTAATGTTTTGTAATCGACTAAGAATTGAAGTATACGCGGTAGTCTGTAATATAAAGACTTGAGAGAATTTATTTTAATACAGAATAAATAGAGGACAGTTTGTTTATTTTCTTTCAATATAATGATACTTGAAGTGTTTGATAATAAAAGATAAATTTAAAAACAGTTTTGAAATACTTCATATATATACTATATTTCTTGTCTACCTGATAACATATATATACATTTTTTTTGTATTGTCTAATACAGTATATTGTCCTGTTTTGTTCAAGATGTACTAATTGCTAATGACGTCAAATTTAAGAATGCACCATTAGTAGTAAAAGAAAAATTAGTAGAATCAAGAAAAAGAAAGAAAATTGATTTAGAACAACAACTAGTTGAAGACAAACTTAAAGAGGAAATTAATGAGCAGAGATATAAACGACTTATGCATTTATTGAGTAAAAGTAAATTTTATTCCTCCTATATTCTGACAAAAATTGAGACATCTGCGGCAGAAGAAAAGAATAAAAATAAAAGGAAAAAAAGAGTTGTTAATGAAAATAAGAAACCATCAAAGAAAAGAACTGATATACTAAAATATGACATAAAAAAATATCTATCTGCAGATGTGAGTAACAAAAAATTTAAGTTTTTGTTATAATTGATGCATAATAAAATTCAAATATCACAATCAATTTAAGTTTGATAAATTTTTATATTTATATTGTACTTATTTATAGGTACAAATGCAAACACGAGTTGAAAACAAATTGAATTTAAGTACAGAAGAAATAGAAGAGGAGTTGCATATGGAGTCAGACAGTGAGGAGAAAAAATTTACAAATGATGTCAATATTATACTGAAATATTTTCATGGAGAATTATATGATTATCAGCAAAAGGGTTTACAATGGTTGAAAGTACTTTATGAGAATGGCATAAACGGAATTTTAGCTGATGAGATGGGTCTGGGAAAAACAGTACAAGTGATTGCTTTATTATGTCATCTTATAGAAAAGCAACAAAATGGACCTTATTTAATAATTGCACCTCTTTCAACTATACCAAATTGGATGTCAGAATTTGAAAGATTTGCTCCTGCTATCCCAGTTGTGCTATTACATGGACCAAAAGCTACACGAGAAGATATATATTCTATAATTAACAAGAAACATACAGTTGAAAGCTACAAAACTCTACCTGTTGTACTAACTACTTATGAAGTACCTATGCAAGATGTTAAATTCCTTCAGAAATATGTGTGGAGATATATTATAATAGACGAAGGACAAAGAGTCAAGAATCATAAGTGTTTCTTGCTCAAGTATATTGACATTAAAAACTTATTATGCTAATTAAAAATAAGTTACTGATAACAGGAATTATTTCCAAAATAAGACACATTTCATGAAAACCAATATCATAGAAGTTATGTCTTTATTGTTTCTAAAATTAATATTAAATTTAGTAATAACAAGTTCAATAATAATAGCTTGAATATCCTATTTCATAGATATAAGTGTCTTGGTTGGTAAATAGCTCTTTCAGTTATGCAGCTTTACATCAACTTTTATTATATGAATACATTTTCTAGAATTGTAATCATACATTTTTAATTTTTAGAGCTTTGAAATCAATAAATTCTATGAATAGACTACTGTTAACTGGAACTCCGCTTCAGAACAATTTAGCCGAGCTGTGGTCTCTTTTAAACTTTCTGCTACCAGAAATCTTTGATGATTTAGCTGTATTTGAATCATGGTTTGATGCGAGGGAATTTGTACAACAGGATGGTACCGAAAAATTTTTGAAGCAGGAAGAAGAGAAACGAGTCTTATTCTCATTACGTGAAATATTAAAACCGTTCATGTTAAGACGATTAAAATCTGATGTTTGTCTGGAAGTTCCTCCTAAGAAGGAATTGATTGTTTACGCACCGCTTACGGAACTTCAACATAATTTATATTCGGCAGTTTTAAATCGTAACATAGAAATATTGAGTAAAATCAAACAACCGGATTTAATTTTACCTTCAATTGATGGTAAAAGACCTAAAAGACGATGTTTCCTAAGAAGTAAATACGGATCTCCTGAGAACAATTTTGAAAACAAAATTGAAAGCAAATCGTTTACATGTGCGGAAACTTCGAATAGTAATAACGAAATGAAATTGACTGCAGAAGATGCTGAGTATGAAAAAGATCTATCAGAATGGAAACAGTACACTGACGTCACAGATCGCAATCGAGATTTTCTCATCAATATTCATTTTAAACATAGGAGTAAGTGTAACTTGCATTATCATACCGTTCACATGATCCACACTTGACGTTAATTTACTTGCTTTTATTTATCATTTCAGTGATAATGTACAAAAAGATCGTAAACCATCCATACTTAATTCAATGTCCGTTGGATTCAATTGGTTTGCCAAAAGTCGATGACGATTTGATCAAATCCTCCGGCAAACTTTTAGTATTAGACGCAATGCTGGCAAAGCTTAAGGCACAGGGACACAAAGTTCTATTGTTCTCGACAATGACTATGATTTTAGATATAATTGAAGATTATCTTTCGTTACGAGATTATAAATACCTCAGACTAGATGGCAACGACAATATCGAATTGAGAAAGCGGAACATTGATAATTTCAACAATAACAAAGATATATTCTTATTTCTTATATCGATTAGAGCTGGTGGGATTGGATTGAATCTAGCAGCTGCCGATACAGTTATTATATATGACAGCGATTGGGTGAGTTGAACCATTTTATTTCCGTGCGCCTTGATGTGGACGTTTCGTTCGTACTTGCTCTTTAAAAATCTCTTAAATGATTACAGAATCCACAAGTGGATATACAAGCTATGGCACGATGCCACAGAATAGGACAAACAAAACCTGTGGTTATTTACAAACTGTGCACCAAAGGCACGATCGATGAAGCGATTATAAACCGCTCTGAAAGCAAACGTATTTTAGAGAAAATGGTTATTTCGAAATATTCGGATGTACAACAATTCAGCATAAGTACGCTGTTACAGCTAAAACAATTGTTGGAGGACAAAGAATATGAAATTGTTACATCTGAGAAGGAAGGTAAAATCTTTATAATATACATATAATATAATGAATAATAATATATAATGAATTCGCTGTGATCAAAAGGTGAATTATTCTTGCAGTTTTCACAGAAGCTGAATTGAATCAATTGCTAGATAGGAGCGACTTATTAATTAATCAGCACGTTGCAAGCAATTCCACGAATTCCACGTAAGAAACGCGAAGATTCTTAGAATTCACATCTGATATTCATATTCAATAAATTCGATATTCATATTCGATAAATCAAAAACAATGTTGCGCGGGCACAACAATATTCATAGTCGATCTTATGTTTAAAATCGTCTCAAGTTTCAAAGTTTGTGCAAATCGTTTCATTGGCTATGGATAAGATTCCTACATATAAGATTCGGCAATGAATATCGTTTTAGATAACAATATGATCATATCCATATTTTATCTTGCACAAATATTTTTTGTATAATTTATCAATCTTCATACATATATTATTTATTTAATTTTTTCAGTTAAACCTATTCTATGCAGATTTAGATTACCTGCCCGTTAGATTACTATTAAACGTCATACATGATATCACGAATAACAGTCTATCTTTTTAATTCGTATAATAAATATCAAAATTTCCTAGATACAATTTAATAAAATATAATTTGATATAATTTTAATTGTATATCAGTTTCCAGATGTATTTTTAATAAGATGTATGACGTGTACATACCATGTACACGTCATACATATATACGGTCTACACGGTGTACACGTCATACATATATACGGCACATACGTGTAGTACTATACACATATGGTACAAATCCATATTTATAAATTACAATTTGTTCGATTTAATACGAGTCTTGCCGGTCAGATGATTCTTGTACTTTAAGGATTGTGATAACTGTTCACGAAACTCAGCTTCTAATTTTACGTATGTCCCACCTGTGCCAAGTACAAAATGTTAATTTCTTTTATGATAAATATTTTAATCAACATAACACTCGATTCGATAGAAAGACGTCATCGAGTAAGTAAAAGTACCGATTGTCGGACATACTCCTATACCCGAGCACATGCAAAACCTCGTAATTCTTAATCTCAAATAACTTCGTTTTATTTATGATCATGATATTAACTTTTAACTCCAACTTTTATTATTATTTATGTTATGGATACAATTGTATATTGTAATACAATTGTATTAGTTTGTGTGATGTGTCGTATTTTATATGTTGATTAAATCAGTTGTGAGCTAATTAGAAAATTATGAAAAGTCACATGCAACTATCTTCTAAAACGTATTTATAAATAAATTATAATTATGCGTATAGAACTGTCGATGAATAATTCTGTATGTATAATGATTATGTCCGGATATTTGATTGGGAAGCTATAGCTATATCGGAAGAAGTATCTCAGATTTCTTTGAATTAATGTTTTCATTCATAATTAAAAAAAATAAATATTTCTGAAATGTAACAACTTTTATATACTAATTCTTTGCATACTAATAAATTGCTACTTCAATCTTCGAGCAATACGATATAATTAATATAATATACATAATAATAATATATTATTAAGACACATGAAACATCGTGTGCTCTCATCCAGAATCTGAATGAGCAATCTGGACTTCGCCTCGTCAAATGTCCGACTATTGAGACCTTTATCTCGACCATCACGCATTATCCGAGAAGAACCTACCGATCGGCTGCTTTGTTTTATAACCGTGATGCTGCTTGCTGCAAGATCTCATGAGCGAGCTCTCCGTGAGCGTCCGTTTCGTTAGGAGCGCTATCATTTGCACTGCGGCTCTCTCCTCAAAGTCTCTCTGATTGTCCTGATTGTGCCTTACGTTCAAATTACCGCTCCAACATCTGCCGTTGCTCCTGGACGATGTGTGAACGTGTTAGAAATACCGCGCGCGGATGAACGAAGATATCTTGTAACGACCTACTTGCGACTATTCAGATGTTTCGCCTTTCTTGCCGATTGTAATGTGGACAGGACATTTGATTCCTCGCTATAATAAGACTCTTCGTCCACGCTACTGTCCTCGCACGCGGTCCCTCCGTCGTCGTCTTCGCTGTCCGTGGTTGAAGAGGCGGGAGAAGAGAGGTCGGTGGTCACAGAAATCTGCCGACGAAACTTTTGCAAGGACCTTTGCGAGTCTTGTGGTTGGAGCGATCGACGAAATCCCGAGCCACCCCAAATTCTTCCTACTCATGTGAAATATTCCAACGTTACAATGAATAATCTTTTTTCTATGTTTAAGACATGAAGGCATATCATACACAGATGATATTAAATGAACTACCAAAGCTTTAACAATTTTTTTTAACTGTACGGTATTTTAATTATTTCATATGACAGACAACGACTGACCGAGTAGACCGAGTTTCGGTCTCTGTGGCACGAGCTCGATACCGTTCCACCACATCACATCCTTGCACACCAACTTGCCCGGCCGGAGAGACGGGTCGCGTGTCACCAGTCGCGTGATCTTTTCTGGGAAGAAGAGTTGAGGCGGCTCGATAGTTATTATTTCTCTATGCGCTGTCAATATGTTCAGTATATTTAATTCCTTCTCGCTTCTTATATCCGGCAGGTGCTCCTAGAAAAAGAAAGGAAGATATAAAATCATGTACAGACAGGATCACAGACAAACCACAATATTTTTACATTTTTTGCATGTTTCCACGTTTATATATCTTCTTTTTTTTCTTAAATGTATGACAGATATATACAAGAGCGAATTCTGTTTTATATGATAATTTCATATGTAATCCTGATACCAACTTTGTATCTGCATCCTCCTTGATTTGGCAAGGCTTCAAATCTGTAAGCACGTTGACTGCAACACGGGTATCTTCCCAACGGAAAGGGCGTAGGTCTTTGTTGCTCGTTTACGAAGAACTGCGCGGGTTCCGGATGATAGCAGCACCAATCGATCTGATATATCGGGAAGTACATGTTGCATTGTTGGCAGAACAAGAAGTGGCAGTCGCCCCATAATCTCCAATAGACCTTGCGCCAAGAGCGCAATTCCGACCGCAGGCTGACGATGTAGTCGTTCAGCGTCCATGTCAAGTCCCTGCGGAATGATACTCGATGTAGTTTCTGTATCTCTCAGGTAATGATAATCTTGTTACATTAAATATTTATATACATATTACATTAGAAATAATGATAATACTTGTGCTACATTATTCGCGTACCTTACATGCTTGCTGTGGATGGCACCCTTGTTATCGATCTTCATCGCGCTCGGGACACAAGGTACAAAATCGGAAATCGATTGCACGACGTTTTTGCTGCACTTGCCGCATTTAAATAACGTGGCCAGTGAACTGTAATGGCCCTTTATATTATCCGGAGTGATTTCCACCAGCGATATGATTAATTTACAAAACAGACGGCTCTGAATTTTGTCCTTTTTGTCCTTTAACATTTCAACGTCCTCATTGGAGAATAATTCGGCCAACCTGTTTATATGATGACGATATTCAATAAAAGTACGATGAGATGGAGATTTTTGTTGCTTGTTAGTATAATAAGTAATTCTGGCAATATACAGAATGGGGGGTTATAAGTTTACAACCCGAAATGTGAAGGTAGATTGGGTTAAGATAAACATAAAAGTCCCATACCGTTTTGCGAGATTCGCAATAATTATCGAGTTATTAATGACAGAAATCTGAGGAATGGGAGCGCGCCGACATAGATGATTGGAGAAGCGTTGCAGCTACTCAAGCCACAGTGCGGTCCACTCGACCAAGCAACTGTTCGCGGCGTGCGGCGAGACGTAGCACAGTGGGAAATTTTGCTCACTTTTTGGACAAAAATCTTGTTAGAGCTCAATTCTTCATGAAATTGAATGATTTTTTTTTTTAAATACTCGTAAAGACTTATACTTTAAGCTGGTACTGCGGAAATTTAGTTATCGTTAAACCTACATTAAAGAAAGATGATCAAATGCGAATAAATCTAAAACTCATATATCAACCATATACTCTTAAATATTTAAAATGTAGAACCTTTAGCCTTAAACTCTTAAACCCAAAACGCTTTAACCCTAAGCCCTTAAACTTAAACTCTTCAACCCTAAACCCTTAAACCCTAAATTTTTATACCCAAAAAATTTTTAAGCCCTTAAATCCTTAAATCTTTGGTTAATAATAGTGGAAATCAATTCGACGGTCAAAGTAGATGGAAAATCTTCCATGCAAAACAGAGTTTTATAAGTTAGACTTAAAGATTTAGGGCTTCAGAGATTTAAGTTTAAAAGTTAAGAGGTTAAGAGTTTAGTGTATAAGGTTTAAGGGTTTAGGGTTGAAGAATTTAAGTTTAAGGGCTTAGGGTTAAAGAGTTTTGAGGGTTTAAGAGACCTTATACAATAAGCAATTAGTCAAAAGCCGTAAGCAAATTGACGAATCATATTCGATTATTTTTTTAAATTATCGACTGTGGTTGGTCAATTTGCTTACGGTTTTTTACTAATTGCTTATTGTAGAAGACTTCTAAGAGTTTAAGGCTAAAGGTTCTACGTTTTAAATATTTAAGAGTATATGGTTGATATATGAGTTTTAGGTTTACTCGCATTTGATCATCTTTCTTTAATGTAGGTTTAACGATAACTAAATTTCCGCAGTACCAGCTTAAAGTATAAGTCTTTACGAATATTTAAAAAAAAAAATCATTCAGTTTCATGAAGAATTGAGCTCTAACAAGATTTTTGTCCAAAAAGTGAGCGAAATTTCCCACTGTGCGTAGGTCCGGCGAGATAAAACAACGAATAGCAGCGCATTGTCTTTCCTCTCGCCGCGCACCGGCAACAGTTGCTGGATCAACTGGGCCGCGCTGCGGCTTAAGCAGCTGCAACGCTTCTTCAATCATCTATGCCAGCGCGCTTCCACTCTTCAGATTTCTGTCATTAATAACTCGATAATTATTGCGAATCTCGTAAAACGGTATGGGACTTTTATGTTTGTTTTAACCCAATCTACCTTCACACTTCGGGTTGTAAACTTATAACCCCCACTCTGTATATACCTTGTGAGAAGATTATCATCTAGACACGATAGGATCGTTGACGTCTTCAAAATTTCTGACATATTGTCGTGGCAATATTGAAGACAATTTTCCAGCAGTGGCTCCATTTGTAGGAAACATGCAGATACCATAATTGGAATGACATTATTGGCCTCCAAAACCGGCCATTCGGATTTCTTTATAATATCCTTTTTCACCCATCTCATCAGCCAGTCGAAAATAATAACATCACAATGTACTGATATGTCTATCTCGTCGAGTTTCTGTCCTGCTGTTACATCAGCAAAGTAACACATTTTTTGCACAAGAAGCTTCTGCGGACAACGGAAGTTTTTTCTGATGTTTTTGTCTTCGTCGCATACGTGAATTTCCACCTCATTCCTAAACCATGATAGATAGAAATTTTGTTATTATTACGATAATAGGTACCATGTAATTTTTTAAATACGTACTCCAGGGATTTTTTATTTGTCCTATTTTTTTCCTTATCTTTCTCCTTGTGAGTTAAAGTTGCAGATTTGTTTTCGACTACGTTACCTACTGAAGCACTTTTTTTAGCATCTGCAGTAACAGTGGATCTTTTAATAATAGGCTGCGACAACGAAGATTTCGGAAGCATGTACGGCAACACTGAATCTAACAGTCCTTCATGTAAGATATCCCTCAAATTTTCTTTCATGACTTTCGCTAAACCACACTCATTTTCTTCTGTATGCTCTTTAAATTGTAAGTTTTTTTCTCCTTCATTGCCAACTTGACTTTCTGACAAACATCTTCCCTCTTTAACACTATTCTCAGTTTTTACACATTCGTTTAAAGAATTTTCCATGTCATTAGATTTTTGCATAGAATCATCCTTATCAGATATCTCATAAATATTGGTATTACTAGATGTTGCTGAAAACTGTGAGCTTAATATACTTTCAGATGTACACGGACTCGTTAAATTGTTACTTGTTGTTTGCAGTGATATATCTTGTACAAGAATATTATCTTTGTTTTGTTCTTGTGTACTAATGCCACAATTATTGCTGTGTATTTTATTATCTTGATGTGTTTCAACATCTAAATTGATCTTTGCCAATTCGTGCCAGTCAATTTCACTATTTGCATTAAGTATGGTGGCCACATCTTTAAAACTGTCATTAACTTGATATGCAGTTCTCATAAATTCAAAAAATGCTCCAATTGTTAATTTTGAATGCTTCTCCTCCTGAAGGTTTCGTAACTTTTCAGCTAAATTCAAAGTGTTCATTATTACTACTGTTCATACATTTTTATACTGCGTTTCTCATGATGCAGTTTAGTCTATTTAATGCAATTCAACTTATTAATCAAATTATCTGACAACCACTCAGCAATAGTCCAAAATTCAGCAACAAAAATCACGCTAATGTGTGTAACATTATATGTGGAGATGCATAAATCATCTAAATACTTCAAATAAAAAGTGCAGCGTCCATAGTTTAATTTTTGTGCAGCCAGATACCAATATGTTTACATGTACCTTCATCACTTGTCGAAGCACATGATTTTAATATTGTGTATGCATTCAAAGCTGCATCACTACTCTTACGTGACTCCATGTTTTCTAGAATGACAAAATATTTGTAAAATTTAACTGGCTTTTGTGAGAAGATTACCTGGAACAAAAAGTTATTAACTTTTGTGTCACAAAAGTTACATAATACAGTTGTCATTAGCTTTCAGGAAGCACCTCTCAAAAAGATTAGGGATGTGTAAATATTTTACTCAAATCGCATTATAGTTTGTCCTACTGCAATATTTATTTTGCGGGCAATATGATTCATTATGAAGCCAAAGAAGCTTCCTCTTGTTCTCGCATTACTGTCATTACCGTCTTAAAGATATCATTTAAGGGTCTACAGGAGCTAGAGACAAATCCAGCGTTGACTTTGGAGGCCTCGTGCGGCGAGGTCGCGAACCAACATGTGCGGACGAGCGCAAGAGCAGGAAGGTTGGGTCAAGTCAGTTTGACAAGGACGAACAATCGATCGCGCTGTCCTTGTCTTGTCTCACTCGGGCATTTCGCCGGCCAATACACGGCGAGAAAATACTTTCCAGGCTTTTGGGCGAGTGAGCCTGTCGCAGCGACTTACGTGCAATACCATTTTAAAAATTGACCTATTTTGTCAGCTGACGTTATACATCACCGCCAAATTATTATAGCATATTCCTTTTATTATTCCCGAGATCCCCACAAAGCCAGATTTTGCAATCCGGCCATCCAAAATTTATGAAAAATAAATGAAGCGTCCGCCGTACCAAGCATCGCAGCGAATCACTCCAAAAATTATTTTACAAGATGCAAAATTTCGCCTCGTTGACGATACGTATAATTGCTAAACTGTTACAGCATCTTCCTTGAACTATCCCTGAGGACCTTACACGCGCGATGTTTCGTACGACGCAAGCTTTATTATATAATATATGATAAATTTTTGACGGCCGGATTGCAAAATCTGGCTTTGTGAGGATCTTAGGAATAGTTTTAGAGATATGCTATAACAATATGTTGATGATATATTACATCAGTGAAATAATATATCTCATTTTGTAAAATAGTATTGTACGTGATCCGTTCCGACGCTTCATATACATCTTTATTTATTTATGATACATTTTTCACGGCCTCACTGCAAAATCTGGTTTTGTAGGTTTCTCGGGGGTAGTTCAAAGAAGATGCTGTAACAATTTGGCGGTGAAACATATCGTCAACAAGGTGAAATTTTGCATCTCCTACAATGATTTTTCGACTGATTCGCTCCAACGCCTGGTACGACGGACACTTTATTTATATATTATAAATTTTTGACGACCGGACTGCAAAATCCGGCTTTGTACCGATCTCGGGAATAGTACGAAGAAGATGCTGCAACAATTTGGTAATAATATGTATCGTCAGAGACGAAATATTGCATCTCGTAAAATGATATTTTGAGTGACTCGCAGCGACGCTTGGTACGGCGAATGCTTTATTAATGTATGATAAATTTTTGACGGCCGGATTGCAAAATCTGGCTCTGTAGGTTTCTCGGGGATAGTTCAAGGAAGATACCATAATAATTTGACGGTTATATATATATTGTCAACGAGCCAATATATCTGTTCTTGTAAAATTGTATTCCGCCTGACTGGCTGCGATATTTGGTACAGCTGACGCTTTATTTATGTATAATAAATTGTTGACGGCCTATTTGTATAATCTAACTCTGTAGAGATCTCGGGAATAGTTATAGGAAGATGCTATAACAAGTTCATTGGCATATATTACAACATATATTCAACAAGGCAAAATATTGCTTCTTGTAAAATGATATTCCACCTGACTCGCTGCAACTTCTGCTACGGCTGATGCTTTATTTATATATTATAAATTTTTGACGGCCGGATTGCAAAATCTGGCTTTGTAGAGTCCTCAGGGATAGTTCAAGGAAGATGCTATAACAGTTTGGCAATTATACGAATCGTCAACAAGACGATATTTTGCATCTCGTAAATAATTTTTCGAGTGATTCGCTGCGATGCTTGGTACGGCGGACGCTTCATTTATTTTTCATAAATTATGGACAGCTGGAATGCAAAATCTGGCTCTGTAGAGACCTCGATAATAGTTCAAGGAATATTCCATATCCAATTTGGTGGTTACATATATCGTCAACGTGGCAAAATATTTTGGCCCATATTTAGAACACGCTTGTAATATGTCAGCGCGCTGTTTACCAATGAAAAGCTACGCAATATGCCTTCTGATTAGTTAACAGCGCACTAACATAGTTATAAGCATGTTCTGAATATGGGTCCTTATGTTTTAAAGTGGAAGCTGGAAGGTATTCATACACATACACACGATATACTTATGCACTGCTCATATATACGCTAATACTAATGCATTGCTCGCGCGAACGCAAGGCAAAAAGGTTAGGTCATATAGACTGCACCATAGTGCAGCTGGGCTACACTTTCCGTGTTATCTGTACCAAAGCATATTTTGCTACGCAGACATCATATTTGCTTATCAGACTTACATAGGCATCTTCCTTATATTAGTATCTAGGTCAGTACAGAGCCCGATTTTGCATTTAGGTTCTTGAAAATTTGTAATAAATGGAAATATAGGTTCGTGTTGCACCGCAGGATGCACTTTCATTCAAAATTTTTATTCGATTTTTATTTAGACCTTTTTTCCAAAAAAGCGCTTTGTACGAGCATGCGGACGTTTCTCCTGATTACAAATATCATACATATAAGTTGATTCTCTTCGTATTTTGTTCATAATTTGCAATATAATTTTGCCTAGTTCGCGGATCTCCGCGAGAAGTCTCTAGTATAGCTCCTGTAACCCTTAAATCGCTGTCATATAGACTACGTTTACACAGCCCAAAGTTTACGCCAAAGTTATAACATCGATATTATAACTACTGATGTTAGATGCCGTGTAAACGCTCCTTTACGACGAAGTTATTACATTGGCTGCGTTCAGTAGAATAAAATGATCAGTGAGCGCTTAGTGATTATTGTCTGTGATTGGAGCATTCTTTTAGATTCTTTATAGATCCAGAAGTATTTACCAATCAGGAGCGAGAATCACTAAGCGCTCGCTGATCACTTTGTTCTGCTGAACGCAGCCATTGGGTGCATTCAGTACTACAACCGCTCACTGAGCGCTAAATGAGCTCTTGCATCTGATTGGTATATATTTTTAAATCTAACTTCGACGTAACTTCAGTAAAGAAGACGTGTAAACGGACGCAGTGTAAATATGACGTATGTTGTGAAAATTGTAATACGGGTCCGAGATCAAGCAAATGATTTGGTGGTGTTAAATTCAACAAATGTTGTAATATAATTTGTTTCTGACGCTTTCGCCGTTTATCAAAATATTTCGTACATATAATATATATTGCATCGTCATATTTTCTACTATTTTCAAATATATAGCAACAAATGAGCGTACGCTTTCCATATTTTCCATGATTAATTTTTTCCAAAATTGATAACCTAAAATTTTAATTTCATTTTTAGTTAAATATTATATTTTATTATATAAATTTTACTATATAAATATATACGTATTTTATAATTTTCAAATTCATAATATAACCTAAAAGTTCACTTTATTTGTTGACTTATTTACATACTATTCTTTTTATATTCTAATTCTTTTATATTCAGATTACAATCACAATCATTTAATTTTTCGTCCTTTTATATTGGTACTAATGGAAATCCTTGACTCACTCGAAAGTTGTTAAGTTATTTCAAATAGATAAGCGTAAATGTGTAAACGCAACTCACCTTAAGTAGGAGTTATAATATTAGTGTTATTAAGTCGAAGTTAGAAGCCGTGTAAACGTAGTCATATTGAAGAATCGAGATAGTGGTACAACTCAACAACAAATGCGACATATTAATAAGAAGTGGAGGCATCAACAAGGTGGAGATTTACTAGTTCAGGCTTTACCTCATAAGATGGCACTAAAATTTCGATGCGTACATAGTGCTCTTATAGAACTTAGCATTCTATATGAATCCTCTTTCCTCTATGCACTGTTCATTAAATTTGACGTGTCGTGTCGATGTCACACGTGGTAATTTTCTCAAACACTTCTTCATTAAATGAGAATCTTTTGTTCGTCACCGTGGCGATTGGGTGTGGTTCCTGCAACTACGCATATTTTTGATCTTAGGGACTGCGTACGCGTTGCCCTGTTTCTCTTTTATGTCCCAAATCCTTGTGATTAGCGTAGAAGGAGTGTAATAACTCTGCTCAGAGCCATATATTGAATGAATGAATTAATTCATTAAATGAGTGTTGGGATAAGTAATTTTCCTGCTACGTGATTGATATATTGTTAGAGGATTTATCACGTTATACCCACTTTACACATGACGTTAGGACCAAAAATCACCTGATTAAAAGTTTCAGTCGAATCGATAGGTTATTTATCAAATTATTTACTCAATGTTTTTCGTCCATATACTGATATTAACTAATGCTAACTTTCTCTCTCTCTCTCTCTCTCTTTCTCTCTTTCTCTCTCTCTCTCTCTCTCTCTCTCTCTTTCTCTCTCTCTCTCTCCTTCACTCTACTTCAGTAATATATATTATTTATTTATTTCAGGTTTTCTTGATAGAACAAGGCAGATAGTAATAAACTCATTTTCTACTGACAATGGCGCCAGCAAGTGAGGATGATATTTTAACCATAGGCAGTGTTCTGAATGATTCTGCTAAACCTCTCACAGAACGATTCCAAGCTTTGTTCGCATTGAAAGATATTGGTGGTGCAACAGCCATAAATCAGATTCATGCTTGTTTCAAAGATCAGTCTGCATTGTTGAAGCATGAGTTGGCTTATTGTTTGGGTCAGATGCAAGATGCTGCAGCCATTAGTATCTTAACCAGTGTCCTGGAGGATTTGTCGCAAGAGCCAATAGTACGTCACGAAGCAGGTATGTGTTTATATAAATTTGTTAGTAACTTATTTGTTAATAACTTTCTAGTTATTTGCTAAAACAATTAATATACAGACAAATGATGGGAATGAAGAATATTCACCTTTTTTCAGGAGAGGCATTGGGTGCTATTGGTGAGCCTACTGTGATTCCACTACTAGAAAAATACAGCAAAGATCCTATACCTGAAGTAGCAGAGACCTGTGAGTTGGCATTAAGCCGATTTAGGTGGTTGGAGTCCAACAGTAATACAGAGGACTCACAGAAGAACTCATACTGGACTGTTGATCCTGCACCACCTGCCGAAATAACAGATGTGGATGTCCTGAGGGAGATCCTGTTGGACCAAAGTGAATCGCTGTTCAATAGATATAGGGCAATGTTCTCGTTGAGAAATCTGGGTACCACAGAGAGCATTCTCATCCTCACTGAAGGTAGTTTAGAGATGTCAGAGGTGCAACTATTGTGCGAATATCTATCAATTCAATTAATTTTGTTTCTTGACGAAGGTTTGAAAGTGGGCAGCGCCTTGTTCAAGCACGAAGTGGCCTTCGTATTGGGGCAACTTCAGCGGAAGGCGTCTGTGCCGGGACTGCAAGCGTCGTTGGAGGACACGGACGAGAACGAGATGGTCAGGCACGAGTGCGCGGAGGCCTTGGGCTCTATCGCCACTCCCGAGTGCTACGAGATATTGAACAAATACCTGAACGATAGCAACAGAGTTGTCCGCGAGAGCTGCGTGATTGCCTTGGACATGTGCGAGTATGAGAATGATATGGAATTACAATACACGAACATGTTCGCCAAGCTTTCTTGCACGTAAAGCTCTCTTCAGCGTAACGTTCGTCTTCGGCATGCGCTTGTCTCCGCTGAAAAAGAAGAAAAATGCAGATCACTCTTTCAGCACCCATGTACAAGTTTCCACACGTCCAACCGGAAACGTTCCAGTGAAACATTGAATAACGAATCGATATATTCCGCATACTTGAAAAAGTCTCTGTCTCTTTCTTCTCCTCGCTTCACCTCCCGTCTGCGGTCCCGTTTGCGATCGACCATCAATTTTGTAATTCCCGATCCCTCTCTTCTCCCTGTAAGGATTCATGATTTCAGCGATCATAGATCACACGATTCAGCGGCGTTGATCCCTTCCGCACGAGTCTCGGTATTAGCGCCTCTAAACGAATTTTTCGACTTTCAACGAACTCGGCATATTCGACGTGTGATTTATTAAATCTTTGTTACTACGTTGTAAATTATATGTACGTATTTTTATAAGAAACTATAAATTACGACTCTAATGACTTCAACGATACAGCCATCCTACGGAAGGGGTAGGTAGCCGTATATTAATAATCGCCATGCGACTGATTAACTCGCGACGAATCGCGGTGGATGGGAGTGTGCATTTCGTCGTCATCACGTGAGACATTTCTTTTCCGAGGAAACGGTAAAACTGCTGAGATCGGATCGCGCGGCCGATGTATGCGGGCAACACACCGCGCTAATAGCGAATGAGCTGCGATAAGGCCCGCGACGCGAACGAGGCATATTCCCGCTGAGATCGATCGATCAACCGTGGTTCCCCCTCTTACCTCCGCGACCCAACGTTGTTCGCCGTGGACTTGATTCAATCCGATTCAAATTTCCCCTCTAATCACGCGCCCCCGCGAGTACGAGCGCCGGCTATACCCGCGGTGGCGGTTGGCTTTCGAAGTCGGCATTCGCGGTTTCATGAATATCGCGTGTTACCGCGCGCGCTCGTTGGCATACATTCGTAGCTTCTCACGGAGACAAACCCCCCTCTGCGTCTCGCCTTTCGATCAAAATCAGGATTTTTGTCCATCACCGTCGAGTCGAGAGAACCCGAAGAAATTGGACACGTCAAAAGGCGCAAAAAGATTCACCTGAAGGGGAATAATTCAACTCTAATAATAAGGAAACAATTCATTGAAATTGGTCATTGTATTCTAGAAATAATTGATTTCTACAATTCGTTTTTAAGATCATTCAACTTGAAAAGTGTGAGACGTGTTGAGAGAAAAATATATGCCTGCAAAGTAGCACTTGCGTTCGACTTGGAAAATGTTCCTCTTGTTCTAATAAATCAAATGATAAGGCAGTTGCAAGTAAATCACGCAGTTATTTGTTCATCATTATCAGCAAAAGGGACGTTTCTTCAGATTGCTTCGCAGCTCTGCTCATTCGAGCGCCAAGGTCATCTTGTCTCCTCCTTCAACGCATTTTGCAAGAATTCTGAGCGTGCATCTTGCATCTTCCGAACAGAATAGAAGAATTGCCTCTCTTCTCGGGTCATTCATATTCGTCACACCGTGCGCTTTGTAAAAGAGAGCTCATCGCGAGAGCAGAAATGCCGTTCCCGGCTCGGCAAGAGGCTTGACTCGGCTTGAATAATGTAGCGCTTAATCAGTACTTAATCAGTTCCTAAAGGGGAGAGAGATTGACGTCCTGTAAATATTGGATAAACGGGCACAGTTTACCTTCGGCGGACCTTCGGCGTCACGGCTGTACACGCGCGAGGCTATAAACTCTTCGGATGAGACCTTCGGTTATTACTACCTGAACGTAGAATAGACCTGCGAGGTCCTCTCGCGCAGGAGGACGCGCGGCCGATCTCTTGAAATCGCTTCTCGCGGTTCCTGGGATCGGGAAAGTTGCTTTCGAAAAGCGATTCGCGTTGCTCAAGAAGTAGCGAGTCCGTTCGAGTCTGTTCATCAAATCGCGAGAGCGAAATATCTCACATCGCGGCTCTCCGATCTCCCTGCTTCTTTTTCTTATCGATTCTTAGCGATTAGAGCGGCCATTAACGCGACCGGAAACGATCGCGAGATCGGCGTCGGCGAAAATATTCGTCTCCTCTCATTTTCGTTGTTTCTCCGTTTTTTCTTTTTTTTTTTGCCTGTTCGAAGAGTCTCACCTCGGGAGGGACGGTGCCGCTGTATTCCTCGAGTTTGCTCTGTCAAGGTGCTCGCGGGCCTACGCTCGCTCTAAAGTATAAGACGATTCTCGCCCGAGGAGGGGAGGGGGACGTACGGGGTGGTCGATATTAACTGCGAAGCACCTTTCGCGGAGAAGGCGGGTGGCGCGAACACTCCAGTCACATGCCGTTCGCGGTCGAGTGCGCTCGTCGTCGTCGGGACCCGCGTCCTTCCGCGTCCTTTCGCGGTAAGTTGCCGTCCGCCGCAAAGTATCAATCGCTCATCATGCGACGGAAAACATCCGGGCTCTGCTGAGCGCCAGACGTTTCGCTCGCGCGTCGCCGCGGCTTTCGCACAGTAAGCTCTCTATCTCGGAATATTAATTGTTTCGCCATGCATACACAACTCACGACAGGGAAAACTAAGGAAGAGAGATAGAAACGTGCTGCGTTTGCGGCGAAAATCTCGCGAGAGTCGAGCGATCTCGCGGGGGAAACTCGCGGCCGCGAAGAGTCGCGCGTGTGCAAATCCGAAATTTCTCGACCGGAGGATGCCTCCTTTCCTTGTACTCGACACGCGCGTGCGGTGACGTTGGCTGGAATTTTAATGCCAGATATTGACCTCCGCTGTATGGCCGTGTTAATTGACACGTTGAATGTCGCGACGGTCACCGGCGACCGGCACTGATAGCACCCCCGCGCGCAACACGCACGTTCACACGGGGAAAAATTCCCGTCGGCTCGTGCAAGGCAATGCGAACGGATAGGAATTCGAGGACGCGCGGTGTCTTCGTGGCCGACAAGATTCCCGTTTGTATGCTCGATTTAGAGAAATTTGCTTGAGAAAACGGAGAGAGCGGAGCGACTGAGATCGAAATCCTCCTGGCCGGTCGCGAGACGAGCCGGTCGTTCTTCCCGACGTAGAAACGTCCCGTAGGACTCCGACAAGGTTACGATTTCCTTTTATGAACGTATGTGTTAACCCTTTAACGCCCGAGTTTTTTATAAGTGTTTTAAGAATAAAATTTGAGTTTTTTCGAACTGAGACTATAAGTAGTGATAACCATAAAAAATATCAGAATTTTATATCTACGAAAAACTACCTTTCCAAGCAGAAACTATCCCCAGAAGCGAAAAATACGCCTGATCGATTAAATTTTTTTTTTAGTTTTAATAATTTCATATCATACCTAATGGTTGGAAAAATTCCTCGAAACATAAAACTCATATTCAGAACGTGATTTTTATTTACCTGAAATGGAATTGCATAAAGCATCGAGAGATGCAGAGGGGAATTTTACAGGTTTTGCAAATTATTTTTGTCCTGCTTTGTTTCCCTTTAGAGCTGCACAATTGACAACGTTTTTTATTGTTTTCCTTAACAGGCATGTGCTTGTTGTAATACTTCCTGATGTCTTCGGTCATCTTCAGTTTCTTATTGTCAAAGTGGACTGGCCGCCCCATGTTATCACTAAAACTGAGTTAAAAACAGACTAAACCGAATCTACATACAATCTATATGAAACATTTTTTAGAAGAAAAATTTATCTTTACAGTGGTGCAAAGAAAACAAAAATATCTCCTTTTTTGACTAAGTTATGGATTCTTAAATGCGTTTCTGTAACTATAATTGCAGTAAAAACTATAATTATCAGTAGGCGTTAAAGGGTTAAGATGAAGGCACAGAAAAGAGGTGAAAACAGAGAGAGAGAGAGAGAGAGAGAGAAAGAGAGAGAAGCGCGAAGGTCGAAGATTCTTCAAGCATTGACCGTGGTTGACATTAGAGAGCTTCGGCCCAGGCGCCATTTTCAAACCCCAGCGTATTCTTTTAACCGATTGTAATTACATTTGTCATCCGGAGCAAAACTCGCGGAGAAGAAGACAAAGCGCGAGTCGAGACTCGCGCTTCACTCCTGCGAGGCGACTCGTGCATTCGGCCGTCAATGTGTCAAGTTCGCGAGACCCGATCGATCCTCCTCGTTCATCACTCATAACAGCTGACTATCCTGATCATCGTTCATGAAATTTCACACATTAATGAAGCGCGAGACGTGTCGTCATCTTGGTCCACATACGAGTCCTGTGCGAGTTCTCTACGAAGGATCATCCCTGCGACTTCGACGGTGCGCGGCGTCTGCTCAAGGAACATACGTACGTTTCGCCGGCAGGTTATGCAATTGCGTTTCGTGCGCGCTACTTTTACGCGGGCTTTGTGCGAAAGATCCGGCGATAATGAACCCACGACTTCGCTAAGCGCTGTCGCCGTCTTGAGAAATCGCGGCGCGTCGCGCTTTTTCAACGCGGTAGCTCGCTCGAGCGCTCGGCGCTTTCCCGGCGATCGGGCCGTTCGATTTTCGCGCGAAGCAGGCTTGCGAAGTAACGGGTGTTGCTTAGGTCGCTTACACCTCTTTGCAAGTCACTCTCCTCTCCGTAACAAGCCAATAATGCCGTTACTCGTTTTTTCATTAACTGCGATAACATATTTGCATGTTTTACGTGATAACGGTAACGAATACATCGTCACTTGTTGTCTCGTACATGCGCGACGTGCATTCACACGAATCGACAGCGAGTCGTAAGGAAAGGTATCCGCGATAACGGCAACGAGTGCACAAACGGTAATTTTTCTCCTAATGAGTAACGGCAAAGAGTTACATATTCCAACAAGTAATATTAATCAATCAGTTTCAAACAGCAACTTCTCCCGTCTTCGTAGCGCTTTTGTTACCATCGCTTTTTCTCTCGCTGATACATCTGCATTTTGCGGTCAATGGCGGCGAACGCAATCGTCACTTCTTGCCGCTCTACACGTGTGGAAGGGCGATAGCGAACTGTAAAAAAAGAATCTTTGAAGAGTTGTAGCAGCAGTTGTAGCGATTCGTCATTTCTATTCGTCTTTTTAAAGCGACTAACATTAACGACTATCGAGCGACGAGCTGCTTTTCCAAAGCACCATCCCTAGTAGCACATATTGTTGGGCCAATATTGGCTACAACTGGGGCCCCTAATATTGGCCAATGTAACCCCAATGTAAGTCAATATTGGTACAACAATACTATGCAATATCGGTGATATATTGTAATTTGATATCTAACCAATATTGGTTCTATATTGAGATACATTGGGCCAATGTAGCCCCAATATAAGTCAATATTGGTATAACAATGCTATGCAATATTCGCGATATATTATAATTTAATGTCTAAGCAATATTGGCTGTATATTGGGATACATTGGGCCAATGTAACCTCAATTTATGTCACCGTAGCCAATGTAACACCAATGTAACGCCAATGAAGTGTGCTACTAGGGATTTTGCTCGCAAGGCATATTACGATTTTCACGGCTGGCCCAGCCTCCCCTTCACCTGGCGAGGGGACATCGAACATGCATCGCGTCCGTCCGGTAATCCTTGCGCGCGGCAGGACTGGAGCTGTCGGCCTCGACGGCTGTCTCCTTTCGTAATCCGTCGATCGCATTGCAGTCGTCGCTGACGTGCCGGAAGCAAAACATACGTCAATCATCCAGCGGTGTACATATCTCCGTCGGGAGAAGTCGTAGACCCCGCTCGCGCTCGCGAAGCTACGGGCGGTTGTGACGTGGACGTGGACGCGTAAGGCGGAAAAGCGCGCGCGACTTCCATCGAATATACTTATACCGGGATGCAATATTCAAGCGCGGCTCGCGATTAGACACGAGTCATGTAACTCGTGCCTCCGCCGCCTCGTGGCTTCTCGCTCTTGACGTCACAGGGTGATCCGATATGCCCGCAGTGGCGACTCGTGTGTGTGTGTGAGTGTGTGTGTTTGTGTGTGCACAAAGGAAGCGTAGCTTCACCAGCGACACGTTCAGTTCGATCTGCATTCGCTGCTTGAATTAACGGCTTACGCTCGGGGCCGATTCCACCTTTCGTTTCGTGCGCTCGAATCGTCGTCGTCGTCGTCGGAAGTCCGCGAAATTACGCTTTCCGCCGATTCTTCCATGCTGGCTAAACGATTCCGGCATTACGTGTCGATCCTTGCAGTCGGAGTGTTTCCATGTTGGCATGCCCGGTCTTTGCAATTCTAGTTAGTTAATATTGTAGAAGAAATCGATTCGACTTCGTCTCTCGCCCGTATCGCGCTGTTATTATCCTTATTAACGCAGCGCCCTGGCCGCTCTCGAGCTTCTTCGTCTGAAGCGGCTTCCGGAACTCGCGGGCGACGCTGCGTCCTTCGGGGCGTCTTGGACGTGCGGGCTCGCGAGTGGAGTTCCTTTTTTTATTATCACTGACCACCGACATATGCAAGCGTCCTTCGCCATTTTTCATAAACTTCGGATGTTGCTAAATATAAGACGCGTGTTTTTTCATATGCACTTTTTCGCAAGTATGAAGCTTGAAACAACCCCTCGATAGAATCGATTGCCAAAGCAATCCTCCCGAGCCGGGAAGCACACGAGGAAACGTTCGAACAATTTCCCGACGAAAGTTTCGTGACATTCAGCCTTCTTCAACATCGCATTAAAATTTTTCACAAGTTGAGAATTTGTTGAAACAAGTTGAGAGAGTTGAAGAATGATCCTTTTCTTCATTTTAAGATATCGAATTAATTTTTTCCCCGCCTACCCTCACCTCGTGAACACTTTTCCTGCCAGCGTGGTGACCGCGATATCTAGCAACCGGCCTTTTGCCGAAACTTACAGTTACAGTTTCGGGCTCCCAGCGAAGGGCTGAAGGCTCGCCGACACCTACATCGTCTTTTTTTGTGCGATCGTCAGCTCAGCACGCGCGCCAGCAGTCCACGCCATTGATGAGCGAGCAGCAGCCGAGACGGCGATCGCGGCGGATCATGAAGGACAACCGGTGGTTCCCGAAGGACGAGAAGTAGGGGGACATGTCCCGCTGCTTGTCGTCATCTATGACAGGATCGACAGACACGGGGCCGCTGCAGCCCCAGGAAGATCCGGCGCCGCTGCCAGCCCAACCGTCGACCTTCGAGCGACCGGGGTCGGAGGACAGTTCGTTGGCTCGGCGGGGACGTCGTCGGCATCAGCCGCGACGTAAAATGACGTCCGCACCGGCGTCTGGGCAGACGATACAGCTGACTCCGCTCTGGGAACATGTGGTACGCCGCTGATCTTGCTCGACTCTTGCGAGCGTCTCTTCACCTTTGTGCAGCACCCGAGAACCCTTCGCTTCCTAGTTGTTCAGTCTCCAACGAACGAGCTTACTCGCGAGATTGTCACGTTGATCGCCATACTGATTTTATGCGGGAGCCCCACCGGGTCCCACCAAGTTCTCCGTGCGTTTCGTGCTTTGATGCTTCATTCTTCTCCTCGATTTATACTCTTCTAAATTCTTAGCGGAGCAACGTCTAATCAAATAAACAACACCGCAAATGGGTCCCTGTGGGAACTCACGCCCAGATATGATGCTCAACGTGTCTGCGGGGTGTTGCAAACGAGAAAAGCCCAAGTGTGAAATCCTCAAGTTCAGATCTGAAAGGACAAATTCTGAGACGCGTCCGACGTCCGTCTGGTCCAGGTGCGCACACGTAGGTTTCCATCCGAGGTCGACACGCAGGCCACCTTCGTCGAGATCTCCGAGAGACTTCGGGATCCGGAATGGGAGGTACGCCAGCACGCCCTGCGGGTGCTGATGGACGTGCTGCCGACTCTCAATACCGATGTCGTCGACAAGGTCATGCAACCAGTGGTGCCGGAGCTGATAAATAACTTGGGACACCCAGCGCCGGCGGTTCGTAAGGGCGCTTTGGATACGCTGAGGGTGTACCTCGTCCACAGCCCCAGCAGGGACAGCATGGTGAAAAATGTAAACGTCCGTAGCGCGTTCTCAGAGATTCTCCCTCGCTTGCTGAGAAAATATGTAGTTTTGCGTCTCTTCTCTAAAATACCAAACGGGTGAACGTTGCGATCGGCAGCATGACGCTACAGCTTTCTACTCGGTCAGATCAAACAACAATTAATTCCACTAACAAGGACAACAAAGCGAATGGATGTTGGCCCTCCTTCTTATTCCGATTGAATAATTAACCGCATCTGAAAAATCGAGGTTCATTTATTTGCGGTATCTGCCGTTCGTCAAGCGTGTCTTTTGCGATTAATTCAACGATTAATTAATTTTTTGTTCGGTACCTGAAGATGAACGCGGCATTCAGCATCCCGGTTAATCCCGTTTCCCGCAGATCCTGCACGACGGCCTAAACCGACCGGACGCCCACAATCCGTTCCAAACGAACGTGACGACGGGCGTGATCCTGAGCGCGCCTCTGTTGCTCTTCCCATCTTCGGACAGCCCGGCGCCGACGAGCCAAGTTCTCAAGGACGCCACGGTCGCCTTCGCGTCGCGCTTGGTGCAAGTGCCGCACCAGGAGGCTGTGCTCAAGTCGCTCATGAAGATCCGCGACGCGGTCGGCGAGGAGGAGTTCAACGGCTACTTGGTCGACTACGACGACAATATGAAGAAGAACATCGAGCTCTTGTCCAAGATCTACAACATCAGGCCGGGTAAGAGGAAGCAACGGCGGCAACACGCGACGGACATCATGAAGGCCGACAAGGAGCGCGCGAATCTCGACAAATCTCACTGGGATAGCGACAGCGACACCTCCGGCATCGCCGAGGAGGAGGACGAGACCCCGAATGGCGCCGCGCCACCGGGTAGGGTCGTCTTGGAGACGGAAATCAAGTTCAACGAGGAGACCGCCATCACGATGACGATCTTGGAGGAGAAGGACGACGAGGACGATAGCGAAGAAGATGGAAGCGGCCGCAAAAACGTCGAGGGCGAGGCCGCCGCCGCTGCCGCCGCCGCCGCTGCGACTGCGGAGGACGTCTCCGCGGACCCGTCCTCGGAGGACAAGCGGAAGACGCCCAGGCGGGTGCACTTCGGCGGCGAGATCGTGAAGCTGAGAACCCCCGACAGCGACGAGACCGAGTCGCTCGAGATCGCCACACCGAAGACGCGAATTCCACTCCCCGTGTCGCCGGCCACGAAGATGCCGGAGAGGGTCCGACGGCGGCCATGGTCGCAGCCGTGCAGTCCTCACGCGGAGAAGCGGAGCTCGAAGCGGGCTTCCAGGTCGGCCTCCAGCAGCCCCAAGAGAGAGACGTATACGCACAACGCGCAGCTCAGCCCGAAGAAGAGCATCCTCGCGCGGACCAACAGCTCCGGGCCCATCATCGTCGTCGAGCCCGCGATCGAGGAGACGAAGAACGCCAGGAGTCCTGTGAAGGAGCGGAGAAACGGGGAGAGCACGGTCCCAGAAGCCGAGGGTCTTCGGGAGATCGGCGAGACGTTCATCAAGGATCAGGTCGCTCCTCAAGTGATCTCTTCATCGCCGAGGCAGGGCGAGAGGAGTCGCGCCAGGATCGCCAACGACGAAGCGTTTCGACCTGCGATAGCAGGAGACCCTTCGAAGGCGTCTTCAGCGGGCGAGCGGATCGAAGAGGCTGGCGATCGCGCGAACGTGGTCGACTTGAACGAGCACGACGTGGTTGAAGCTTCCTCGAAACAGGAAAAAGATCGCGCACCGACGGAGACGTCGAGTCCATCACAGAGGTCGCACAAGGGGAACAGAGAGAATCCCCAGGTGGGTGACGGCGTTTTCGGTTTGGAAGAGCGGAAAGCGGGGAGCGACTTCTTCGACGAGGTCAAGAGCAACGTCCACGACTTTGCGTTCGGCTCGCCGGTGCACGAGTGCGACGCGCGGTTCGACCGGTTGGTCGGTGGTGACTTCGTCGACGAGCAGGTCGCTGGGCTGATCACGGAGGTCCACGCGGCCCTGGAAGGCGACGGCGAGCGGAAAGGACGCGGCCAGCGTGACAGGAAGAACCTGCCTGAGACGAACGGAAGTGTTACCTGCAGCAGCAGTGAAGGCGAGGGTAAGCCGCAGGAGCCCAACTGGGAGGAACTGGGCCTGGTCGGTCAAGAGGTCTTGGACGACCTGCACAACAAGGTGAGGACGTTGAAAAGCAAGTTGGTCCAAGTTGGAGAAAGTTGAACCAACATAAAAATGTTGGAACCGCGCGCGGAGTTTCGTCGAAATAATTAAAAGGACAGTTTGTCGTGCGCAACCCTGTTTGAATCCCCACACTTCCACATTCTGAATTTTTATCCGACTACTACGAATATCAAATTCGGTTCTGTCGCTGTTTCTTTGAAATTTATGCGGATCTTAGAAGAATCCACAGAGAAGAGCCCTCGCCAATTTTCATGGGCTTTGAATATATTTCAAAGCGATAAAATAAGAGATACACGTTTTTCTTCGCTTGCTTGTACATTCAGGGCTTGGAGCAATATCCTTCGAAGGAGTCCCGGTAAAATGGGCGTGTATTTTCGAAATCGTGGGATGCATGAAGAAACGAATATTTTATGGAAAAGTTTTATTTTCGGTACTCTCTTTACAACTGTTTAGATTTTTCAAAATAAGTCTCCTTATAGCCGTGCAACGACACACCTAAAGCACGATGAGCGACATCCCCGAGTGTTTTCTTGTCAGACAAGTCTTCCTCGAATTGACGTCTCGCGGAGTTACTTACGTTGCCTTCGCGCACGATCAGCGATCTTATCTAGAAGCTAGCCGCTTAATCCAACTCACGGAACGGTTTAGCGCGTCAGCGGTTTATCCGGCTGACGCTAATTCGATGTATCGCCAAGCTGGGGAAAATCGAGATACGACACGACTAGGTCGCCGAAGAGGCGGCGCCGGTGTTTCTGTATCAAGCACGTCGTCCATAGGAATTCGTGCGAACACAATTCGGGACTATTTCTGGTGCACGCCAGGGTAATGTCCCGTTTCTCGGTGGATACCCCTTCACCTCCTTTCGCCCCTCAATGTGACGATTAATGCTTTACGTTTGGAGACCCTTGACTTTAAGACAAACCGGTCCCTCCGATACATTACGGTGAGAAGTAGGTCGATCGATTTTCGTCGACAAAAGTTCGTCGCGTGACGTAACGCGATTTAAGCTCCATCAATTATCAGGATTACGTGTACGCGTGTTTGTGTGTACGGGCCTTAACATATATTTCTTTTTTTCCTCTTTGCTCTTTCTCTTTCTTTCGTTTTTTCGCTTTTTCCCCTCTTTTATCTCAAACGCAAAGCACCCATTTCTGCGCAGTGTTTCTCATCTGTCGTTCATCTGCGTTCTCGATTCGGTGTCGCGTTGAGTTGTGTCGGGAAATTGTGCGGCACGAATCGCCATGACGAAGAGAGAGAGAGAGAGAGAGAGAGAGAGGAGAAAAGAGAGAAAGAACGAATCCTGCTGAGCGATGTCGTCGTCGTCGTCGTTAATCGTCGTTTCACGGCTCGATCGGTTCTCCGATTAATAGACAGACGTGGCGTACTCGTAATAGACATCGGCCGAGTAATTGAAAAGCTCAAAGTCCAGCCTCAGCTTCTCGTGCAACCTCCGCACCATTGTCTTAGTCAGCTGACTGAAGTAGACTCGGGACGCGTTCGCCTGGCTGTTACTGTGCCTCCATCTGGGCCTGATCTTGTCCTGCAAGCCCAACTTGTTGATCGCATACACCTGATCTCGCCACAGCGTTTCCACCTGCGAGAAGTTCATTTTCCTTTGAGTCTAAACCCTCTTTCGAAGACAAATAACGAAGCTCGAGCAGCTTTCGAGTCGGCTTCGAGGACGTTTCGCTCGCTTCAAGCGGGAACCAAGATCCGAAAGGTTCCAAGACTCGAGTTCCCGAGGGAATCGCGCAATTTTCGATACTGACCTTCGCGATGATGTCGTATCTGACGAGGCACGGCGTGCAATAGAGATAATACGGCATCCAGTGGTCGTCGCCGTAACCGCCGAGATCGGTGTCGATGATGTAGTTGACGAACTCACGGAAGGTCGGCTCCACGCCGGCCGGCGGCGGTGCGCCTTCGCGCCGGATCACCTGGTCCGCTCGCGGCTGGACGAAATCCTTACCTGGAACAATCGGTCGCATTGTCGCTGGCGAGATGGTCGCAGCGGCTGGTCGATGCTTCCTCGTGACTCACCGCGATACTTGCTCACGATCTTGGCCCCGTACTTGCGGTAGAAGTGCAGCGTCCCGTGCTCCCGCCCAGCTACGGAGTTCTCCAGCTTGTCGCGATAGGCGCTCAACAGCCTCTCGAACGGGTGCCGCACGACCAGCAGCTTCCAGCTGGCCTTCAGCACCTGAGCGGCTTCGGGGTAATCGAGTTCCGGTATCACTCTCCTGGCGACGGTCGATAGCTGCTCTTTTCCGTTATTTAGCGTCTCCTCGGGTACATTCATTAATAAACAGAGATTATAGAGCCAGGTCGTGGTGCCGGCTTTGTACACCGGGCAGTACGATATGTTGTGTGCTCTGCGCAGGGGAATCGTCAGTCTTATCTATAAGAGACCTCGGCCGGGCTGCGATCTCATCGCTGGCTGGCCGCCGTCTAAAAAGGCTTTTCTCCACGTACCTGTCCATGTAGAAGACCATGTACTGAGGCGCAGGCGGATGCTTGAACGGCGAGTCCTCCGCGAGTTTCCGGTAGAATCCCAAGTTGTACTTCTTGCACACTCTGTCCACGTTCAACGACCGCCGGGTGTTGTCCGCCTCGGCTTCGATCTGCAAGGAATCGTCGTCGAGAAATCGCCCATGCCTTGTCGTTGTCAGCTCACCATCAGCCTACGCGCATCGTTGTCGACTGGAAGAGGCTTGCTTTCATCTCCGATCACGAAGAGAGACAGTCTCAGAGTCAAGAGCACGGCTCCCAAGCAGATGACCAGCTGCAGTACCCGGAGGATCGCGCGTTTCCGTGGCCGCGTCATGCTCCTAGGAGTGTTTCCTTTTGCTCGCAATTCAATCGACGCTGGAATTTTCTGAGGCCTCGTGGAACACAAGTGGACTGTCTTCACCTTGCCACCGAGCCATCGACCGACCGGTTCCCCGCTTTCTCGTGACAGTGGTGGATCTAGAACATCGTCAGCCCCGAGCAATCGAATCGTCGATCGATTGTGAACGCACGTTTTTGACAATCGGGTCTGGTTTGTTGTTCGCAACAAGCTAAAGGGAGAAACTCTCTCAGACTGATCGTCGGTTGAGGAATGAAGATTCCAGCATCAGTCGGATCTATTCAGTCAATCGCTCGTAGCGATTACAGTAAACATCAACCAACAGTATGATTGCATTAATATTATTTTATTACGTTAATATTAATATAATTATAATGTTGATTTAACGCTCCCTTCAGCTGGTGTCCACCTGGTGAGAATAGCCTCAATCGAGTTTCAACGCAGCTGAGTGTTCATAGGCGACTGTTTCTGGGATTTATCTTCCGTGTATTCGCGCCACGTATCACCTCTTGTTTCTTAAATTCGTCTCTAGCTGTCGTCTAGCTTTTAACGTCAGCTGTGACGTTCGAAGGACGATAGAGGCGCGATCTTCCCGTCCGCGATGGCATTTAAATTAATTAATCCTGCAAAGGACGACGAATGTTGAGATATCATTTGAAGCGGTGTTAACGAGACAGTTGGCAGCGAGCGAATCGATGCAACGTAGCCGACGACTGAGTCCACTCCTGGACTCCGAGTGGGGAACGTCACGGCCGAGGAGGCCCAGATCCTCTCCGCATGTTAATTCCGTTAGCTCAGCTGTTCAAACCGTTCGCTCCATCGTTCGATGAAGTTTCACGAGCGGAGCGGCCGCCGAGTGCTGGCTTCTTGATTTGAGTGAATTTTCATGGAAGTTATCGCACCGGCCGACGAGTCGATTTTCGACGACCTGCTGTAGATTGATCGATCGAATCGAATAGAAGCGTGTCGTTCATCGTGTCGCGCTTTGTTGCTTCACGATGGTGAACGTTCGCTCCGATGTATGTACGTGTTCACCAGCGGCGTTAATTTCGAATATTAATTCCAGTATCTCTGGTACCATCTGGCCACCCGAGCGTCCTTCAGCCATCACCCGGGGAATTGCCAAATTACCTCGCTTATCGAGTTACTCGAGTAACCCAATCATTTCTCGTTATTTCCTCTCGTGTATTCTTCGGGTCTCTCTGTGCGCAAGAATACTAAGGCGAGGTCAGCAAAAAGTAGACAAAATAAAACATAAATGTAAGGCTCTGGGATCGATTAATAATAATCAATCTGATAAGAGCCATATGTCGGCCTCTTGGTGCGAAATAAGGTTTCATAGGGGAAAGAGGAGATCGTTGTGAGTGCTGATATGAAAAATATTGTAATATCTTCATACCCCGTACTCGGGTTCGTGAACAACACTCGCGAGGGTTTTGCCACCCAGATATTGTAGCCGATATAAAAATACCGTTGTGTGTATCGACGGCACCAGCACGTACGTACGTACGGCCTGCAACTGCAACGATCACCGGGTGCGCCGTATGTTCATTCAGTGTAACTTCAAGGTTACCGCACCTAGACCTTTTTATGATTGCACGTGCGACCCCGCCGACGCGTCCGCGAGGAGCCCGTGAAAATAAATACGCCGCGATCGATTTTCGCAAAACGTTCGCCGCAATCTCTGTTGGTAGGAATATATATATACATACACACACACACACATATATATATGTGTTATATATATATATTTCGCGTTCGACTCCTTCCGTAGCGTTGTATTTACACTGCATGATTGATCTATGATGCCACCTGCAGTTTCCGCCGCACCTGCGGCACCGTCGCGCGACTTCCTCCAGTACTTCTTTGCCTCGCATTCTTCCTCAAATGCGCGAAATCGATCTCCCTCGTGGCGAATATCTAAGTCATTATTTGCCGTCTATGAGTTTACGAATTGATAACAGAATTGAGACGAATTTTTTTCCCTCCCAAGAGAATTTATTTGGTTTCTTAATTTAAGTTGATTGAAGTCGTTTAACCATTTTTTTTTTTCTTTTTCGTGAGCGGTCGCCGATACTTCGCCTTCGGTCAGAGTGAATGAGGACGCGATATTCTTCGAGAGATCTTAATATATTATTCCATATATTAAGATATTTAGCGGTCGCCGATACTTCGCCTTCGGCCAGAGCGAATAAGAACGCGATATTCTTCGAGAGATCTTAATATTATTATTCCACATAATAAGATATTTAACAAACCAACCTCTCTTGACGCTAATTTACGCGAAGCTCCTCGTGCTTTGTCAAATTGTTACGTCGCTTTTTCAAATGGCCGGAATAAAAGCAGTTTTATGCGCTCTTGCCGTGCGACGCGTGCGGACCGGAGCGACTGCGGTGATATCACGCCCGCGTATGAATATTCCCGCGTTAGAAAAACGCCAGGAGATTTCCCTCACGCGGATCGTTATGCGACCGGGTGTGCGTGGGAGCTCGGGAAAGGCGGGAAAGGGGGGAGGGAAGAGGGAAACGTACGGCCAACACGATGGCAAGTCGCAAGAAAATAATTAGGCACGTGTTGCGTGCCACGTCGGTCCAGGTAGGCGTCATTCTCGTGTATATGCAAATCAGCCGGCAATTGTACCGCCATTTACCTACCGGCTCGAGCGCAATTTTCAAACTGTTCTCCGCGATTCATCGTAGTGCAAGCGGCGTCGGACGCACCGTCGCTGGCCGTTTCAAGTCCGCGGCAAGTACATTTATTCGCCGCGAACCTGGCGGACCGAGGACGCGTAGAGAGAGAGAGAGAGAGAGAGGGCATTGCGAAGAAAGGAGGTGTATCCTGAAGGACGACTGTCCAGGGTGCATTCTCGGAGGGCCGAAAAGTCAGAGACGCGACGGCGATGGGAACACACACGGCGAGAATATGGATGCCGCCGGTGCATTGCGTTCGGTCCCTCGCTGCAGCGATCGATAACGCAGTCGACTCGTGAATTTCCAGCGACATTGTCCCCTCCTGATCCCTTTGCCGAGTCCCCATTATTATCTAATAATAATATCAGTTGAGAGGGCTCGAGGGGTCGCTTCCCCTAACTAAACTTCTCTTGCGGCCCTTGCGAGGAGGGTTCCTCGAGTAAGCCCTGCCAACGAAATTAAGAGAAATGGATCGTCCGAGGATTAGGATTTTCTGGAAAATCTCAGGGGTACGAAACATGCGTGTAAAATATTATTTTGTGACGTCCGCCGAACGGAGCGCGGAGAAAGTCGGAGGTCCGCAGCAGAGTCGAGACGGAAGTCTCGCGATTCCGAATGAGTCACGGTGGCGACTTTGCGAGATGCGGCTCGTTCTTATCACACGCGTAATTACCGGCAGGTCCGCCGATAGTCACGCGAATAAGAACGCGCGGACGGCGCATCGCTCTAATTCCGCAATCCCTTATCATCAAGCGTTGTCACTTTTGCAGGACGACTGGCGAGCGCGCGTGAGAGCCTTAGAGAGAGTCGCGTCGGCCCTGCGGACGTCCTCGGCCCTGATCGCGATAGAGTCGCGATTAGGATCGCTCTTGCATGCGGTGCTCGGCGGCGAAAGGAGCTGCCGGGTGGCCGCCGCCGGTTTAGCGGTGGCGAAGGTAAGCTCATAACTCGTAGCCCCAGAGATCGTCGTAAATGCGCCGAAATCTCGGCCATTTTATCGCGAGGATAACGCCGTGCCCCCGACACTGTTCATTACGTAATAATGCTTTACGCGACGAGCGTGTGTGTGAGCGCGTGTCTCTAAGCTTCTTGAAGTCTCATTCGGGATCAGGAGAAATTCACTCGGAGCGCCAGTGAAACTGTCGCAACTCTCTCAGAGTCTCGAAAGTGAGTGATTTCACTTGATGAAACTTAAGCTCACATTCTGAACTCTCTTTTATCGTTAAAAGTGACTGTAAAAGTAAGCTTCCTGATGCTTCCTGATTGGTTGTAAGCCACTTTTGGAGTCACTTTTAGTGATAAAAGAGAATCCAGAATATGGACCTTAGAAAGCACCGCAGACATGTGCGCGAAAAGTGCCTGTTAATTTGAACACATTGCTTGCTTCGCGTCGGTAAACAAAATGAGATATAAAAGTCTCCCTGCAACTCGCGCTCGGGAAAGAACTTTACCAAGCGGTGCTTCCGGATAGAACTTGCGCGCCATCGATATCCGCGTTTTCCGCGAACACTTATCGAGTTAAGAGTTCGAAGTGAGTAGTAGCAAGGGCACCTATAACGGGTTTCCGTTCCAAGTTGCGCAGGAGAGAGGCACTTTTAATCGCTGAGCGAAAGTGTACCTTGTTATTTTTTCCGTAATGCCAAAGGCTCACGGCGTATTGCGTAGCTGAGCCAGCTGTTGCTCGAGCTGCAGGTGCTACAGCCCGCGCCTCCTACGCGTATTCTCAATCGAACTGCCTCGCATTCCTCAGGTAGTTGTGGCTGATGTCTCGGAGGACGCGCTCAGGAGGAAACTGCCGCAATTAGCATGGGGACTCGCCAGACAAGGTGGTCCGGCCGCGGCGCAGCTCGCTAGGATCGCGATGCTCAGGCTCAAGCCCGGTCTGCTCCTGGAGCAGCTGCTGCAGCCGCACTGCCTGTGCGCCAGGAACGCCAAGGTGACGCCGAGGATCTCGGAGAAGATATTATACTTTTTTGAACACACACGAGAATTCTTTTCTCCCAGTTTTAGCATTTTTTATTTCTAAATTTAATTTAAAAATTAATTTCTAAATTAATTTTATTGCTAAATTATTTATAAATAAAAAAATGCTAAAGCTGGAAGAAAATTCGAAAGAAATTCTAAAATAAATTTTCTACCAATCTTTTGCGATTTTTCCTCGGTGATTGGTTGATGTTCTATCGCTAAATTTAATTTCCTGCCGATTTTCCGTGCAAATTTAATTTTTATGGTGAATTAGAAACTCTACTTCTAATGATAGATTTTAGTTTCTGGAAGAATAGCAACATGAAACAAGAGGAAAGAATCAAGGAATAGTTATTGAGGCAAAATGTCGATGTTTCTCAGAGTTTGTAAGAATAATAACTTTTTGTTGATGAAAATTTCTGAAAAAATAACGAAAAACGCGAGCGAGGCACACACATGAAGTTACACTAGTCGCGCAGGCTATTCATGTCAAGTTTGGTCATTTCTTCGTAGACACGGGAGAACGCGCTGCAGCTGCTGATCTTCTCGCTGGTGACGTTTCCGAGCACAGAGTTCAAGCTAGAAACCGTGGCCAACCGCGTGGCGACGATGGTCGCGGATCGTCGACGCAGAGTGCGCCAAGCCGCTCTCGACACCTTGGCCGTTTTGGCGCAAATCTACGACCCCGAGGTGCGTCGCTCGAGACAGGCGAAAACTTGCGAAACCTGGTGAAATCTTTGACATTGTTCCGAAAGGAGGAAAGAAATTACCAAGATTGCCGGATGAAAAAGAATCAGATTCACTTCACATTTCAGTTTACCTCATCAGCAAGAGGAGCAACTTGATGCTAATCAGGTTGCGTCTTTTCCTGATGAAGTGTTACGTTATTCTGAACCGTTGATATTGTCCTCGCAGGAGGTCCTGGCGGCGGGCAAACGAGCAGGCGACGGAAGCCCTGACGCCGAGGCAATGTTGGCCGCGATCAGAGCTCGGCTGGCCAGGAAGTCGCTGCCGCTGGTGTCGGCCGACGGCCTCGTGGTGTACGGTTTGCAAATTTCACCGACTGTTCAGATTGCTACTGGTAATAACAACCGGGAATAAGCGAGCAAAGCATAACGCACTCGCGGTAGAATCTCGTCGCGATCGGAAAAGGCAGCTCCTCCTCTCGGGAGCGTCGTGGCGGAAATCCTCCCTCCGTCGGTGCTCGTTCCTTACAAACGGAGAGAACTTCGCCGTGAAAGATTGATCAATTCAAATGTCTGAACGAGACCTTCATGATCCGTCGAGGTCCAGTTCTCTCGCGTGTTCGCGCCACCTGCGCAGTGCAAAGTCAGAAGTAGAAGTATTCGCAGATATCCGCAGGCCCTCATTTTCTACATTCGGAGGCAACCTCGTATCCGGCCGCGGTATCGCGTGACGTTTCGGAGTAAACGGCGAAATTTGATGTTACAGTTACTTGCACATGTATCATACCGCCTGTTCTCTTTGACTACATATGCGTTGCCTCTACCTCTTCCTTGTCCGAAATGTCGCATCCGTAGAAAATATGCATCGTCTCGAAGGAAAAAAAGCGAAATTTGAAATCAAATTTGCCGAAAGATTACATTTGCCCGGAAATCGTGTCATTTTCGGAACTTGAAGATTTTCATTCTTTAGAGTACATCACACCTGTCTCGCTTTCGTTTTACGGGTGCCGCGAACTGTGCAGCCAAAGAGAAGAGAATTCTGACTCGAATTTCTACGGAGATTCGTGAGATTCTGTAAGATTCTTCACGAGAGAATTTCAATCTGTGCAGGTCCCGATGTCGATTGGATCGTGGCAGGAAGCGGCTCGGTTTCGCCAGGCACTGGTCGCACCAGAGGTCAAATCATCGCCACGTCCAGGTCGGCGCAGGGAAGAGCGTCCAGGTAGGGCTCGGATCGCCTTTCGCGAAAATTTGCAATCTCCGCAAATCTTTTGGAAAAATGTCCGATTTTCTCGTCACGATGTATTCAATTAACGTGTCGCACGGATTGTTTCAGGAACGTCAACAACCGCGAAAGCCCGTGGACAGAGAGACCTAATCTCGTCGCGCTCGGCGTCGGCTTGCAGTCCAAGAACGAACAACCGCTGGCTTGGCAGATATTGCGTTCGCAGAGTAACGTAAGGCCGATTTTTCACTCTTTCATCATTATCGCCAAGATACACTTGTTGTAGCTTCCTTCAATTTCTGCCATGTTCTTTGAGTACGTTTAGTACAGAAGTCTAGGATCTATCGGTAGAGTTGATCTCGCTTAGAAACACAATTCGTAAATCGACAAGCTCGACGACCCGTGAGACAGCGAACGTGTGTTTCGGCTGGAGAAAGAGAGCTGGAGACTTTTTTTATCAGTCTCTCCCAAAGCCTCCAAATTGCGCGGTCGATACGCGATCGTCGCGATAAGCGCGATTTTCTGCCGCGGCGAAATTCCATAATGCGAATGCATAAATGTTTAAGCGTCCCTTCGTGCGGTAAATGATATCTAGATTGATACGTTATTAATGACTCTCCGCCGACTGTAACGGACGGATTATTTTATATATACATGTGACGCGCTCTTCTCTCTCTCCCTTTCTCGATTTGTCATTAAATACGGCGTAAAAATTGCCGTATGTTGTCTTTTTCTTTGATGTTATTGTCGTTACTCATACGAGATACAAGTTTTGCAATGCAAATGCAGAAATACAGTGGCGTGCAAAACTTTTGAGCCACACAATTATTATTATATATTCATTTCATAATAAGCGCTAAAAACTTTACACGTATATATATATATATATAAACAAAATGTATTTATTTGTCCTACAATTATATAAACTTTACAAACTCTTAATAATTCTAAATACTTTATTTTTACACAATGTCTTATTACAAACAGTGCAAAAGTATTGCGCCAAAAAGTTTTCTTATACATAAGAAAAGTATATTATTGAAAAATAATAACAGAAAATGTTGTCAACGTTTTTTTAAACTTAATACTTTGTTGCCATGCCTTTAGAAGCAATCACTGCAGCACAACGGCGAGGCATTGATGCTATTAAATTAGAGATGCGATCTTGAGGTAAATTTTGCCATTGAGTTTGCAAATCTTGCCACAATTCAGCTTTATTGGAGTGTTTTTTATTTCCTGTACGTAGTTTGAGTTCTTGCCACAAATGCTCAATAGGATTCAAGTCCGACGATTGCGAGGGCCAGTCAAGAACTCGCAATTTTTTCGCGATGAAAAATTCTTTTATCAGTTTTGATGAATGTTTGGGATCGTTATCTTGTTGGAAAATCCAACCACGTGGCATGTTTCGAGTTACATATGACAGCATATGCTGTATCAATATATCTCGATACATTATAGTGTCCATAGTACCTGTGATCTCAACCAATGGACCAACTCTATTATAAGAAAATGATCCCTAAACCACCACATTACCTCCACCATGTTTTACGGTAAGAATTTGATATCTTGAGTTATATCTTGTGCCTGTTGGACGTCGTATATACTTTCTACCGTCACTTCCGAATAACTGAAACTTTGACTCGTCAGAGAAAAGTACTTTTCGCCAATCAACTTCAGTCAAATGTTCAAATTTCCTTGCAAAATCTAATCGAGCTTTCTTATTAGGACTATAAATAAGTTTCCGCCGTTTTCTATCAAAAATTAGGAATTTATTGTGAAAGAACGGTACATTACGTTTTATTCAAAGTATTGTCCATCACTAGCCACTACTTTTTCCCATCTTTCTGGCAGCATTCGGATACCACGTCGGAAGAACTCTTCATCTTTTGAGGCTATCCACGAATCGTGGCCTCAAAAGATATCCACGAACCCAATGTTTAGTATCTTCATATGATGTAAAGCGCTGCTTAGACAGGCCATGTGCCATCGACCGGAACAAGTGATAATCGGAAGGGGCAATGTCTGGTGAATACGGCGGGTGGGGTAGGACTTCCCAATTAAGTGTTTCCAAATAGGTTTTGACCGATTTTGCAACAGCGTGGCGGAGCGTTGTTATGTAGGAAAATAATTTTGTCGTGTCTGGAGTAGTAATGGGCGCGTTTTACCTTGAGTGCTCGGCTCAATCTCATTAATTGTGTTCGGTAGAGAGCTCCAGTAATGGTTTCGCTCGGTTTGAGCAACTCATAATACACGACACCAAGCTGATCCCACCAAATACACAGCATGAGTTTTTTCGACGTTGAAGCATGGCCAGGTGGTCCCCATGATTTTCTCTTCTTTGGGTTATCGTAGTGGATCCATTTCTCATCACCAATGACTATACGATGCAAAAAACCCTTTCTTTTATGCCTGGCAAGCAACATTTCACATGTGCAAAATCGGCGTTCAACGTCTCTCGGCTTCAGTTCATATGGAACCTAATTTCTTTGTTTTTGAATCATTCCCAACGACTTTAAACGATGTGAAATTGCTTGTTGAGTCACTTCTAATGTAAGTGCAAGTTCTTCTTGCGTTTGGCACGAATCTTCCTCCAATAATGCTTCCAATTCCGTGTCTTCGTACATTTTCGGCCTTTCATTATGTTCTTTGTCTTCCACGTCAAACTCACCGTTTTTAAACTTTTGAAACCACTCACGACAACTTCTCTCACTTGAAGCAGTCTCACCATATGCTTCTACAAGCAATCGATGCGCCTCAGCTGCAGATTTCTTCAAATTAAAGAAGTAAATCAAAAGTTCCCGCAAATGACGCTTATTCGGCACAAAACTTGACATTTTCGCACGAAAAAAATTATGTGATGCTGATACGGAGTCACTAATACTTCAAGGTTATGTTGTTACCAGATGTCCAAACTTACGATATTACGTTTTACATCTGACAATTTCAACATAACCTTCTGGTGGGGCCATCTTTTGTCAAACGGCGGAAACTTATTTGTACTTCTAATATTTTTTGTACTAATTAATGGTTTTTTTTTACATCAGCACGTCCTAAAAGTCTTACTTCCTTTAAACGTCGAGATATTGTACTTCGACTAATATCAGCAAGATTTTCTTCTCGTAGTTTTCGAGAAATATCCATGGCAGTTTTTCTAACATCTGCTATCGACTTTCTTTTAATCATTTTATCGACGTGCTTTGTAGTTTTGCGAGGTCTACCGTTTCGTGATTTATCAGCTAGAGAGTTCGTCAACTTATATTTAGCAATAATCCTATTTACAATATTTTTATCAATTAATAAGCAATTAGCAATTTCACGAGAAACCTTTCTTTGTTGAGAAAGATTAATCACGGCTTCGTGTAATTGAAGGCTTGTATGTTTCGGCATTGCGGTAGACAATAGACTGAACTTAATTAAAGCAAATATTTACGAAGGAGTTTCATAAGAAACGTAAACAAATCGGGCTCATAAAGTCACAACAAGAATATGGCTCAATACTTTTGAATACATGTAAATATTATATGACTAAATAATTAGAAACTATGTAATTTCAAAATTTTGTAACTGTACTATTATTTGTAAGAATGTTATGTCAACTATTTTATATAATTAATTTTTAGAGCAAATCAATATATTATCATGTATCTTAAAAAGACATTATGGCTCGAAACTTTTGCACGTCACTGTATCATACACTCGACAAAGTAGAAAGCGGAAACGTGATGGTGATATATTTTCTCTCTCTCTCTCTCTCTCTCTCTCTCTCTCTCTCTCTCTTTCTCTTTCATTTATTTTGCATATCTCCGTGACCCTTCATAATTATTCGTAAAGTGTGAATAGAGTAAGGAGCATTAAACACGGAAGGCATTACTCTGCGTGATTTTATGACATAACGTTTTCGCGATTTGCATTTTACCGCCGGAGTTAACAAGAATTCCATGTGGACGGCCGTTGAGTTTCGTAAGATCATCGGTATGCTTGAAGTGAAACGTAAAATGTTGCCAAGATCTCGTGCAATTTAGCATTTTGCAGCGATAAAATTACTGGAAGAAAGGTTTTCAGCATCTTTTTTCCTCAATGACTTTCGCAATAACTTTCTGCCGTGCCAACCAAAAAATACATTTCTCAGTCATTCTCGAAAGATAATTTTCCTCTTTGTCGCGAATCAGTTGCTTCATCAGAGCACGTAATAAACGACGACGCCTCGCGCAATCGCGAAAATCTCGCGTTTATCTTTCTCGGCTAATGGACGGGACGCTACGAGGCGACTGCCGAAAGGGCCAACAATATATCAAACGTCGGGTACGTTCTGAAGTTTATCGTAAATAAGTAAAGGTGTCGCGCGACCTTTCTTCCACTGACTGTTCACGCGGAGCTCGTCTGTTTCCGAATTGAACTCAGTGATAAGCTGCCATGTGAAATGCGACACGAGGTTATCCGCTTCAATTTTCCTCTCCCGACATTCCGCAACACGAGCGTTCGCGTTTCCGTCGAGAATCAAATCCCCCAGCGATTTGTACGCACGTCAAGTGTCACGGTATTTGTTGAGGAATATTAAAGGTTAGAGCAATCGTGCGCGATCGACGAGCGAGCTCGGCGAGTAAGTGTCTGTTTCTGTTGCAGGATGACAATGACAGTGAGATAACGGGATCGAACGGACGAAACGCAAATGCGGGTAAGTGTGATTTCTCTGCCCTCTCATTTCCTATTCAGCTCGACTCGTAATGGCGGCCTCGTAATGACGAATTTCGGCGTTTTTCCAGGATTGCCTTCGAACTTCGCTCTGAGATTCGGGGACCAACTGCGATCGTCATCCTACGCGTCGTCGTCGTCGTCGTCGCACGATCCCGTCGGGACGGACTCCAAGAATCCCAAGGAGATCCTCGACAACAATTTCGAGCAGAAAATCGCGCGGAGTCGCAAAGACCTTAATGAAATCGCTAAGGAAAAGGCAAGGCGACGATATATTCATCTGTTATAGGCTAATTCTTTGATTTTCTCTTTTATATCGCTTTCGGATCGGATGGACATTTTTTTTCATTTCTTGTTACAGAAATCTCCGTTTTATTATTTCTTATCATCTCGGAGAAATTTCTCTTTTATCATTTCTTACCACTCTGTTGTCATGTTTTACTATTATTTTCCCAATGTTGTTATCGGTATGGTAGCGTTTGTCGACTAATTATAAAATGAAGAGAAACATGATGCGAGGCACTGAACGCATCTTTTCAGGACGCAGCTGTCAAGGGAGACTCGAAGATCCCGGTGTTACTGACACGTGAGCGTCACAAGGTAACGACGGAGAATCGCGAGAAGAATCCCGCCAATCTGGAACACGTCGGGCCGAATTCGCGAAGGCAGGCGAAGGACGCGCTGGACAGCAACCGAAATCGGATAAATTCGCGGCCGGAGAACAATGTCGGGTGAGCGTGTCGCGCGTCGCGAGCGCGGATCTATCTCCACTTTTAATTAAGCCGATCTCACGACCTCGATCATCGAGCGCTTGATCTCTGACGCTGGTATTTTCATTCACGATGCAGATCATACGCGAGCACGTACCAACGGCGGAAGCGGCTTCAGCGAGAGGAGGCGAGCCAGTTTCTGAATCACACCTTCGACTCGCACTTCGGCAGTTACCGCTCGTCCTCCTACGCGAGAGCCTTGGGCACCACGAGCAGAGAGTACAACGTAAGCGACTTGATGAACTCGGAAGCTCCGAACGACGTCGATAACGACTCGCTTTCTCTCGCCGAGATTTAACCGCATGAATACGTCGGCGCGCGCGCGCGTAACGCACCCCGATCTTTCACTTCGAGTTCGCGCATTTTTGCCCAAAACTCTCTCGATTCCACTTTACACGCCCGCCACCGGCGTCAAGCAAGCGTGACAATTTGCTTTCGCTTAAGTGAGCGAAGTCAATCGGCAAGAAACGGCCAATAAAACGGCCACGAAAGTTGACGGCTACGACTGACTTTCATCGCGGTGATGAGAAAGTCTCTTTTACGTAATTACATGAAAATAAATGCAATGTAATTTGCGAGGAGAATCCCCCGAAGAAGCCGCGGTAGTGCCAATGATGGTTCCAAATTGTCACACACATACACACATATACACACGCGAACCATTTTCTCCAGGACGCCGCTGAGAGCAGGGAGGCGATCTTCTCGGACGACAATTCGCATTACTACGGCAGATTCGTGGATAACGACACATTCACGAATAAGAACGAGAGTTCAGATTACGGAGGAGGAGGAGGAGGAGGGCGCCAACGATCGTTACCCAGAAACATGCAACAGCAAACGCTCGTCGAAACGTGAGTCTCCGAAAATAGCGCTCTCCCGTTTTTGTCGGCGAGATTTTCTCCCTCGTCACTTAATTGATCCTGCAGTTACAGCTCGATTCACGAGCGGCAGGAGAAGCTGATGGACAGGAACGCGTACCGACCATTGCGGACCGCCCCGAGTCCGCTGAGCCGCGTGCCCCGGGAATTTCCAAATTTCGACTCGCAAGTTGCGGATAACGAGGGGAATGCGATGTTCCGGGTGAGTAGATTGTCTCTCGTCTTACATCCCCTTCTTCTCTCTCCCTCTTTTTTTTTTTCTACAAAATCGACTGCGGAAGAGGACGAAAAATCCGAGTGAGAAATGCTACTTTCCCTCTCCGTGCAACTTTTCAACGAACGTTCAGTCGATCGGAGCCCCGCGTGCAGATCGTTGCTAACGCAAAGACAAATGAAAATCCTTACAGTCCAGGGAAGGTAGAACGAAGGACGCGCAGCAAAGGACCGAGGCGGATCCGACGTCGTCGGATTTGCGGGAGAACGGGCGGCCCTTCCCGGAAAATTTCGCCGATCCTCATCGGAGGAGGCTGCGGTCGCTGTCGCCGTCGCAGCTCCACCGATCGAGGCAGTTCATCAGGCTGACTTCCGGCAGGTATCACACCGCGTCGATGTACGACATGTAAGTTGTTACGATTATCGTTGAGACACACGTAGCTCGAGAGCGAAACTCGACATCGGCAGGTCCTCCCCCTCTCCCCCCCGCACGCCCGGCCGGACTTTCTTCCTCTCGCGACTCCAGACCGATCGATTCCGGCCTAAAATAACCGCGGGCAAAATGTCGCGTATCGATCACGTGAGATAATATGCAGAAAAGTCGTGCGCCAACAGGCGTCGGCCAGGTCGGGCTTATCCGAATTGAATCCCGGCCGGAAAAACGGCCGGCTTGATGAACAAGTTGAGAGAAAACGCGTTACCGACAACGACCTCTCGCGCCACGATTATTCTCGAAATTCTCGAGAGAAACAAAGTAGCGCACGCGCGCGCGTGCGAAAACTCAGAGGCAGAGAGAAAGAGAGAAGGATATTAATTGTCAGGACGTAATACACACAGTAATAAACACAGCTGAGACGACAATTAAGAGCGGGCGAGCGATAGCTGCAATAGCGGCCGGGAGGTACGTGACCTCGTATTTCGCTTAATCTCGATCTCGTCACGTGACACACATTATTATTCTTAACACACTTAACGGCGACGTAATAAGATTCAGATCGTCGATTCCAGGTCGGCGAAACTGCCTCGCATGTTTCCGCGATTTTCAAGTCCGATAAAGCCGCGCGCACACGCCCACACAGCAGACGTGTACGTTCCCTCCCTCTCTCTTCCCCCGATCGCCGATTTAATAAATTTATAAAAACCCCCGTCGCGCTGTCGGTCGAGATTCACGACGGAGCCAAGGGATGTGTCGGCTCAATATTTGAACTGGCGCGACTCGGCGAGCTCGTCAAGTGCGCTCGCCATTGCAAAAATTTTTAACCGCTCGGCAACCGAATCGGCCGATCGATAGAAAAATACAGTTTTACTGTGTCTGTACGACCGGCGTGGGCGATTGCATAAAAGGCGCTTCGATCGGCAGACGCGCGCGCGCGCGAAAATTACACGGCCCTCGAAATTCAGCACCCTGGAGGTTACATACGCGGGCATTAACGGCGGACATATGGCGTGTGTGTGTGTGTGCATGTGCTGTGTGTGCACGTGGCGTGTAACATGCGGGACTATTGTATATTGTCGAAACGCCTTACGCTATTGTCCATTCCTCCTCGCCTCCTGAATATTTAAACACTGAGCCGGCACGCAGCCACTGATCGCCGTTCGGCGTTGCCTGTTCGGCGATATTCACCCCACGACCGCGAATATATCGTACTTGCCGTATAAAAATCACATTTCCCAGCAGTTTTAACAAGAGCCAAGTGCCGCTTTTGAAGTTTAAGTAAAACAACAGCGAATCGCGCGATTTCACGCTGTGTGCGTCAAAGTACATTTTGTTTCCTACGAATCTAAGGATCGAGACGTTCGACATCAGCAAAGAATTTTCATCAATAAATTTACGGTTTACTTTATTTATTTAACTCAGGCACTATAAAATCAGCAGGCTTGGTGCTTGGTTTAATTAAAACACAGTTTTAAGTCCTGTGGTTATCTCTAAAGCTTTGTATTTAATTCGTTACAGTCTCATTTTTAGAGCTCATATATGTTTAATTACGTTTACTTTTTAATATGCTAAATATTTTGCAGGGTGTACGGTATAAAAGTTTTTGATCGATTTATGTATTTGCGTTGAATATTGTCGAAGCTTTGAGGAGGTTGAATTGGAGTGACGTTTAATCCGACAAGTATATCGGAGAGGGTTCAAGAAATTGCGAACGAAAACACTTAGCGTATTAGAAAATAACACAAATCGCCCTGATAAGGCAATAATAAGAATTACATCAGCAATGGTCGACTCTTGCTGAGCCTGTTAATATTTCATGTGATTAAAAGTTCAGCAATTAATTTTATATTCGCGTGCTTCGCACGCGAGATACTTTGCCGAGGTTGCGAAAAACGATTTCTCGGAACTACTACACCAGTCCACGGGTGACTCACGGCTACTTCTTCAGCGTAAAACTTGTTCGTCGGATTTTCGCCAAGGAGAGAAACCGTATGACCAGACGATGAGGCGACCGGGAATTTCGCACGAGTGAGCCGGCAATTCGAATTTTCGCCGAAGCAAGAATTCATTACGAGTATATACACGGTAAAACTCAAGCTTCCGCGGGCTTGATAAGATCAGCAATTTATTACGTCGACGTATCGAAGAAACGAGGAACGATCGGAATAAAAATTCCAAGACGATGTTAGGAGGAACGCGAAGGAGGAAAGCGACAAACGCAGTTGGCACCTGCCTCAACCTTCTTTAACCGCGTTTCACCTGGCTCGCATGACTCGAACCGGCTAACCCTTCTTTCGTGACCGCGCGGGGAAAAGCGAGTCAGGTCAGTGCGGCTTATAAGCCGTCCGAGGTAGACTCGAAACGGGACTGTCGGGTGTCGTTGGTAGCTTAGAAGATCAGAACGCGAAAGAAGAATTGCGCGTTTCCAAACGGCGGAATTGGAAGGTGAAGAGAAACTCAATCGCGAAGAGAATTTTTCTCTGCGAAACTAAATTTGATATCAGATTACTTCGAAGAACAAGAATCAATTCAAGTGAACATTGCTTTCTGCAAAAAAAAAACTACTTGATGGGCGAGACGTCTTGCAGAGCAAACGTAGGACAACGAAAAATGTGGAAAAATTACACAGCAATTTCCCGGAGCGAAATGAAGACAAGTCGTCTTTTCCACTCCCGATTCATACCCTGAGGCCGTCTACCCGTCTAGACGTCATCGTCTCCTCGTCTGCCACGAAGAGCGTCGTGTGGGACGCGAGGTCAATGAGTACAAACTCTTATCGTCTCTCTCACCGTCCTCCTACATTCGAAAAGAATAAAAGCACAACACGACTTGCGGGGGCGAACGGACACGGCGCGTCGTGGCGCGACGACGACGACGACGTCGGCGACGTGGGGGGTGGCGACGGCGGTGGTGGCGGCGGCGGTGGAGGCGGTACCGGTCAGCAGCGGCCGGGATCCTCGGCGTCCTACGTGCCACAGTCGTGCGTACGTCGTCGATTGTCGCGAGCGCGGTGTCCTCGCAAATGATGCCTCCTCCTCAGCTACCGCTGCTTCTCCCCGTTCATCGCGACGAAGGCTTTGTCGTCGCGGCGACGACGAGCGCTCGCGGGCTCTCGTGCTCGAGCTAGTGCCCGGAATTCACCCCCGTCTGCCTTCGATCCTCGAGCGAGGCAGCCTCCCTCACGGACGTGTCGCCGAGTGCGTCGTGTGTGCGTCACCGAGTGCGTTGTGCGTATCGACGACACGTGCTTCCACGAGCGGCTCAGTTCGTCCTTGAAAACTCGCCTGCCTCCTAGGGCAGCCAGCAGCGGCGCGATGAGCGTGAATCCCGATCGAATCGCCGCTGCTCGGACTCGGATTGAGCGCGCACGGACTTCTCGCACGGCCCACGGCAGCTGTAGGATAATTGCGCGAGTTCGATCGCGCGCGAACAATGTTCCGCGATGTTGCGCTAAGTAATTCAACGACTGTCAGATCGCCGAGGGTAAAGTCGGCGAAGTCGACGGCGCGGCGGGCAACGAGAGCGAGAAGTATAGTTCCTCGCGAGACCGAAGAACTCGCGACACACGCACACGTCAGTGGCTGAGAGCGGGTGTGTGTGTGTCGATGTGTGCGCGAAGGTGACGCAGGAACAAATAAGGGACCCAGCATGGCACAGGTGAGGGCGATCCGCAGCGGGGCTCGGCCATTAAGAGCGCGTCGCCTGTTCGAGGAACTCCGACTTCCTCGGACACCTGATCGATAAATGCAATCAACAGCCGGCGATCAGCAGCCGCGCGAGCGCGCGAACGCCTACGTGTCGCTCGCGCACGCACATCGATTATTTCGCACATTCCGCCGCGCGTCGAGCGGGCTCGGCCGTGCTCTGGAATTGTTATTGGCATCGATCGCCGATTCTCCGCCGACACTCCGGTGCTCGCGCACTCGTGTTCCCTTCGTCACCAGCCGAAGATCCCGGAAGGTCGAGGCAACATCGCCCGCGAGCTTCGCCGCGAGTTTCACCTTCCTTCTCTCCTCCCCTCCCCCCGCTTCCTCGTGAGTCTCATCGTTGCATTGATAATATTGGTATATTGGCCGTCTTGTCTTGTCGAGTACCGCTCTTGGCATTTTGCGATTGTTGACTGACGGTTTGTCGGTTTTGCTTCCCCCTTTCGCGATAACCGACCCGTTGTTTCTTAATCCTCGACGACCGCTCGCGAGAAGAGGTGCAGTGATAACGGACAAGGTAACCAGCTGAAGATTAGCGGGAAAATCCACCGAGGGACGGAGAATGGATCGCCGTCGTGTTGTTGACGAAGCCAAGCTATCCTTAACCCTCCCGCCTATCAGTTGGCGTTTAATTGATACACCGATGGTACTGATGCACTGCTGATCGCCCGTCACTCTTCGCACACATACGATACCTCAACAACAAGCCGCTCGCGAGCGAAGAGGAAGAGGAGATCGACGAGTCCGCTTCGCTGAGGCGAGGTCAGCTTCTCTCGCCTAGCCTGGCAGGAAGGCTGGATTTCTCGTCGCGAGCGTTTCATCGTCCGTCCAGGACGTTGCCCGCTGAGTTGGATCGCACAAACGATGAAGCCGCGCTCGCCGGGGACGATCGGTTCATCGCAATCGCCGCGGTCGCGAGCGCGAACTCCCGAGCGGAAGGTCCGCTGAAGCGCGCGCCAGCAAGATGATCTTCAAGTCCTGCGCCTGGCCGAGCGAGGCGAAAGAGGCCGGCGGAGGAGCGCCGTCGGCGGGCCGGGCCGAGCGCAAGATCGCACACGCCGTCCTCCGTTGCTGCCCTTGCGTCTTCCGCTGTAGGAAGTCCGTCGGCGTCAGCCGCGAAGAGGAGGACGACGACGGCGGCGCCAACGACGACGACGACGACGGCGCGTCCGTCTCGACCGTCATCACCACGGCGACCGCGACGCCGGTCATCGCCTTGAGGCTGAACGACACGGTGTACGTTGTAGACTCCGACTCCGTCAAGCGTGGGTCGATATTTTGTCCGACGATTTTCGGGGCAACAGAGAGAGAGAGAAAGAGAGATGGAGGGAGAAGGAAAGAGAGAGAGAGAGAGAGAGAGAGAGAGAGAGAGAGAGAGAGAGAGAGAGAAAGGAGACCACGCGACTCGTTGAAAATTGTAACGTTAAATAATTGTCGATACGCAAAGTACCACGAAGGTGTCTGAGACGCGGTGACATGGAGATCGACCGTGCTCGTCAGCATCGTCTGGTGATGTTGGTCACCGCACAAGGAGACGAAAGATCAGTTCAATTAATGCGTCGATCAGCGACGAGAACGAACGCGCTTTGTTCGGAGAAGGCGGAATTTCTGACTTCTGGAAGGCCGAGTACGGCTCGCGCGAGGCAGAAATTCCGATTCTTCTGGGAATATCGACTCGAGATCCACTCGGGGAGGGGGGAGGGCGCCTGTCGATCTCGAGGGCGATGTGAAGGGGGTGTAACTTCTTAAGCAACTTTATCGCGTTGAAAGTGCAAGGACGCCTCAGCCTTGCACTTGAGCCGTCACTGCTGTGCTGTTTTATTTGAGTCATTGACAGTTAGCCGCATAGTGGGTGGTTGTCGCGAGCGAACCCGATGACACGCATTTAAAGCGCAGCCCGGAGCTCTGGAAACGTCATTTCGCGGCCGCACTCTGCCGCGATTTCGGCGACGTCGCTGAAATGTTAATGTCGCGTCGTAGGCCAGGCCGGAATGTTGCATGCGCGCCGCTGCGAGAGGAACTTTCGACTCGATTTCTGTTTTTGCATTTCAGCGACAAAGCGACGGTGAACGAGGAGGAGTACAATGCGCGGAACAAGCGCCACTTCTCGCCCGAGACGAGGAGTTACAACGTGCAAACCTCGAACAAGGAGGAGTCTCGGTATCAAGGTATCCTATCTCCATCGAGAACGTCATCTTCTGTTGCGAGAACGAGAAAACACGAAGAGATGCAACAGGAACACGCAACCCCGCGTCGTTCGACGCTGAAAAGAAATGGATTTTTTTCGTCGAATCAAGTTTGACATTTTATCAACTCGCGTCGTCGTCGTGTATTTCATTCGTGCATTTCTCATGAGAGAAACGGTGAAAAAGGAATCGCAAAGTATTTCTTTTAGAATTTCTTTTAGATGGAGTATTCGTAGACAATAAAACGATATATTTGCACGGGGAGAAAAAGTTTCGTTGAATCAACATGCCGAATCAATTGCAATTTTGCCGAACCAAATTCGATCGCAAGAATCAGGAGAATTCCGTTTTCTCCTCTTTCAATTGATCTAAAAATCAACACTAAAACTAGATTGTGGGCCGTGTGAGACGAACGAAAAAAAATATAGAGAGAGAGAGAATTTAATATTCAAATTCCTCGCTGTTTTTTTTTTCTTTTCCACAAAAAGGGGCTCTTTGCGATTTCTTTTCGCCGCCTCACCCGCAGAAGGTAGACGCAGAAACAAAACGCCCGGCGAACTTGTCTTTCCCACACCAAGTTTTGGTGCGACCAAGTCCGCGTGGTGCGGGTGATTCCGCGTCTCGATTCCTCCGTCTCGCGTCCGGAAAATCGAAATCGAATCCTGGATACCGCCGAGACTCGCAGAGATGCCGAATGAACCGTGAGAGACTTTCGGCTGGCGCGAATGCCGACAGTAGCTGAAGTGGAGCGAGAGGTTCTTCACCTCGCGCATGCATATACGTAGAGCTTAGGCGAGCCGACGCGCCACGGTGATCAATATTCCGCTAGTCAAGTCCGAGGTACGCGATCGAGTCTCGCGTTGTATCGCGCGAGAACACTCGGATCGATGCTTCACGCGTCCGTCTGAGAGTCGCTCCTCTGCAAATCCGGCGATTCTAGTCAGCTTCCGCGACGTCTCTTCAGCGGAGAGACGCGAGATCCGATCGTCTTCCGCGCTGGTTCATCGAAGCGTCGAACGACGATTCTCACACACCCACCCATACATACACACACACACACATATTGCCCGACGTGTAAGTACGTGCTCTCAAGTGCTCCTTCAACGCCATTCTTAGAGTTTCTACGTTCCTTCTCAGTCAGCGAACGCATTCGCGAACCCACCAGAAGCGCGAGCAGTTCGTCGTCGGACGCTTCCAGGAGCGATCGGCAAGACGCTCTCGCGGAGAACCGAGACGCGAGATCACTGCGAGATCGCGCCAACGATAGCAACAACAACAATAATGACGACGACGACGGCAGCCGATTGTCGAGCCCGCGCAGCCAGTACGCCGACCCGGCGTTCGACATCATCACGCAGCAGGCGACGAGTCGTCCGATTCACGACGACGTCGACTCCTTTTTCGTAAGAACTTTCCGAAACTATGTCTTCCTGAGAGCATGCCGATTATCTACCAATAAACCCGATACCTGCATACCACGATATTTTACGTATACAGGGTGGCCCATTGTACACAGGGAACAATAGTTTAGTGATAGATTTTTTCACGTATTTGGAGTCGTTACTTCTACGGCGCAAATTTGACGGGAGCCCATCGTTTGACGCAACATTTTATTTTCCAACGTTAAATACTACGGTAATTAAACGACAGACTTGAATTGCGCTCGAAAGTAAACAGCGTCCGCTCAATACTCGAGTTCATTGGAAAAATTCCGTTTCTTCTATTATTTTTCATTTTTTCTTCTTCCGTCTGACTGAAGAGTGAGAAAGCCGATTGATCCGGAGGGAGAGACGCTGTCGCGTATTAGCGGTAAAATAATAAATAAATAAATAAATAAAAATGTATCCGATGCGCGTAAGGACTTTATAGAATTCAAGTGGCAAGTCCCGAATGGCAAATCTAACTCGTGGCGATCGTTTCAGACGGCGACGGACGACAGCAGCAAGGTCGAAGGGCCGATCGAAGGGGCGAGCGCGCTGATCGGGGGGGATGAGGCGTCGAAGGAATGGAGCAGCGAGGACGAGACGAAGCCGACGGGCCGACTCGGTGCGATCTCGAGGCACTCAGAACACGGCGAATCGGTCGCGATTGAGGACGAGAACTGCAACGGGAGCACAACCGGCAGCAGCTCCGGCTTTCCTGAGCAGCTGGAGAACCGGTCGCCGAGCGCGAGAAGGATCGCGAACGAACGGATCCTGCCCTACGACGAGCCGAAGGTGTCCAAGGAGTCGCTGCAGGCCACCAGCGCCCCGCGGACTGCGAGCCCCAACAAGTCCGAGTCCCTGTATCAGTCACCGAATCACAGCACTCGTCATTCGTCGCTCGCCAGCTCGCCGTCCAAGCGGATCTCCCGCTGCGGCTCGCGCAACTTGGTCAGTAAACGCGACGGGACTGCTGCGGAAATTTGGAGATGACGAATTTCCGGGATTTCTGTGAACTCGGAAATCCGATTAAGAATAAGCAGAATTGATTCAAAATAGTCTCCCGGGCTCATCTGGTTATTCGAATAGCGGATAAATGTGATACTTTAAATTCGAGTTATTTCGGGGGTACAGTTGAAATATAAAATTCGAATCCGAGTCTGAATCCGAATCTGATCTAAATTCGTACCACAATCAGAAACCTGATAGATACATTTGCAGCAACTTATTATAAATGCTTCTCGAGATTTGACAATCAAATAGATATCTTTTATTTTTTTAACTGCAATTTGACAGTTTAACACATAAATAAGCATAATCTGAGATAATTATATTTATTTACTAGGTGTACAATTTTGCTTCCGCCGTTTTTTTTCCGAAATTCGAGGCTTTATTGTAAAAAACTGGTTATACATTTATGATTCAAAGTATTGTCCATCGCTGGCCACTACTTTCTCCCATCTTTCGGGCAGCGTACGAATCCCGCGTTGAAAAAAAACTGGTCATCTTTTGAAGCGACTCACGAATCGATCCAATTTCTTACTTCTTCATAAGACCGGAAGTGCTGGTCAACCAGGTCGTGCGTGTGCCATTGATCGAAACAAATGATAGTCAGAGGGAGCAACGTCTGGAGAATACGGCGGGTGGGGTGGGACTTCCCATTTCAACGTTTCCAAGTATGTCTTGACCACTTTCGCAACATGGGGTCGAGCATTGTCATGCTGCAAAATCACTTTATCGTGTCTCTCGTTGTATCGCGGCCGTTCGTCTTTCAATGCTCGGCTCAAATGCATTAATTGCGTTCGATAACGATCGCCTGTGATTGTTTCAGTCGGTTTTAACAGCTCATAATACACTACGCCGAGCTGGTCTCATCAAATACAGAGCATGACCTTGAAGCCGTGAATATTCGGTTTGGCCGTCGACGTGGATATGCCCATGATTTTCTGCGCTTGGGGTTATCGTAATGAACCCATTTTTCGTCCTCAGTCACAATGCGATGCAGAAATCCCTTCCGTCTTTGCCTTTCAAGCAACTGTTCACAAGCGAACAAACGCCGTTCAACATCTCTCGGTTTCAACTCGGTACGGCACCCAATTTCCTTGCTTCTGAATCATTCCCATGTCTTTGAGGCGTTTTGAAATTGCTTGTTGAGTCACTCCCAATGATCGTGCCAATTCTTCTTGACTTTGACACGAGTCTTCATTAAGTAATGCCTCCAATTCTGCATCTTCGAAAACCTTCTCTCTTCCACCGCTATGCCGGTCTTCGACGTGAAAATCACCGTTCTTGAAGCGTTGAAACCACTCACGACACGTTCTTTCACTAATAGCGGCCTCACCATAAGTATTTGAAAGCATTCGATGAGCCTCAGCCGCAGATTTCTTCATATTGAAGCAGAAAATTAAAACCTCCCGCAAATGACGAGAATTTGGCTCGTAAACTGACATTTTCAATCGAGAATAACTTTATGATGCAGACACAAATCGACTAATGTTTTTATGGGGTTATGTTGACAGATGCCCAAGTTTATTGCATGACGTCTATCATCTATTTATTTCGACCACTACTTACCGCTAAAGCCATTTATAGGAAAACGGCGGAAGCAAAGTTGTACACCTAATATATATTTGAATAACAATTATCTCGGATAATTTTGTTATTAAATTGATCCATTCTTTTTCTATTATCTGTTCTGCGACGTTTTTCACCAAGTAAATCCGTCCATGTTTCGTGCAAGATTTCCACGTCGCATGAAATTCCGCCGGTAGCGAAATCCGCGGGTCCGAGCCGCCCGAAGCGACTAATTAGAAAACAGACTCTCGCTAATGATTGGGCGCCTTGGGTACGGAGACGGCCGTACCACCGTTTCTCCCAAGTGTCGCCAAACCCTCCGCCGGCGGATCGCAACTCCCGATTTCGCCCCGTGCGGGACCGACTGGCTCGACGTGATTTCAGTCGGAGGTGGGCGGGTTCGTTGAATAAGTCTCGTCGCGAAATTAGGAACTCGTTCGGCTGTTTGTTACGAACATGCAAGTATATTCTATATGATACAGCTGTTACGAACTGAACGGCTAATTCCGTCCGTCCGATTGTAATCACAAAAAGTATGTCCGGCTGTAAGCCGTTCGAGTAAGTCGACGGATTCTCCGTCCGACGGATTTCGCTAATAATCGTAATCGCCAAGATTTTCGTTGGATCTCGACCGCACCAAAAGTTCCCGACGGAACGCGCACTCTACCAGCCCGTGTACGCGCTCGTGACCGGCTCGTGCGCGTAGCGTGCGTCGGGGCACGTTCTTTTCCTGCGTTATCAAAAAAAAAAAAAGTCGCGACTTTTTCTTTTTCTTTTTGATAACGCAGGAGAAACCCGTCATGGGTACCCTCCGCCCCCTGGGAGGGGCAGAGGGTTATGTGAGACTCTTACTCACTAAAACTCCTGCGGGATGTCTACCAGTCGGACCGAGATGGGGGGAGTCAGGGGAACTGCGCCAGCATTCCTTCCCCGACACCGTGGCCCCAGGGCTCTAACGAAGCCCAAGTACCGCGCCCGTGTGGATCCTCTCCAGGAAGAGGGTCCGGGCGCGGTGCCCCGGTCGGCATGCCGATCAGGTTGGCCTTCCGGTACTTTACGGGAGAGAGGGAGGGAGACACCCACCCTCCTCGAGGAGTGATTTCACTCCGGAGGGGGGCGGGGGAACGAGACCCTTTTCCAGAGGGCCTCGTTCCCCCCTACCCTACCTCGCCGACGCCCGGGGAAGGGCGAGGGGGGGGCTTACACCCCTTCCCCCGACGACCCTCCCCCGCGCGTCCGCATCGCGACGCGCGACTAGCTAGGCCGACTCTAATTGTCGTTCGTCGCCGAGGCCGGGCCAGGGATCTCCCTCGCCAAGACTTCGCGCGGACTACCGGGACCGGGATGCGGCCCTTCGCAACAATACGCATTAGGAAGACCGGCCCGGCCACGGCCGGCTACTCCCTGGCGGCGCGTCTTCCGACTTCGCGAGGTGCGTAGAACGTGGAGAGCTGACGCTGCGGCTTCCATCATCCGGACGACGTCCCCGAGATCGTCCGCTCGTCGTCGGTCTCTCGCCCGCTTCGCCGTTCGCTCGCTCGGGTCGAGATCCAAAAAGGAATAGGCCGAATCCTTTCGGCTTCCGCATGGCTATCGGCTCGGAGGTCCCCCACTCGCGGGAGCTCCCAGGGAGCCTTGCGCGGTCCGGTGGCCGTGCCCCGTCGCCCCGCCGAATCTTCTCGCTTCTGCTAGCTGTCGGCCGCGGTTCTTCGCTGTTTCGCTCCTCGACCACCGACGAACGTAGTAGACTCTTGGTGGCTTCCACCCGAAACCTCTCAGAAGGGGGTTCGGGGGTCCACGGTCTCTCCGCCACTCGTTTCAGCACGCCACAATCGCCGGGAAAAATCCCGGTATTTTCTAATATTCGTTCGGGACTCGCGGTCGCCCCGCTCACACGGACGTTCCGACGCTACATCGACGGATTGGTACCACTTAGTCGCTCTGTAACAGGCGCCTCAGGCTGCCTGGTTACAGGTTACAGTTCCTTTTATATAATTTAAATTCAAGTTTAAATCTGAATTTGGTCAAGTTCAAATTTAAATCTGAAATCCGCTTCTCGACATTCAGATCTCAATTTTGAAGCCAAATCTCTTATTATAGTTTAAACTTTGATCCGAATAGAGTGATTTTGATTTTCCAAATTGAAGCCGATCTCCAACTTTCGGATAGTTAGATATTCGGATATTTGAAAGTAATTGTTTGACTTTAATATAAAAGTCTGTGGTCGAAAAAACAAATTAAACAAATAGGAAAAAGGAAACAAGGCGGCTAATTGAATATATATAGAGTGTCTCATTTTATATCAATCTGGGCCCGTGGTTATTTCGATCGAGAATTGGTCAGAAAGCGGAGAAAACAGGCTAAAAATTCTTGAGCTAAAGCTAAAGAAACATGTTCACGAGACGATATTGGTTCGGATCAATCGAGTAGATTTGTAAAACAGGCCGAAAATTCTCCCTTTGCATTCTTAATTAATTAACCAGAATAGCCACAAGAAGAAGACTGGGAGTCTTGAAGCGCATCGATCTAATGCAATTCTCACCGATGTGTGGTGGCAATTTTCGCGGTGTTCTACCCTTCCTAACACTCGCGCGGATCCTTGGGAATCCCTGAGTATCTCTAATCGTCATCCTTTTTGGTCAACATGTTAGCCGTTCGAGCATCAGAACGGGGAGTCCAGGGATTCCAGCGAGGAGAGATTAGTCGCTTCCATAGTACTTGACGAGGATGCTTCCATTCGATCGTTGGACCCCGGTCGTCCGCAGATCGACGGCGGTATGACCGACACACCGGCGATTATCATCGCGTCGCGGCCGCATTCTCACGAGACCATCGAATACGTGGAGAACGCGAGGAACGTCGAGAACGCGAGCGTGCTCAATAGAAATAATACTGAAGAGGTGAGAGACGCAAGTACACAGTGGGGCTGGCGACTCGTCAAGTTCCGTTTGTAAGCGAGGGCGTATAAAGTCAAATCTGAAGGCGGGTCTCCGAGAGGCGGCGAGTAAAGGAAAAGGGAAAGAATCATAAGGATCGCAGAAACGAATTCGGGAAACGGATTCGGGAAACGAAAAACAAAGGCTATAAGATTAGATATACAGGGTGTCCCATTTTAAAGGACCCACTCAAACATCTCAGAAACACTGCGTTAAATCGAAAAATGCTTAAGACAAAAGTTGTTTAGCTTGAAGAGGGGGGGGGGGCATAGAACAGCGATAGCATTCTGTTTATAGATGGCTCCATTTTCGAGACATTTACTGATTATCAGTTTTCTTAAATGGAAATCCAAATTTTTTATTTTATCATCTTTTTCTACTTAATTATTTATTTAAACAACTTTTGTCTGAAACTTTTTTTATTTCCTTAATATATATTTGAGAGTGTTTAAGGGAAACTTGGTAACTTTTTCAACATTTACCTTACGATATCTTGTTAACTATTCGTCGAAAGAAAAAATAGTATTAGACTTTTTTACTTTATTTACTATCAAGAATATACTACTATAATAGTGCCCTAACTTTTATTAATTTAATAATTTTGAAATTTCCAAAGGTCGGTAAGATATGTCCCCTATGTCCCCCTTAACGTAGTGTTTCTAAGATATTTGAGTGGGTCCTTTAAAATGGGACATCCTGTCCACAATCGTCACAAAGCGTGAGCGTGGTTCTCCAAAAATGTTCGAAAGCTTCTTTTTCCGCCCGAAGATTACAGCGTTTATATTTCATAATTCCACAACTCTCTATTGGTCCACGTCTCCTTTAGCTTGGAATACGTCTCATCATCGCAAATTTAAACATTAACGCGAGACCGCTGTCACGCAACACTCTTTTTGCAGGCGATGAGTGCACGCCGAAATGTTTTCCGCTTTCGCTGATCCGTCTCCGCACGCACCTAACATTTGTTTTCGTGTTATCGCCGTGTTGTCTGCTTACACTGCTTGATATTAAAAATGTGTAATCGTGGTGCTTTCAGTCCACGGAGGAAGAGTCCAGCGTGAACGACACTCTGGAGGACCGACAGAGCAAGGACAGCGCGAGCGAAACGAACACGGAGCCAGGAATATTGAAGATCGAGGTACGAGAAATTGACTCAAGCCACAGCGATCTTGATCAGTTCTGACAGTTGTCGAATCTTGAATTACTGCACAGAATTCAGAATTCTCTTCTTAAAGCATGCAACATTTTTTACCCCTTTCTGTGATAAGAAATAAAAGTGCCGACGAAGACACTTGAGAATGACGAATTTCACACGAGCGACTAAATGTTTTCCATGTCGCTATGAGTTGAAAGCTCACGTGTCGCGATGATCCTTTCCTGTACAGCCTCAGTCCATGGACATTATCGAGTCGCGCAGAAAAATCGCTTCGAAAGTACCGGTCCGCGACGCTGGCAGATATCGAGCGCTTTCCATGAAGAAAGCCGCGGAGAAGCCCTCGGAGAAGTCCAAGCGGATGGTGCAGCAGTGCTTCGCGCAGCTTGAGAGTAAAGACTGGTAAGACGCTACAGATCGCTAACTTTGCCGATTGAAGCGAGAACTGACGAGTGCCATGAAAGAAGAAAAGGGCGGTGTACTAGGTGGCGACGGAACCGCCGTGCGTTCGGGACCTGCATCTTATTTTCGTTCCGAAGAGAGAAAAATATCGAGAGCGCGGTAGTCGCTAGACCGGGAATCGAACCTGAGGGGGTCTTTCCGCTCGCCGGACGACTGCTCTAGACCACTGAGCTATCTGACGCTCCACGCTCACGACACTCTCCTCTCCCTAGATAACATTGAGAGATGTCGTTCGGAAGCGTTTCTAGTGCTATCCCCGAGCGCACGGCGACTACAGAGAGAGGCATTATTACTTGTACCTAGTGGTACAAGCTGGTGGTCTCTCAAAGTCAAAGGTTGCAAAGAGTGACTGGGTTTCAGGGAAGTAACGACGAAAGGCTTGAAGTCCCTGTCTCAAATCGCGAAGCAGTCTCCGGAGTACCTGGACGTCCTCTCGGTTGGAACGATAGCGCGGCTTCTGGGACGACACGTGAGAAATCTCCGCTCGCAAGTGGCGCGAGCCGCTTGTCTCGCCGCCGGTGATGTCTTCAGCTCGCAGATTCGGGGCATCGATCAGGTGGGTGTCAGGAATGTGCTTCACTTATTCTCCGAAGGGAGAATCGACTGGTGGAGTTCTTTCGCTCGATATGTATATTTCTCGTGGGAAATTGATTTCTCCTCCTTCGCCTGCAGGATCTGGATGAGATAGCGGGTCCGCTGCTCCACCGAACGGCCGATACGAATCGATTTCTCCGTGCGGATTGCAACGCGGCTCTGGATCAGATGGTGCAACATCTGCCGCCTCATAAAACCATCGGTGTGATCGTATTGCGAGGAGCGAGGCGAGTTGCGGATTTTCAGAGAATATTCTCATCTACGGGGTGTCCGACAATTAATCGCTCGTATTCGCGTTCGCTCATTAATTTCTTTTTATCAATTTCCTTAAGAACTGCATTTTGTGTCCACATTGCTAGACATGCTAGAAGACCTTCTTGTCCGTTTGATCTTTGTTGCACGAGCGACGACGATTAGCAGACATCCCACGTATACCTTGTATTGCGCGTAGCTCACTTGCCAATTGTTCCGCCGCAGCCATCAAAACGCTATCGTTCGCGCAACGACCGCGCGACTGTTGTCAGACATCACCGACCGCATCGGGCCCGACCACGTGATGATCCTGCCGCGCGACGTGAAGGATAAGTTGCTGAACAGCGGTGCGAGACTGTTGATGGACGGGAATCTGGACGCGAGGTAAGCGAGCCCGTTGCGCCATCGCCGGCGCATCATCGAGAGTAATCGAGGGAAATCGCATGCGCAGGAATCACTCCAAGAGGATGTTCCGGCGGTTGACCCGCTGCGAAGGCTTCCGCAAAGCGCTGACGGACGCCGTGCCCGAGACGACGTTACGACACATCGACAAAACCATGAAGACCCTCTAACCGAGACGGACTGGTCGGGCGATTTTATAGTCAGTTTAACGTAGTGCGATTTAACCCCGCCGTCGTCGCCGTCGCCGCCGCCGTCGCTTGGACCACCCCAGAAGATTGCTCCGTCGCGGACGACGTTCGACGACCCGGTCGTCTAAAGAATCGACTTACGATCAAGATTCAGACGAGAATTTTCTATACCGAGAAAAATGCCAGACAGGCGCTCGCAATTAGCCTCTCCCCTCTCCACCCCCCTGCGCGCCGTGAATATTCTCCCACCGAGGATGAAATGCAACGAAAGGACGATTCCAGTGAAACGCACGTCGGAGGCGACGTGCGACGACGAAGGAGGCGAGAGACTCGCTGCTCGGCCTGCGTCGATCCTGTTGCTTTTTCTTCTTTTCTTCTTCAATTCTTGTTTTCCTCATCGACGTTTTGATACTCGACAACTTTAATATACACGCATGTACGAACGCGGGCGTTAAGGTCGACATGCTTCTTCCTCGTCGCGCACCTCGACGAGCACAACACGGGGGAATTGTTCCTCCGAGAGAAACGGGACAGAGGAAAACGAAACGGAAGGAGCTTTCCGACGAATCGGCCGGAAGACAGGTATCGTCGTCGTCGTATCGTAGGCGCGTTTCGAGGCGCAACGGGAAGAAAGTGTGTCAATGTTTATACGACACTCGCGCTCGTGCATGCATCTTTTTATACGGTTGTGTAAAGGAGCCGCACTTGGGTGCAAGTGCGCGCGGTGAACATGTAGTAGTGCCTTCTCACACATCGGTGACCGCATCGCGAATCTCCGGACTCGCTCGCACAAAAGGGAACCCGCGACCCACCAACGTTCGCGGCACGGTCCCGCAGAGTCGAAATCTCGAATTCGGAATTCGGAAACTGTTCCCGCTCCTTAAATCTCGGCACGTGTTTTTTCCTTTTTTTTTTCTCTCGGGACGCGACGCATGCCCGCGAAATATCGCCGATACGCTCGACGACGGCTTACGTTGTTGTCTTCACCAACTCTACACCGACGAGTTGCAGGAAGAGAAAATCAGTGGACGGATCTCTTTCTCCAAAAGGGAGGCAAAAGAGCTCGAGATCGCTCGCTGACGGCGATGATTCCGTATCTCGGAATCGACGATCAGCTTCCGTCAGTCTGAAAACACAGAGACTGGAGAGAGAACGTCAGCGCGAGAGTGTGTCCTCGTAAATTTTTATATAGATTAAATATCTCGAGTGTGATGACAGTTTAACATTTGCGAGACAGAGGGAAAGAGAGAGAGAGAGAGAGAGAGAGAGAGAGAGAGAGAGAGAGAGAGAGAGAGAGAGAGAGAGAGAGAGAGAGATAAAAAATTACCACACAGGCAAACCGGGCATATACGACTTTAATTTTCAAACCTTAAATTTTTTAATTTTAAACCTTTAGAATTGTATATTTGGAGAACGACTCATATATTTATACAAATATATATATGAAAAAAATAATGATTTATACGCATACATATACCGAACGAGAATAATTGCTTATTACCGAAGGCACACGTATATATATTATTATTGATAAATAAAATTAATGTTGTTATATATCACAGTGGTATATTTTGACTTTCCCGCTAGCGCGCGAGTACAGACAGCATCCATCAATTTGCTAATAATGCTCCACAGTATTGGACGACAGATTCTTGGCTAATGGTTCGTAACCATTAGCACTCGCTGGCTCTGTTGGCAACGTCTGACTATCCTATGTCGGTATTCGCGTCAAGTCTCGAACAATATATCTTGCTTACGTAATCAACACACGAAACAGTTCTTTCGCTTGAAGTGGGAGCCTCAGTGAACAATTGCAAGTGAAATCGCGATTCCCGTCGTTTGCGGGGCGAACCACGACGGCTATTTTGTCAAGCTCTCACAGAAGGATATTGAAGTACCGAGTATCCGTTTACAGGTAGAAAAGTCAGCGAACGAGCGAGGATATTTCCCAATGGAACAGACCGTCGCTGAAGACGCGTCGATTGAGAGAAGCGTCAGAATAATCGTGGACTCCATCGAAAATATCGTAAGTCTCCGTCGTGTGATCGAACAATTTCGCAATCGTGAGAGAACAATTATGCTTTGTATTGTTACTTACTCTTCTCTTCCTTTCTTATGTCCAATAAAGGTATTGTTATTATTATTAATTATCTTTTGTGGGAAAGACTGTAAAGGAAGAAACTGCACTATCGTTCATCATGATACACGATAACGCAGTGCTCGGGGAGAGTAATCCTGTTATCGTCGCTCCTGGTTTCAAAGAATCCTTGCAAATTTACAACGTCAAGTTCGCCGTCGAACTTCCACTTATGATCGAGGATCGTGGCAGCGTAGATTCATTAATATCGACGCCGGTCTTAAGTAAATTACCTTCATATACGATGATGTATTATCGCACATGTTTGACCTCCTACCTAGCTTGGCAAAGTTATTTTCGAGAGGCAAGTTTTACTCTAACGAGTTAAACTTCGTTCAATGTTTTGGAGACCTCTTTCCTCACATTTCACAAAGTAACAACTATATTCATTACCGTTAATAATAATTGCAAGATATAATTTTGTTGCTTTTATCTTCATTAAAAAAAAAAGGGGGTCAGATTGTTAAGGAAAAAATTGACTTGCAACGATAACGAAGATTGTTCAAATAATATTACGTCTCTCGTATGTTTGCTGTCCCACTAGTCAAGGTGACATGCGCTGCTTCAAATCAGCCCGATTCCTTCAGATCAACCACAGAATCCAAGAGGAAGGCGAGATTGAGCGCTCAGAGACAGGCGGCAGCCTCGTTAAGCATAATTGGTTTCTGCAGTCTCGATTTAATGCCGATATTGCTGGGTATTGTTCAGATAATCACGTTGAACTGGAAAAAGTGAGATTTCTAAAGTATCTTTCACGCAAGTGTCATTTCAATCTCGTTGTCAGGTGAGAGATCGCACACCGAGAGACTGATCGTGGAGACGGCGAGTCTCGCGCTCGATGCGAATGCGATCTCGTGGCAGAATCTACCCGTGCTAACCGTAACGATAACCTACGACGATGCTGAGATATTCCCCGCGGATGCGAAAATCAACTTTCTGAGCGTTACCGTCGAGAGTATCCATAATCCGCCGGCTTTCTTCGCCGAGGACGAGGAGTACCGAGCTGGCACGATAGTGTACGTCGATAATGAGGTATATATCGCGTTTCTCTAAATAATTTATCGATTTTTATTTATTCGTCTGTGGTCTATTATTCCTTACGGGAGACGTCCCGTCAGTGCAAAACGTCAAACAATCGCAAGAGAAAAAAAGAGAGTGCGAAGAGAAACAGAAAAAAAAAAGAAACAAACAGAGAAAGAAATGAGAGGAAATAAAAAAAGAGAGAAAATCCATGGCAAGCACGTCTCTTAAATATCGCAGAGAAGAACTTTCGTTCTTTTGCCACAGTCTCCGGAGAATCTGATATTCAGAAATGGTATGTGGACCAAGTGTCGCAGTACGGAGAAAACCAAACGATGGCAGAGCCTGTCGAAGCTGCAAAGTCGCGCCAGATTGTCCAAGTACAAGCTCAACCGCGATTATACAGATATAAAAGATACTCTCAGCGTGAAACTCAACTTAGAGGTAGGTACTCTCCCGTAGAGAGTGCAGAACTTCCGCAAAATTGAGGATTATCGTGCAACTTGCAGGACAAAGCGCTGAGGGACGAGCCGAGGATCGAGTGGAATTCTATGAATCGTAAAGTGATATACGACGCGGGCTTGCTGATGATGCAGAAGCACATTAACGAGTACATATTCTTGAAAAAAAAACTTCTCGAGTGGCGACGGCCAGCGGAAGTTCGCGGCGTCGTCATCACAAAGCATCTTCTTCACAGGTACAAATATTGGCCCTTTCAATTTCTGACGGTCGAGAAAAGCTCGGAGGACGACGAAGTTGAATCGAAGACGGAACGACCGGCCAAACGTCGGCTTTACCAATGTTACATTGACATGTCGGAACTGCTTCTGCCGGGAAGTAAGCGCGTTAATGAAATGTAATAAATAAATAAGATAGATCTTTGGAAAATACGTTTCTCTCGCACGAACGTTTTCTCCGTAGAAACGAGTACTCGCGTAGTGGCGCAATTGCACTCACACGGTCCGTCCGACATGCTGGAGAAAACCGGTTTGGAGAGAAACATTTTTGTGGATCCTCGGAACGAAGATTTGGGGGAGCGAGAACGGAAGAATCATGCGCTTGAGGTGAGCCGAGTGTGGTGTCGGCATTTGCAAATTTCCGCTGCAAATATCTGTAATTTATTTTCGCGACGTTTCGTGTATGTGTGTGTGTGTGTGTTTTCAGAATTGACATTAACGTAATTAAAGTTCTTTGTCATTATTATTTCGCACAGATTGTGGACGCTGAGCGAAGTGCTCCGTTAATTTCGGAAAACGGAGAGCCCGTTTTTGTCATAATTGAAATTATGCTTTATTACCCAATTATTCCTCGCAGATTCGAAGCCGAATTTTCAGACATGTAAGTATCGGCTGAGTTGAGACCTAATTTCGGGTTAAATAAATGTGATATCTAATTTTGGAGGGATGGTTCATGCGGAACAGAATGTGTTCATGCGGAACAGAAAATTACAATAGGGTTAATATGACGTTAATGGGGTTAAAATCTCGAGAGGACGGTTAAAAATTCACTTTTCGACCACGCTTCGGTAATGTTCCCGTTATTTCGATATTATTTTAACGTGATTTCCTATTCTGCCTGGATGGATGCATTTTATATAATGAAAGTACGAAAAAAATTTTTACATTCTTTGCTTCTTTGAATTATTGTTACCTAACAAAATTATTCTCACAGATATTGTTAGTATTTATGGAAAAATATAGTGTCATTTTTTACTGACTTTTTGTCTATTGTGAACTACCTTGTAATCTAACGAGGAAAGGAGAATGTGCATTATTATTTTATTACAATACATAAATTAAAACGTTAATTATACGTATTTATAAAATGTTACCCCGTCTTCTCTCATGGATTTCTTTCAGTCTGATTCGACTTATTTTGTCAGGATCGAAGAAATGATGATTCTGCGACCACCGAAACCTCGTTACGTTTATTCTGGCGACATGGCGGAGGAACAGTACGAAGCTTGTATTCGGAAACTGGTGGAAATTCTCACGGAGAGTTATCGGGTATATACTGAACTTCTCGTGCCGCGCGTATCCGGACGCTGAAAGCTAATTATTCACGTCTAATATATTCCGTATCGCAAACTAAACTCTCGCGAAGTGCGACCTTCTTTTCGTCTCAGGACTTTCGCGAGGAACAGAAACGAGAAAAGTTGTCCGCGTCGCAAAGTCGTGAGAACGATTCCACTGTCGAAGAGACAGAGGATACCGAGAAGTACTGTTTCACTCCTGAACAGGTGCGACAATCTTTATCGACGACGTGGTATTGTGTTCAGGCTCATTGTGCGATCTTTTCAGGACGAGTTGACCTGCTTCACGCAATATCTCTACAAAACTGGCGATTACCTGCACGTACGGAGCACCCTGAAGGCAAAAGTGATCATGTTGCTGGACCAGAAATTCGAAAAGCACGTGAGCAACGTGGAGTCCGTCGAGAGCCAGGTTCGTCGTTCAGTTGTGGGAAATATCCGCTAGAGATTAATTAACAAGACCTATAAGAGCTTGCGATGTCGGGAGCGAATAATTTTTTTGCGGCAGGATAATAGCTTCTACGAATAGCTGAGCCTTGTAATTAATTTGTAGTTTGTCGAATATCACGAGAACCCGAATATACCCTTTCTCGTCCTCACTCCTCGAAATATCCGCTCTGGGATTGACGCCGGCTTTTAAGCGTGGATTCATTTATGTGTTTACGTCCCGATCGCACTCGCCCAAGTCGCGATTTGTATCCACAGAATTTCGTAGCATCCACGTATACGTATCTCGTCGAGCGGATGCACTCAGCTCTTAATAAAATCGTGGAGAGTCGTCTCACGAGCGATTATTCGCCGAGGATCACAATCTGCCCGAATTTGTATTTCTACGCCGAGGAAGCTCACGAATTAGGACACACGGACGACGCGAGGCGACATCATCAGGCCGTACGTGTGATGTCGAAGCTCTGCAGGATGTCAGCGAGTTGGTGGTTTAACTCAAAGGAGGATGATTCCACGTGAAGAAATAAGACGAAAATTTAGGATGACATTTCTTTTATTTAGTGATTCATTAATTTGCAATATCATCAACCAGCAATTGGCTCACATCATTATTTTTGAAGTAAAATCTTTTTCTTGCATTTTCGGATGCTTATTTTCTCATGCGAAATCATTTTTTCGGATTGTACCACCAATTTTATAACATCTTGTATGTTATTATATTGGGTGCCGTTTTGATTTTCGTTGGTTGTACGACAATTTAGCCGCTGATCGAATTAGGGGGAGGAAGAGTAAAATTCACACACACACACACACACACACATACTTTCATTGGCTCTCTATTGGCGCTGCAGTCGATTTTTCAGATGCAATTAATCGTCACTTGTACGTAACTTAAGGCTTAATGACACGTGGTAATATCACAGCGAGTCGGTCACCGGCGATCATCACACGGCATCACTGAACGTGTTAACGGGCGTTATCGGACATGTTACACGCGAAAGCGATTCTTTTCACAGGCAATCGCCGCTGGCGAGAAGAATCCCGTCGCGTGGATCAAATACGCGATCTTCCATTTGAAAGTCGGCGATGTGGAGCGCGCGAAAGAATGCAGCCGCGAGGCGATTCTTTCGGACAGACGGGACAAAATTGCGTACGTGAGATCATGTGGAATGTATGTTTCTTTTTTTTTCTTATTTCGGAACAACAAACAGTTCCGAGACACGGAGACATTACACAGAGAGAACCGATGAAAAGCGCCGACGGATACAAGGATATTTCAAATTACATTTTTTATTGTATCCTCCTATTGTAAGCGACGATGAGAGATACGTGCAAAATCGTTCGCGCAAAATGTCGTTATTAATATCTCCGTTCGTACACAGTTTATCGATGTACGGATTAATCCTCGCCGGGGAGCGGAATTATCGAGAGGCCGAGGTCTTCCTGAGGATCGTCACGGACTTGTATCCGCGGTTCCTCGAGGGCTGGGTCAATCTGCATCTGTTTTACATTCGCACGGACCACTGTCCAGGTTCAGGTAAGAACGCGCTCGACGGCCATTTCAGCTCGGCTTTGCAATCGAATACGAAAACCTAACCTAACCGGGGAGCGTTTCGCTCTCTCCCTTTCTTTGTCTCTCTCTCTCTCTCTCTCTCTCTCTCTCTCTCTCTCTCTCTCTCGTCGCAGGAACAGATACCACTTTGCGAATTGCGAGGAAGTGCCTGGAAGACGCGGACGGAGGGACGGAGGTCTCGGGTGACGATCCGCTCGCATGGACGACGATTTATTGTCCGCGCGACAGCGTGTACACGATCGCCGCCACGTTCTTGTTGAAGCTGCATCTTTGCGACGTAATGCGCTTGGCGCCTTGGAAAATTGGGATTATGAATACGCTTCGTTTGAAGCTTCGGAGCGTGATACGGAGTCGAACGAGGAAATCATGAATATTCGGAATTAATTACGAAAGAAATCAGTTACAGATAAATTGGCTATAAAGAAAATTAGTCACAGAAACCGCTGAATAAGTTACAAGCAAAGTTAGCTATAAATACAGGAACCTCGATACTTGGAATGCTCGAAGCTTCGAGTGCGTCAAATAGCGCGCTGTCTCTGGTCTCCCGATATGTTCCCAACGATTAAATAGCCGTAATGGAATTTAGCAGAATGTAATCATCGTCACGCTCGGTGTTTGTGCAGTTTGCCGGTATCGCGTTGGCGGAGGAGATGTCTCGCGTAGGCAGAGCTACTCATGTCTTGTATTATCTGGCGGTGCAGCATTACGTGTCGCGCCGATACGAGAACGCTTTGTCGCATTTGCAAGAAGCCAGACGCACTTACGGAATGGTTGGTCGATTACTATCACCGTCCCAACGTGGCGCAGCTAAATTCTATAAATGTCCCTTGTGCTCTCAGGACTATTCGATAAGCGGCCTGATGGGGCACTGTCACTTCCAACGGGGCGATTTCGAGGAAGCCGTACGTTGCTACGAATTCGCCAGCACGGTGTCCAGCAGACCCGGCGATTTGCATCTGGTGCGGACAAGGTAAAGCCCGTTAGCGAAAAAAAAAAAGAAAAAAAACAGCGAGAAAAAGGATCCTCGAGTGTCTCGCGGCCGTTGACGTCGACATTGTGTGATGCGACAGGATGGGACTGTGCTACGAGGATGCCGGTGATTATGAGCGCGCGTTAAGAGCCTTCCTCGGCGCGTGCGACACTTCGCCGACGGCGGAGACGTGGCTCGGCGCGGGGGTCGCGTTTTACGAGGTGAGTTCGATCGCGATCGAGACTCTCTCGCGCAAAGAGAGACGTTTGCATAACAACCGCTTCAGCTGCGGCGCTTCGCGGAAGCCGAGGTGGCACTGACGGAGGCTAACGAGCTCGACAATCGCAACGTGACCGTCTGGAGGTACCTGTGCCTGTTGAACGCGTCTCTGCAACGGCGCGACGAGTTCGAGCAGTGTTACAGACAAATCGCTCGAGTGAGAAGCCATTAGAAAGTCCGACGTTTTTTCGTCGCCACCGCGCCGGCGCCGCGTTCGCGTGTGAGACACGTCGTTGTCGTTTGCAGGACAATGCGGATTTCTCCGTGGAAAAACGAACGCTCAGACCGCGGAGAGAATCGACGTCCGCGCCGGTCGCGCTCTAGATGCCGCCTGGCTCGCCCGCGTATAAGTTCCCGTTTTAATTCGGACGCTCGGTCAGTCGCGCACTCGCAGCGGACCGCGATGAAATCAGCGGTGAGTCGCCGGCTGGTGGATATCTCATTGGCGGATTTGTGTTTCATTCATTGTTGCGTCCGTCGCAATTCATCGCCAAGATTGCGAAGCCAAGTGTCGAAAGCTTTGGGCCGCTAAGAGCACTATGGGAGAATCCTACATCAAGTCTAGTTACAAAGATTACGAATTCTTTTCCGCCGCAAATGTGCGGGGCCATATGCGGACAAATTTTGTGTAGTTTATGTAGAATTTACATACAGGGTGCTAAATTTCAAACGTAACAGGTAAAAAATCTCGAAAACTGTGATAGATGTTAAAAAAAGCTAAAACACCATGTTCCATGATTTCGAAGGGGAAAGAGAATGGCATTATCAGTTTTTTATTTGGAGGGCATTTTCAAAAGGTCGACAGTTGAAGGTCGACTTAATTTTTCAAAATAGAAAGTCCAATTTTTTATTAAATCTTCTTTTTCTACCAATTAATTTTAACAACTTTTGTTTGAAACATTTTTTTATTTGCCTAATATTTTTTGAAATGGTACTTAAGGAAAATTTGCTTTTTCAACATTTGGTCATTCAACATTCCACATTTCAACAGGCAAATAAAAAAGTGTTTCAGACAAAAGTTGTTAAAATTGATTGGTAGAAAAAGAAGATACAATAAAAAATTGGACTTTCTATTTTAAAAAGTTAAGTCGACCTTCAACTGTCGACCTTGAAAATGCCCTCCAAATGAAAAACTGATAATGCCATTCTCTTTCCCCTTCGAAATCATGGAACCATGGTGTTTTAGCTTCTTTTAATACCTATCATAGATTTCGAGATTTTTTTACCTGCTACGTTTGAAATTTAGCAACCTGTATAATTTGCATACAACTTATATATAGCTCATATATATAACTTGAGACCAAACTTGTAAGTATCACACAATCTTTTTATCGGTACATCTATATGTACGGACTAATATTTCGTTGCAGTGCGCTCTGCTCCTTCTTATTTTGCTCCAAGCGATGTTTGCAACCATCAGCTGCGACAGGCGCTCAAGCGAAGACTCCCGATATCGAATCGTAAAAGAAGGTAACGTCGCTTCCGGCAGTGCGGCAGTAGTTGTTCCCGGGTACGAAGACGTCGAAATCTCGACGTCATTGCCGTTCTAAATACACGGATGCTAGATAGTACGCAAAATAATCGCGGTATCGCGGTGTGCACACGTTGAAAGAGTGCGCGGTTGCTGTTTGTTCGCAGATGAAATTCCACGTGTCAAGATAAAGGTGTTTCGTAAACCCACAGAGGAAGCAGACGGCGAGTCGTTCGCTACTTGGGGATATTGGATCAAGCAGCCCAATAGAAGGTGACGTCGACAGGAGATGCGAAATATCGATAGAAAATGAGATGTAAAATCGATAAGCGATAATGCCCGAGTCAAGCGAAATAAAGAATTTTCGTAATCCGCAACCTGCAAAGCACAACTTGTTTTACACAGCTTTACGCGTCGCCGAATCTCTACTTGCGGTAGTTGCAACAAGTCGACGAAGAAACACAGCGTCTACGCGGCTCTACGCGTGTTGGAGTGTCAATAACGAAAGTTTCCAAAGACCGAAGACAATGCATTAATAGATGGGATTTTTCTCGCAACGTCTGTGAATCGAATCTGAAGGGAAAGTCATGAAGTATCGTGCTGCTCGCATCGACGTCGCTTTGCGACTTGCGAATTAGGAGCCGCGTGAAGCGAACGCGAGAGGCTCGCTTTGTCAAGCACATGGTCGAGCACGTGCTCAGGCGATGCGCGCGCACGCGCGCACGCGCGCGTGATGAATGAGTGGGGCGACGACCGCATGGCGCGTGAGGTGAGCACGTGCTGTGCGGTATAGGTCCGGGTTGCGTAGCGTAGTAATTTTGGCGGTCTCGCTCCCGCTTCGGAGTAGGGCGAGAAAGAGAGAGAGAGAGAGAGAGAGAGAGAGCAGGATGCCATTGAAGGCGAGTAAGGACGACGAGCAAGGAGCGGTCTACAGAACGCGGCTCGATAGGATCGACGATATTTTCGCTTCCAGGCGTCGTGGAAACTTCTGCACGAACTCGTTGGGAATCGTTGAGCATGGTGTACGGCTGTTATGTGGACTGTATTTTATCTATATATGTAGTAAAATTATTTATAATGAAAATAGATATATTCACGTGAATTTCGAAGAGAGCGTTGGAGGTGATGAGAGTCACGACAGATTCGGTTAGCGGGAGTGGAGGTAATCGACGATGACAGGTCAATAGCGTTTTCAAGAAGGGCTTCAGTAGCCGAAGATGATCCAAAAGTCGGGAAGTAGACGGCGAACAGCTACAGATCAGGAGCGTTGACGGTAAAGGTGGCAGGAAACGCTGCAGGTCTGGGCGTCAAGAAGTAAGGCGGCGGACAGCCACCGGTCAGGAGCGCCGACGGAGGAGGCGGCGGGAGCCGCTGAAGTTCTAGGAGTCGAGAAGCGAGGCGGCGGACAGCCGCAGGTCAGGAGCACCGACGGAGGAGGCGGCGGGAGCCGCTGAAGATCCAGGCGTTGTGAAGGGAGGCGGCGGACAGCCGCAGGTTAGGAGCGCCGATGGAGGAGGCGGCGGCGGGAGTCGTTGAAGATCCAGGCGTCGTGAAGGAAGGCGGCGGACAACCGCAGGTCAGGAGCGCCGATAAAGGATGCGGCGGGAGTCGTTGAAGATGGTGTCGTAAAGGGAGGCGGTGGGAACTGTGAACAGAAACCTGGCGCACGAAGCGCAATGCTTGGTACACAAGGCGCAATGTCCTGGCGCTAGAAGCGCAATGTCCTGGCAATTGAAATACATTAATAAACTTGACTAAATATCACGTACTCGATAAAAGACCTTTATCCAGCAAGAGCAGGAAGAAGAACGAATAATTGATAGTTTGTTACAGCGAGAGTTGCCCCTCGCAATCGACTCGAACCAGCTTTTTCTTTTCTTTTTTTAAACGCGCGGGATCGTGACCTCCTTCGCTGCCGCTACTCACTTTCCAACAACGGCTATTCCACCGTGCAATTCATCGCCGATATTTAAATACAAATATTGATCCTTTGCCATCGTAATTTATCGCCTTTTATTCCAGTCGCTCGGTTTTCGATCGCGATGAATCAAGAAAAAATGTACAAACGATCAGTGAAACTCACCTTCAAAATGACTCTGCTCGGCCTTCCTCTGGATCCTTCGGTGCGGCATCGGCGTCCGTCGAAACTGCGTCCCGGTGTAACCGCAGCTATCGCGTGGCCGCAAACTCCAGCAGATCTGTAACAAAAAGCGAGTTTCCTCTTTAGTGTTACAGCGACAAATGCGCCCCGCATCAAGAGTACGAAGACTCGAGACTACAAATTAGCTTCTTCAACTTAACCAAGTTAACCAATAAAAGTTTACCTTTAAAGACCATGAAACACTGCTATTGCTTAAGATGCTCCGGATCGTCGCACACACACACACACACACACACACACACACACACACATGCACGAATATTCACGTTACACGCGCGCGTATACTGTGAGCGTATACTTCACTCGAGCGTGAAAATTCGGAAATTATTACGCGCGGCGATCCGCCGATCCGTCCGCCGCCCCGGCGTAAACAATAATGGAAGCGGTCGCGGCAGTTGCGTACTTAGGAACATGTTGTTATCAAAATGGCGCGACCTTGTCCCGCCGGAACGCGTCTTAGAGAGCCCGTAACATTGTATAAAATTTACCTTTTTAAACAAAAAGATAAAAAGGGGCGCCAAGTACATGCGCAACACGTATTGTGTTATTTTTAAAAATTTCAAATTATTTTCTTTCAAGTTGTATATGTAACATAAAATTTTACAAGTAAAATTTATAACTATGATAAAACTCTACAACATTAGTTTGCAAAAGAAATGATATAAACGGCAATGTTTACCACTGTTTTTACTACTGTGCATCGTACCGCAACATCTGAGCGTGTTATTTAAGCGTGTAATTTAATGTAAATTATTTAATAATTCATAACAGTTCTGTAACTCCAATTACATGTGGTGATAATTAAGAATATTCATGAAATATTGATTAATAAAAATAATGAAAAAGATTCATGAAATATTAACAGAAACATTGAGTACATTGCCTATTTGTGTACGCAAGTGTAGAAGTGAGGATACAATCAATTACGGATGTTCGTCATAGCCGAATATGGGATTTCGAAATAAGTGACTTTGTTACATTCAACTTGTATTATATATTCGAGGAGAGAGACCGCGAATGGTAGAAATTAAGTTTGCAATAGTTTGTAATATTGTTAGAATTTATAGAGTAACTAACGGGGCCAAGGAAGTTAGATTATAGATTGTACTTTTAGCATATAACCGTGTTGGTTACGAAAATACATCGCGTCCAGTTTGATACCCAACACCAATTGTATTGCAGTTTGTATATTGTTGTATTTAATAAATTGATGTTTTTGTATAACAATATTTTTTAAACATGTTAATATTATGAAACATTCATTTATTACGCTGCTGATACACACGCAATATTATCCAATCAAATATGTACGACCTACATTCGCGAGCATATCGTAATTTCAGCGGCAGTGTTGTCAACAATTTAAACGTAAATTAGTATTTTTCAGATAAGTGCCGTATACAAATGTGCATTTTTGAGTTGATTATTTTACAATTACACATGCCGCGTTTTATAAAGTTTAATATAATCCCTGCAGTAATCAATGAGACTCGCGTAAATCTAACCAAAATTCCTCAATTATTAGGATCATGTCTTATTTTTTCATAGGAACATTCTGTACATTGCCTATTTGTACATAATATTTTACATTGTTTAGAATAAAGTGATACTATAGTCATGTTATAGTTTTCACTAGTTTAGAAGGCATCAATCACGTAGTTTAAATAATTACCTAAGTATTTATTGCAAAAAATATAACATCGTTATATTTTTAGCGGCACTAAATTAATTTTCGTCATGATATAAAAAGCGCATTCTTTGAACATTATGTGTCTGATTAATATTGCGTTTCACTTTAAAATTGGATTCGGTGCTTAAAGGCAACGAATAATTTTATATAATTTCTTAAGTAGTGCTAATATTGATTACAATCATGCAATCCACTGCGCGCAGAGAAAAAGAAATAGAGAGAGACGTCGAACGTGTAGGCGACTCTTGGCAATGTTTTTCTTTTTACTTCATTTATAAAATTTTTCAAACTCGTCTTGCAAATCTTTATGATTTTCCAGAAGTTGCATAACATCTCTGTATACCTTCATCCGTGCCTCTTTCAATTCAGCCGTTCCATGCTTACCCTTTTGCTTAACTGCATACCCGCTCAATATCTTTGCGAAACATTCGTACTTTTCTGGTTGGTTGCAGAAGCGATACTAAAAGGTAATAAATATAACACACGTTAAGCTTTCGTCGATCCCTTCGCTGTTTTATGTAACTGTTCACGATTGTATAATACCTTTACTTTGTCTATATAATCCAACGTACTTTGGAGATTTATGTAAGTTTCACTTTTTTTGGCATCGTACGTTGCACCACTCTCTTGACTTCTGCAAGTAATTGAATAGTTGCTTAAGATACCGTTCGCCAAAATACGACTTGCCTGGCTTATAATCACCGCGGATGTAATTGTAAAAATATCGAGATGATATATGAATGTGTCGTCGTGCGTTATTCTGCTCGAAAACTCGCGACCTAACGAGAAATACACTTACTTTTGCATCGTTTGTGTTGTTTGCATTGTTTGCATGGTTTGCGAAACTGGTGGTTCCTCCTTAAATTGAACGCGTGAGTGAATCATGATGAATTCGGCAATTTTCTTCAGATCACAATCCTGCGATAGCACAGGGCTGTGAATAGAGTCTCGTGGTTGCATACCGGTAATACGTCTTCCGTCACTCAGCATCACTTCTATTTTGCACTGCGTAATAAAGATATTGAGGCAAACGATGAGCTCAGGATAAGCCTTGAACATGTGAATCGCTTGGGTCATGAAAGACGGGAGGTTTAAGCGCTTCTCATAAAGACTCTTCAAAATTATAATAAAGTCTTCGTACACCTGCGAAAGGAAACATCAAAGTGATAGACGTCAGGCGTTTCTGGTTCCTTTTATCCTCTTTGTCGTTTAAAGATAAAGATGATTGCTGCAATTCTTTAACATTCTCATAGCTATAAATTGTAGACTACATTACTAATTCCGCTAATCACCTGTCGTTTATTGATAAATGTCTGTTCCACCTCTTCCATGTAGTTTAAAATACTTTCCTTATCTGTAGAGAGCAAATTTGAGAAGTCACTTGAACTGTTGAAACTAGGATCGTACTGAAGGGATGTAGGCGCCTTCACGTTAGTTAAATGCACCTGCACAACGAATCAAAAGTGTAACCCTGTTGATTAGAAAAATTCGCAAGTTTCTCGTATTTATATATTAACATTAAGAAAGGAAGAGAAAGAGAAAAAGAGAGAGAGAGAGAGAGAGAGAGAGAGAGAGAGAGTCCTTTTATATTTTCATAGAAAAAAGAATAAACAATACGTACTTTAACCGTTATTATCGATTGCTGCTGCATGTGTGTTTGAATCTCCGAATCTGACACAAGCTGGCAATCCATGTTATGATCACTATCTGCTTCAATGTGCAAGTCATTGTTGTTATTTACGCTGTCGTCGTTACGCGTAACACCGGATCCTTCTTCAGAGGCACTCATCTAACGTGATAAGACACATTGACGAATGATTCTTATTGTTTATCACTATTATTACTGATATTTATAAATGATTACTCACTTTGACCCACGCCGTCGATAACAATCGCGTTAACAGACTATTGTTAGGCTTTGGCAGATTAAATGGTACAGCTTTTGAAATTTTTCTAGCTGCGTCAGATCGAATCGGGCAGATGCGACAATGCTGATTCCACCGTTAATTTCAACTGTTATTTTAAACCATTACATGTACCATCTCATGGGTCGCTTGCTGCATTTAGCGATAAGTGCTTGAATTTAATGGTCGCTAGTGCTGGTAGGATGCTACGTTTCGTCGAACCTAACCAGACACATTGAATTCCGTTACATTTGTAAGCACGTTCAATGTGATCTTAATTGCAAATCGCGTTGGATGTATACCGCAAGTAGAACAGATTTACACAGCACTCACGTGTACTGCGGTGGTGTACAATTCCAGCCCCAAAAAGAATCAGAGGAAAGAACAATGCGTCGGACGCCGGCACGACTTAATAAAATTCTTTATACATATACATATACATGTAGGTGTATATTTCATGATGGTCCCAGAGAGCACTGAGGAGATATTTGGAAGTGTGTTTGCTCGTCTCTCTCGGTAGTTGTTGTCAAACTGAATTATATCCTTGAGGATACGATAACTATGAATATTCGTTACCAATTAGAACGCGTTTCGAAAGCGTCGCGCATGGTATTATTCCTATTCCATATTCGACGACCGTTCGAAAGGTGACTGAGAAGGCATTCAGGAGCTGGAAGGTGTTTATGTGCGTGTATCATGTTGACTGAGTTGTGTCTGAAGGTACGAACGAATTTGCTACCAGATAGGATATTTCAAATATCCGTCCATGAAATTTTTAATGGACGTTATTAACTTTTACCGAAGAAGTAGAGCTAATGGAGCGACAGCTAATGGGAGGAGGATAAAATTTACAAGATCTTATTACCACCATTACCAGCGGCTGAATAATATAATTAATGGTCCGAGGAAGCGGCATCATAAACAACGTGTTCTTTCACCTCGCCACATGTATACGTATTTATTGTAAAATGTACAGATAAAATAAATGAATCCTGTATATGATATTCGACGTTATCTTGTGACTTGTGATGATTTATGATTTATATATCACTAATATAAATGATAATAATATAATTCATGCTACATGTAGTTAATAAAATAAATCATGCTTACAACATATAAGATATCGGCTTCGCTTTATTACGTAAACTATTTATTCGCTACAAGATCTAACAAAGTTTTTCAGCTGTTACAATAAATTTTCTTCCTCCGTGAATTCTCGTATTCGCGCTCGGTGCATTTTATCAGAAAATTAACAAGTATAAAAAGAGGGAGGAAGCCGATAATTATAATGATATTCAGAATGTATAATTTCTCATATTCGAGTAATGTACCCTATCAGGGTGCTGTAGGGAATACAATGTAAGAGGTGAGAGGTTATTACGCACAATACTAGATGGCATAGTGCGCCTGTAGAAAGCGTTGCGACCCTCGTTCTCTTTCTGGCTGTTCCATGACGACCGGCTCGTGGGTCGTGAAGAGATTGGAGCTTCATCTATGGATGTGATCGATCTCGATTGATCTCGAAACGCGAGATACTTTTTTCCTCTTTTTTTCCGAAGAGAAAACTAGTTTCAAACTTTTTCGAGATTGAAAAATCTGTAGAATGTGAATGAATTGGTAACGGAGTAAGTTTAAGACACTCTGAAAACGGCATGGGGATACTTTTGGAAGGATCTTTCGGTCGCCTTTGAAAATATGATGAATCCTGCGGAACAGTGCGTGCCGTTCAATTTTGAAAATTTACCAATCGCCAGGATGACACTTGTTTATTCCCAATAATTCGAACGCGTAATACGGCTTAAATTTCCCACGATAAAGAGATTACGAATATTCCAGATTAATTTCGTTACATATTTACGTCAATGTAGAAATTCATATTGCAGAAACGGGCGACGTCACAAAGTATAAATCCACATTTGTGTCGGTTAACTTTGTGCATTCGTGCCGAGCGATTATCAGGGTGGCTCGCTCGCGAGATCGATCGACGTCAACGAATCGACAGGATCTCCATATCCTGTCCGCCGAATTCTTTATCATGTCATTCGAGCGAAGAAGGAGGAAGAGAGACGTCGGGGACGCGTCTACCCCAGCACCAAGAATATAAGCTTTGCGTCACAGGGAAGACGACGTACAATTACCGCGAACGTAAAAACCGCAGGAACAGTCGTCGTCGCAGAGGCCGTCGTCGAATCGACCCCTTCGCGCGTCGAATCGACTGGATTCCCGCCGCCCGCGTAGAGTCGTCATCTCTCGGATGATCCTTGCGCGAGACGCGCCGCATTCGGGCCGGACGCGCGCTCTGTGTGTCGGTAGCACACTGTGTCAGTGTCGTTCCGGAGACTGCGCAGCATCCCCCGCGGATAAAAGCGCGGACCACGCAGGATCTCGCGGTGGCGCGAGGAAGGGATGCGATAGGGGTGGCATTTCGCCTTTTAATCCGTGGGTGTAGCGCCGTGGTGGGGTTGCGCGGTCGCAACCCTCCCGCCGCTGGCATCTCTTCTCGCCGAGCCGCTTCCACCCCTCTGCGGCGCACTCGCAACCCCTTCCCGCGGTCCGTTCGCCTTCCACCCCGCCGACAGTCTTCCCCCTTCCCCATGTCGCGAACACACCACCCACCACCATCGGCGACCCTCCCGCCGCTTCGTCTGTCGTTTCGACGTCCTCTCTCACACCCTTCGTCTTCTCGCCAGGCGGGGGTCGCTACCGGTCTCCTTCTAGTGACTTTCGTCGTCCGGGGTCGCGTGACACGTGCGTGAGAAAATACCGGTCTTTCGCGGTCTCGGTGCCGATCGCGATCGTCGGTGGCCGTCGGAACCGGTTGCAGCCCCGGACCGGAGTGTTTCTTTGTCGCAGTGTGCGTCGACCTCGCGAAATCGCCGCCGAGGGTCGCGCGCGAAAGGATCGACGGCGATCGTTGACCGGGTGACGCTTGCTGGGCGGCCGACGACGTCGTGCTTCGTGTGACACTGGCGGCGAAACGTCGCGCTTGGTGATCCATCGATCCATCGTGACGAAGAGGCGGCCAGAGACGAGTGAGCAAGAGAGAGAGAGAGAGAGAAACGACGAGAAGGATCGTGCGCGGATCGTAAGCGCACACTCGTTGATCTACCGTCGCGCGCGCGATTGTGTCGACGCGAAGTAAGGGAGTGAAAGTCCGCGATGCGGCGGCTCGTGGTATCCTGTTGAGACCCGATTGACTCCGCGAAGTCACCTTCCAAGCGCTTCCGCTCGCCGACACGAGCTTTAACGGCCTGTATCGCCGTTCTCCGATTGTCGTAAGTGTGTAACGATGCAGCGATCACGGCGAAAGTTCTCGACGCGAGCGGCGTTCCATCTGGTGCGCTCTCGACAGCTCCCACTGTCGTCGTCGTCGTCGTCGTCGTCGTCGTCGTCGTCGGGATCCCTTTTCCTATCCGCTCCGAAGATTTAGATCGCCGACGGCGGAGGGAAGAGGGCAAGGCGAGCGAGAGCCGCTCCTTTTCATTCGTTGCGTCGAGCGACGCGTCTCTCGAAGAGAGTCGGAGGTCGTTTCCTCGCATTGTGCCGTTACAGCCTTAACAGCTATCGTCATTACGCTCGCGTTGGCGGGACGTCGTTTAACATTTCCGCTCCCCTCGCCCTCCTCTTTCGGTTGCGCGCTCCGCGAGCGGAGAGCCGCGCGCGCGGGTCCGCTCGCGATCGCCGTTCCCTTCCGTCCGAATTTCTCGCGTACGTTTCATCGCGTCGGTGAAGAATAGAAGTGCCGAGCGATTACGCCAACCCCCCTTCGCCGCACGGCAGGACGGACCGGACGGACGGCCGCGTGACGTCCATGCACGAGAATATTTCGGGCTGATCTCGCGGGTCCGCATCATTAATTCAGAGCGATCCCTCGAAAATAAAGCGTCCATCCGCGGACCCCGATGAACTATAAACAGCCCTAGATCTAGGAAGCGAGGCGGCGCTCCATAATTAGATCTGGTCCAATGCGATTTCCCCGTCTTCTGAAACCGAGGCGATACCAAACAGTCTAAACGGGGTGTCGTCGTCGTCGTCGTCGTCGTCGTCGTCGTCGTCGTGGTGGTCGTTGTCGTGAAGGAAAGGGGTGGTCTCGCGGTTGCCGTAATCGCATAACACAACATTGGCGGAAGCGTCGCTTGGAATTGGATCGTCTTTCCGCGGTCGCAATACGATCGCGAGGAGGGGCGCGAGAGGAGAAAAGTGCCGACGAGAGGAAGAGAGAGAGAGAGAGAGAGAGAGAGAGAGAGAGAGAGTTTAGTTGGGCTGTTAGCGCGATTCCTTACAACGGTTATTTTAATTGGACAGAATTCGCGTAACGCCGAACTTCCGGCAGAAATTGTGCGAAATTCCGTTCGCCGTTTTCGCGCAGCGCGCGCTCGCAACTCAGCCGACTTTCTTTTCTCGACGGTCACACGAATTCGGTCAAGTTATTTAAATAGACTCCTTCTTGTGTCAACTTGTGCACTTCTAAGTTGTAAAAAAGCTACACATATTCTTGCACAAGTATACTTCTTAATATATACGTATATATTCACAAATTTGTATAATTTTAAATTATCGTTGCGTGTTTATGCACCATGGCCGCAATTACAATTTCTTTTTTCGGTCCCTTTTAAATAATTACATCTTGTTGCGTTCCCGTTGCTTGAACCACAACGAGACATAAAAGTTGTCATACGTTTTAAAGTAGAAAAATTCCAACAGCGTAGCGCGAAACGCTACACTGTTTGTCGGAATTACCGAATCGCTCGTCGATAATAATTTTATCCGTCCGTTACTTTAATCTCCTTCGACGCGACGTCGTGCACAAAGTTCCATGTTCAAAGAGACGATCGTGCGAGAGACTCTTCCCTTCTTTCACTCGCACAGTCATCTTCCCCCAGCCAAAGCCGCAACGGAGCTTTCTCAAATAGCCGTGGCTCCGGGCTCGGTTACACGCGAATCCTTTGTAACCAGCGATCCGATCGATCGGTAAAACCGCCGATTCGATCGGCGGTTCGGGGATACGAGAGAAAGATGAGGGGCCGATGAGACGGTGGCTTTAATTAATGCCTTCCTAATCAGGCCGCTGCAATCGAATACGCCGTATCGACGTTCACGTCAAATCGTTCACGATCACCGTTCGTTGCGCCAGACACACGCAGTCGTGAAAACAGCGCGACAAGAAGACAAATTGAAAAAGAGAAGGAGCAAAGAGAAAGAGAGAGAGAGAGAGAGAGAGAGAGAGAGACGCGAGAGAAGCTCGTCGAGGAACACGCAGAGCATCGTCGCGCGAAGATCGCGCTGATCCACAAATGACCTTTAATCAAACGCGAGCCTGAGCCTCGGGGATTCCGATTGGATAAGCGACCGTTCGGAAAATTGGTCGTCCGAATGGATAATACGGCGCGCGCAAAACCGGAAACGAGAGACCCATCGCCGCGCGTTCGCTTCGAATTTGACGGAGAAAAAATCGCAGCGCGATTAAACGCGCGCGCGCGCGTTCTCGGCAGAAACGGAGAGAAATGTGCAG